TATATTATCTTTTAGTCAAAGCTATTGATACTTAAATTCATACTGCCTTAGGTCTAATCCTCAGTGGGCCAAAAATGCAAAAATACAGATTATCCAAATTTGTCTTCAAAAACTGATAAAATGTTTTATTTGGGCTATTTCATTTATGAATATTTCCATGCCGGCTTACATTTAGAGGTTATATTGGATATCTGAATTGCTATGTGCATGTCTTTAACAGTTTGAAATTGAACTACATTCTGTACATAGATAATTGCTTAATTTACAGACCACACTGCTTGTTAAGATCTAACCATGGCATGATAATAAAACCCTTCTGTCACTAGAAATTTAAATTAAATATAATTAAAAAGATGAAAGAGACACCTATAATACAGTTTACTATTAAATTTTACATGATTACATGTTTTTTAATTGCATAATAAATCTGGAACTTTTCGTTTAATTGAGTGCATGGTTCACTATTTGGATAAAAAGGTGCATGACATATCCATACTTCCTCTTTTGTCACAGATTATTGTAGAATTATCAAACCACCCGTTTCGCCCTTTAACAACTTATTTGAAAGCCATATTCAGCATATGATTTATCACTCTATTTTATATATAAGGTTTGAACCTACTTCAAAGAGTGTCAGGTATTAAATGGAAGAGGACTTTGATCTTTTCACAATCACAGCAAGGGTGCACAGTAGAACATTATTGCCCTTGAAAAGGTCAAACATTTTCTTGTATATTGACCAAATAAAATGTTGACATTTTCCTTTTCTGTATGGATTAAGAGGAATGCTGATGTCTGATTGCCAGTGAGACAACAATCTTTCAAAATGCAAATGACAGGGATGTCTTTAACAATGAGAAATGCACATATGGTTACAGCTATTAAGGATGCGAAAAGATGAAACAGTTAAAAAAAGGACAGCTATTGGCCTGATTTGATGTCCTTATTAAATGCAGACTGCTGAGTCTGTGTGTATCATAAGGCTTATCAAAGGGGTGTCTGTGTAAGATGAAAACGTCTGAATATACATCAGTATGGTAGTTAGTATTTTTTGTGTCATTTTTACCTCCATTAGAATGAATTGAATAAGTTAAAATTTGATTGTAAGAAAATTCCATTAAAAACTTTTGCATGTTTATGTCTATTATTTAACTTTTAAGTTATGTGGGAAAAACACTATAGTAATTGTTATGGGATTTAAAGGGGACCAAATGAAAGTAAAGAATTTCTTCTGGGAACCAGTTAATTTGTATTTTCTTATCAAATTGATAAATTATTATAGGTGAATAAAAAAAGATGTAAGCTTTATGTAGACAGCAACAGATTGACACAAATAACCAAAAGTCATCTATTGTGGATTGTTTTATTTTTGTGGGTAAAAATTATGGAATGAGGAAAAACTATATTTTCGAAGAAACTTAATTTTGTAGTTTTGGCAAATTCTGAATACAAGCCAATAGGAAATTTGTACTTCATTAAACACTTTTTAATAAACGTTAGCCTTTACTAATGAAATCCATAAAAAGAAGTACCCTTGGAAAAATTATATTTCCCTAGTTTATGGCAACAATCAATCTATTTATGGGGCCTTCCATACATTACTTTTTCCAAGTTCAAAATAGTCCAATAAATTCAAAGAAGAAGATTGAATTATGTGCCACAATTTATGTTAACTGCTGAATACAGTCTAAAGAGACCCCACAATCCTAATAAAATAAATAAAAAATAATGAATGAGACATTTGAAAACTAACTACCCTGTATAAAAATCAAGAATCAAGAAATATGTTTAATGACTGTGTAAAAGTTATAAGAATATTTACAATGTTTACACACTATTAAGATTATCATTGTGACTGATAGTAGACTGAAGAGTAATAAAATACTGATGATACTACAATCAGTTAATCCTTTGTTAATATTTAACTGCTGATAGTTGATGTTTTGTCTGTGTAGTAAATAGCCCCCATACAAAGATTTTCCAACTTGAACCCCCACTTATAAAGTCAGGGGATTTAATCTAGATTTCTGTACAACATTCCAATGATAATAATTCTTTTTTCAGTTAGGGAAGATTTTTTACATAGGAAGGTCTCATTTTTGTGTAAAATGTACTTGTCACCACTTTAATTTAAAAAAAAAAGAGTTTTACCCATCATATAGACATGATAGAATACCCCAAGTAAAATTTAGTTTGCCATGACAAGTTAGTAATGTAATTACAAATTTTATTCTTGCTTAGGCATTAAATTGGAAAGGCTATACATATAATTGGCATACATTTACTGTGACATAGACAAAACTATTTAGCAAAAGTCATTTCAAAAATGGTTGTTCTTATACTAAAACTGCCTTTATATACACCATTTAGTGAAATCCTTTTAGAACAGCTGACATAAAAACTTACTTATATATGCATTTATTTAAACACATGAAATGAAAATTACAACTTTTTATCATTTACATTAAATGTTATATATTTATTGTACAAAAATTGTAAAAGGTAATCAACATTTTTTTTCTTTTCTGACTAATGTCTTTGCTTTTTCATTTTGATTCTTAAAAAAATCATTTTGATGGTGAATATCCAAAGCATATTTACATTTGCAAAATTTAAATATTTGATTTAATAGTTTATCAAACTATATGAAAATACATTTAGGGCTTGCAATATTATTACTATTATTAAATCTCTAAAACTGAAAAAAAAAATTTTAAGTTCTCAGATTTCAGGACAGTCCTACCAAATTTTTGTACCTCAACCCTGTCTAATGATATATTTTATTAGAATATATAAATGTATTTCATAACATTGTAAGTGTTTTCATTTTGCTAGTGCAAAAAGGTGAAGATTGATTCCTTGTAGGCATTAATCATATTTTAGCATGATAAAGCTGAAATTGACTTTATTATGGTATTTAACATTTTGACACAAAATAGCATACCAGAACTTAAGTGAAAGTAATTTTACCTTTGTGTCTAACAGAATGCCACAAAATTGACATCTAATTTAAAGTTGAATAATAAAATACAGGAATTCACTCCTTCACAAAAAAAAAACTGCACTTCGATTGAGTTTTGACACCCACAAATGCTTATTTACCTTTCTATAATGGTTTCATTGAGATTTTTAACCTCAAATGTTTTGTCAATAGTAAGCACACATCTATGAATGACTGCCAGGGTTGCAGGTAAATGATTTAGAAATAGACTATAAGTTTGTTAAAGGTAACCACAAAATCAGGTATGACTGTTAATATCTATACCTCCTGTTTTATAATGTTAATATCCATACCTCCTGTTTATAAAAGTAAAACTTAAAATCTAGAATAACTATATTCAAAGTACTTAATCTATTATATAATTAAAATACTTCTTAAGTTATAAAACAGGTGTGCATCTTAGTGTGTACATTAAAGATTGGGGGATTTTTCTTCATTAAATCTTTTAATAGGTTTTCTTATTTTTATGTGTTTTCATTTTAACTTTTGCTTGAGAAAACTTAGTTTAAAAGCAAAATAAATTCATGAAATCTTATGACATTTTGCCATTTAAATATCATGCCATTAAGTTAGAGAATATTTCTATTTATATTTAACTTCAGAAACAAAGACATTAAAGCAGTTTGGGTGGGAATTGACAATAATAATTATGCATTTAATTTGATTTATTTCTTTTTTCATTTAATTTATTTGACAGATAGAATTTAAATTTGACAAGTTAAAATCAACCATGATCTTTAGTGTCATAAAAACTCAAGTCTTTTGGTGCTAAATACTGGATCAAACCTATAATTCACAGAAATTTCCATTTTTAATAAAATGATTTACAATAAGCACCATTTTATGGTTTTTATAAATTATTAAAATGAATGAAAAACTTATGTAATTTAAGAGAGAATTATATTTTTATTTCCTGGACATATTAATTATATCCTTGTTAATTTCACTTGTTTGATATGTACTTGGTATTAGAAAATTGACAGTGTTTAGTATGGAATAGATACTAAGTCTTGTTGCCACATGGACAAATTCTATTCAGCCTCTGGTTTTCAACAGTTGACTTAAATTGATGTTGTAAGAGCACTCATTTTTAATATGGCAGATGAACAGATGTTATGTTTATTAGAATATAGATACCCATGAATATTGGTTTTAAATCTGATTCGTAGGTAGCAAAATGGTTAATTTCCTTTTCAAAATGGATATTTCTGAGATATGAATAAAATTGTTTAAAATTAAATCTTTTATCTTGACCCCCTTTTAATAGATATCATTCTGTATTTGAGCTTGTAAGTAAATGAAGGTGTGAGAAAGTTATCTGGTATTTACTATTTAGCACATAAATCTAAATTAAGAGCCCACTAAGCATTGACTGGAGGATATATATCCCTGGACTTCTCCAAACAGGCAGTAGAACCCGACATAAAGACCACTGAATTTCAAACTCTTCACTGGGGACAGGCACATACAGAATGTTGTTGGGTTAAACTAGTTTGCTGGCACCAAACCCTCTCCCTAACCTTGGACAGTGTTGTAACAGTACAATAAGAACAAACTATCAAAAATCAGTTGATAACCTCATTTTCAAGTGGCAGTCAAATTTATTTGGTGATCATGGTATATTGATGATTTAAACATGGCATTGTTCCCATAAAATTTTTGCATTTAATGCATTAACTGTGTGAAAATCTAACATAAACCATGGTTTCAATTCCAATAGGAAAATTCAGAACTTTCTTGCATTTGAAGTGGACCTATAAGCACATATTCCACAGACATTCATTATAGTTTAATTAAGCAAAAATGTACTTAAAAACATTTGTCTAATGATATAAAGTGTTACACAGAGACTTACTTTTTAAAGATTTAATGAATTTCATTATAAGCAAACAACTCCAACAGGAATGTTGATTTTCATCTATTTTTAACTAAAAGCTGTTTCTGTACATGCAGTACATCTTTCTTGATCTGATGTTCCTTGCTTTTATGTGTTTTTCAGGTCTATCAAGTAGCATATGTGATAGTAAAAGCAGCTAATGCCCCTCGTCCAGGCAACTGGATTCTTGAAAAATCTGTAGATGGTGAAAATTTTACGCCATGGCAGTATTTTGGGATAACACGCTTAGACTGTCTCAGGGAATATGGACTACCAGATACGTATGGTATACCTAACTACCTCACAGATGACCAAGTCATATGTACAACTAGATACTCAAAAATAAATCCATTAGAAAATGGTGAGGTAAGAAGATTTTAATTAGCAGATACAGTATACAAGGAGTTCTTATTGATAGTGGTTAGATTATTGTGAAATCACAAATATTACTTATCATATATTACGGTATGGGATAGCTCACCTAAAAGATGTTGAAAAAGCAAGACAAGTTGTGCTGTTTCTGGTGGAAGTGTCAGCAGCAGCATCAACAATGTATTAGTTTGTGATAAGGTCAGTTAATAGGGAACCACTAGTGGAAGGTCAATGATATCTGGTACACAGTTGTTATAGCATTGGCACATCTCATTTCCATGGAGATTATTTGGTCCCACCCACTCTATAGCTAGTTTTAAGATAAAACTTCTTCCAGAAAAACCATTCATGTGAATGAATTGGCACATTTTGTTACATCTTTATCCAGTCTGTTAACTTTTCCAATTGTTATCATAAAGAGCTGCTTCCTTCTAAATGCAGGTTAAGTTGAACAAGATCAAGGAGCTGAAAAAAATCACACTTTACAGCAAGATTTTATGTTCTTCATCATTAGTGATAGTGTATAAACCCAAATAATTCAATCATTATACATGTATTCCACTGGTCTACATAGCTACATTAACGCCTGAAGATATAGATGTAGTCAATGAAAATTTGTCAATTAATCATTTAGAATAAGACCTGAAATTACCTTTCTCATTAAGATAAAAATTCAAGCTGATTGGCTTTCTCATCCAGAGATCATGTATTGTATTGAGAGTTCAGGCCCTAACATGAGTGGGAGAGATCGATCACAGGGAGGGCCTGAATTATTCGGGTTATTAAAAGGCTGCAAATGTCTTAAAGGAATGTATGTGGGAATTAACAGTAAATTACATATGTCTTGGCAAGGTTTATATATATATGTGTTTATAATAGAATTTTAATAAACAGACGTATCAGTCTTAAGGTCAGCTATGCTTGAATGGGAATGCAACTGATTTTCAGTAAAATTACTTACTAAAATAGTTTTGTGATTTCGTTGATTGGTAAGAAAAATGTCTTGAGTTGATAATTCTTCACAGTGAGATAGTTTTTCCTAAAATTTGATAAAAATGGCTCTTGGGTTATGGAAAATTAAGAAACAATCTGATTATTAATTTATATTTCAGATTTTTGTTTCCCTAGTCAATGGAAGGCCTGGTATAAATAAACCAAGTTCTAAATTATTGGTAAGTTTTGTTAAACTAGGATACTATGCATAGAAACACATCTTTCAAATAAGGACGATCTTTAGACTATTTGATTATTAGTTATAAATTTTTGAGATTAAGACCTACAGAAGGCAACTACTTACTTTTCAACTTGGAGTTGCTTTTAACCCAAAAAGGAGAAGACATAAGACATAAGACATAAAGCTTTATTTAGAGTCGGTATGTGCAAATACAAGTATAAAGAGAAGGAAACCAAATCATTTTGTTATGGTATACAGTATTTAATACCTTTTAAAAAGTAATAAAACATCAATCTGTGTTAAAAAAAAGGCCAAAAAGTTATTACCATAATTGGGTTTATTAAAATAATTCATTTTGAATTTCCCATCGACATGGCAGCTTATTTACTAGTAGTTGCTTTTAACTTTGAACATAAAAATGTCTGCAGAAAAAATAAACAATCATAATTCGGTCGCTGAGTCAGCATTACAGTCTTCGGTTGATCAAATCATGGATGGTACAGCTGTGGAACTTCCAAGCAAATGACAACTGAAGAATTGGCTTGTTGCAGACATGCAAGATTTGTCCGTCCAAATGAAGATGATTATCTATATACATCACACAAAAACAATTACAATAATCTTGTTCTTAACCTGGATTATGCAAATTGCAAAACTGGAGTAGCAGATGTAATATAGAATAGTAAACCTTGTTGTGCACTTTAATTTTGAGAATATCGATGAAATGTTGCAACTCACAAAATGCCAGGACAACTTAAAAAAAAAATAAGATTACACTATTATACAAACCATTGTATACATTAAATGTACATTTCATGTTTGGTTTCTTTCTTCTTAAATCATTTATTGTCATATAAGTAGAAAAATTAAAGTAGATAAAATATACACAGAGAACAAGTAAATGACTGTAAGAGTAACAGTAGAGGTGTGCCCTGATAACATGTGCTATGGATGGGGAGAATATTCTGCCATGTATTACAATGCCTAGAACTAATCTGCTTATGTTGAAATTACAGATAAAGATTAATTAAAAAAAACATTTTATAATTTTAGCAATTTACCTCAGCCAGATATGTTAGATTAAGATTTGAGAAGATTCGTACATTGAATGCTGATTTGATGACTCTTAGAAGTTACTTTAGTACAAAATATATAGACCCATCAGTTACAGAAAGGGTTGGTATTTTAATTAAGGACCTTCTAGTTTCTACTTTCAAGTAAAAGTGATGCATACAATTTTTGATATTTTACATCTTTTTAGGGAAAGTGTTTGACATGTTGGTCCCCTTTTGTCTCTGCTTTCAATTATAATTTGAGAATTGGAAAAGGTGCAAAAAAAAAAAAAACCAATACTGCAACATACAAGCGTCAACAAATACAGAGAAATTATAAAGTAATAGAACATAATTTTACTGATAGAATAGAATCCAATTTTTGTTGTTCATCTTGAAATCATTTTAAGGTTAGGTAAAGGGCACCATTGTTTTAGTAAACATACAATTACCTCTTTCATGAAAACAGCAGATTCAGAGTGTACAGGGACTTTGCTCCTTTGAGAAATCCAAAACTGTCGACTCTCTGATTGTAAACATTTTCTAGTATGTGCCCCACTTTTTGTAATTCTATATGTGCCATAAAACTGACATGCATCCCTGTGTTTGAAAGTTTATCTGTTCTAAAGAAATCTTTGTGCAAATTTTCAATAGATCATTTAAAACCAAGTGAAAAGAGGGTGGAGAAATTTATTCTTGGGTCAAGAATAGACCTACTTTGTGTATTATGACAGAAAACATGTTGTAATGTTTTGTGATGACATGTCACAGTATAAGGATAGATATTTATCATTTCTTACATAACTTCATTATTTTCAGGTTCCTTAAAGTGCATTTTTGTTTAGAGTAATTGAAGCGGGAAAAAAGTCTGTCATTTGGGTTATCTTGTCCCAGATTTTACAAATTTATATACATTATTGAAAAAATCCTGCCATTTAAATAGTATGAAGTTATAAAAGCTGTGTTTTGGACACTTTTTTTTAAACTGCCATAACCCTTTTATTTCATTTTTTAGAGTTATTCATAACATTAGAAAAATTGGGATACATTCTTTTAAAATGATCAACAAGAAAAGAGATACAAAATTAAGTCAGCCTAATGAAAGCTCATTGGTCTCTTTATTGGAACTTTAAACTTCAAAAATGATCGAAATGACCGAATCCGTAAGCTAGTCAACTCCTTCTAGGAGTTATTGCCCTTAAATGACACCCCCTCCCCCCGTTTCACATTTTTTGGTGTTTTTGGCAGAAACTATAGTAGATAGAGAGAGAAACTGTGAGTAAACAGCAAAATAAGATCTACTAATAAGTCAAATGATCAAAATAGTTATTCAATTCCCTTTAGGAGTTATTGTCCCTAAATGATGTTTTTTTTACTGATCAGCTTGAAATCTGTAAAAGATAAACTAGAATTTTTGTACAGCAAAATTTATCATCAACACAATAAAGCTAAGGCAGCCTTCTTCCAGAGGCTAGAAGACATTAAGCAGTATGAATGTTTTATTGATTTGAAATCAAACAGTCCTTGAACTTTTTTTTTTTTAATTTCAAAAAGGATGAGGATTGCACAAATAGACAACATGGCTATTTTCATTGGCCATGAACAATTTATATTGAATTTTGTGTAATATCTTTCTATGAATTTTAGCAATTCTAATCAGAAATATTAAAGCCTCTTAAAAATAAACCACCGTTTTAAGCCACAGTCTTTTTGTGGATCTTTTAAATGGACATTGTCTCAAATTTTAGTCACCCTCTAAATGAAAGAATATTTCATCTATTATTTATTACTTACAAAAAGTAATGTGACACTCTCCTGCTGTTTTGCTATTATGAAATGTCATACTGTATTACTATGGTATTATTAGGTGATGTTATAATATATATACGGCTGATGACATTTATGATGGGACTCATTCATAATATCATATTTTTCTCAAGTATACTGTAATTATTTTTAGGTTATGAAAAATTATGTATTAAAGGTACATGATTTATTACTAAAATAGATCATTAAGAACAAATTATGAGAGAAAACAAATTGTATGATAGTGTTATTGTGTAAAATAGATGTTTATACTTATAGAATCATGTTAAAATATTTATGACTTATTATTTCCCTCAGGAAAGAAGTAGGATTTAATACCTCTGTTGTATTTAAGTATGTTAAACTGTCACTATTCCTTATTTAGTAGTAAATGAATCTGACCAAAAAGGTTTACTAGCATAGGTCAGTTTTACTTCTTTATTAAACAGTCTGAAACCACATATCACACAGCCGGTAGAAATATTGTGCTACATATCCGTTCTTCAATTGCACATTTATCTACCATTAAGAACAATAAACGAAAAGGTTTTCAATGTTATGATGAAATGCTGCTGTCCCTTTATATAGAAAAATTGCTTAACTTATATCTGAAAATAAATTTACTACAGTAATATTTTAATACAGTAATATATATGTTTATCCATACCCAAGCCAGCAATGTTTTTATTCTTTTCATCGGATTATTTTCTTTAAAAATTATAACTTAACTAATGGTTAAACCAAAAAGTACCAAAGTTAATGAGGGAGCTTAACATACTATACTGCAATCCTTTCCTTAATGCTACAGTCTCTCAATGGGTTGTTTTAGGTTTATTCTGGGTATTTTTGATGCACTGTGTACTAAATGAAAATTATTTCAAATTGTGGTAAATTGCAACAGTGTATGATATTTGAGAGTACATTTAGATATTAACTGTACAATGCAACATAAAGCAACATTTCATAGAGTTGACTGATTACTACATAAACAGTCAATATTTTAAATAAAACATGTAAATAGAAAATATTTGACAGAAGCAGTTCAATCCTTTTGTATAAATAGCAGTATTTTTTGTACAGAGAAAATATGCAAAATTATAACCATAAAAAGCTGTTTGTAACAATATTGTTCAGGTAAACATCTTGCTGTAGGTTATTTTCAGGGGTGGATTTAGGGGGCCCAGAGTGCCCCCTCCCCCCCTTTATGGAGCTTTATTTAATGGTTACCTATTCCACTACAAATTTTGTCTAGATTGGGGGCCCACATGCCCCCTTTTATTAAAATTCTGGATCCACATTTGATTTTATCTTAGAACTACAAGAGTTCAAATTAACACAATACTTGAATTTTTGTAATGCAGTTCTAAAATAGAATGGACTTTATTCATGAAAATTAGTTGAATGTAAACTTTTAAAGTGTATGATAATAGGCACAGTGTATAAACAATTAATATGATACTGCCTTTTACTGTTACCTATCTTATTTTTTCAGTATTTCTATTCAATTAAAGACATATCCATTGGTGGACAATGTATTTGTTATGGTCACGCTGGGAACTGTCAACCTGTAAAAAACACTGATGTAAGTAGATACACATAAAAGAAAAAGGATTTTTAAATAACAGCTTGGAAAGTTATAATTTTTAGGCTTAAGACAACTGCATCAATCTAGAATGATAGAATGATATATTGGAATGATTTGTGTTTGTTTAAATGTAATTTTTACATCAGGTTTATTATTATATGACATTATAGTTTTCCTTGGTTAAATTGAAACTTGCTTGAAGTTTAAAATCAAAATAAGATATGATTAAAAATTTCATATGGATCATACCCATATTATTTAAGCCCCTTATTGTCTTCCATGATATGAGTAAAACTGATACATTTATTGCAAATTGAAAATCAGTGCTGTTATTAAAATTTATGCTATGCATTTAAATCTTTTGACAAGACACATTTGTAAGGACTATGTTATGTCCATTTTCAGAGGCGGATTTAGGGGCGGCATGGTACCTGGGTCCCCCTTATGGAGCTACTTTTATGGTTAATCTAGACTTTTTACCAGTTCCGCTCCAAACTTTGTCAAAATCCTGGATCCGCATCTGATTTTACCAGTTTTTATTGAAAATTTGTAAAGCTGCTTAAAATTACAATATCTTGTTACAAAAAAATGTGAGAAAACATTTTCTTTCTATAATAATTTGATTTTTATTAGATGGATTACCTAACTCTTCTTGCAGCATGTTTTAATTGAAATAGGAAATTGGAGAAATAACTTGAAAATTATGTTGAGATTATAACACATTTTGGATGTTTTAATTTGCTCCAGGTTTCTTTTAAGAGGATGCTTTGTCTGTGCATATAAATAGTTAACAAGGTTTAATGGTTAATTAGATGTTTAAAACAAGGAATTATTTGAATCTGGAATAATTTTGAATTCTGGAAAATTGATAGGAAATGTATGATGAAAACTAATAAATGGCTAAGGGGGGTTAGTTAGTTCATATTGAAATATCAGTGAGAGTAAAATTAACCTTAGCTATGCACACATAGCTAACCCTCTTTAGTTTGGTTAGTTTTCATCATACATTTCTTATCAATTTCCCAGAATTCAGAATTATTCCAGATTGAATTAATTCCTTGTTTTAAAGTAATTTTGTCTTGGTAGAGATTATCATGTTCCTGTATCCACAACACTTGTGGTAATAACTGTGAGAAATGTTGTCTAGGATATCATCAGAAGCAATGGCAACCAGGTCATCTTGGGGAAGGATGTGAAAGTAAGTAATTATGATAGATAAATTGAATAATATACTGAAAATTCATGCAACCCTGCGTTAATAGTGGCACTCTCCCTACACAAGGCATCAGATATAACATCCCCATTTAGACTTGACATGCTGCATGGTTATTCAGCCAAACAGATGCCCCTGTTTTGCATGGGTTTTACTGCTGTGAGAAGTCAAGGTGACCATATTTCTACATTTTATGCAATTAAATAACCTTTCACAACTCATTGTATAGGACAATTTAGAAATTTTGCACCTTGCAAATTTATCCTTCAAGATTATATATTATGTAAAAGTGATAGTTTTTAAAGCATAAAAAGGATACTAGTAACAGAGGAATTACCAAAAATATTAGACAACACAACACACCACACCAACCAACAACACGGGACTTCTCTGGAGAAAAAATTATGTACAAACAACAAGGAGCAACAAATGGTCCAGAAAGCCTGACTTAGCACAGGCACAAAATGTGGTGGGGTTAAAACCAGTGTTACATACATAGTAACCCTTAGCCTCATTTAATCTATCTGGACCAATGGTGTAAAAGTAAAAAATAAAAAAAAAACTTGGAAAGTAGACAAAATTATGAAATAATGTATAAACTTACTGTATGTTGTCAGTGTTTATTTTGGCAAAATGCATTTGTTACAATTACTATATGGCAATGTTTATAATGCTACTAATACATGTGTTTGTGCAGCATTAATTCATCTGCAAATTTGTGTAGTACAGCTTATTAAGTTTAATTTCTATTGTTAACAGAGACTAATTGTTTTGAACAATTTGGTCACTGTTGTATACTATATCTTAGATGTTTGAACTGTTTATTTTGATAGAGTGTAACTGTCACAATCATGCAGATGACTGTGTTTACAATGCTACAGTTGATGCCAGAGGTTTAAGTTTAGATTTCAAAGGAGAATATATTGGAGGTGGTGTATGTCTGAACTGTAGGGTAAGAATTTATGTCAAAGAACTTTTCTCATCTAGCCTTCAACTAACCAAAAGAATAGTATAAGCTGTTACTCCAATTTTCATCTAGTAATAATCAAAACCAGCACAATAATACCTCCCCCCCCCCCTCAAAAAAAAAAAAAAATGAACAAAGAGAGAGCACTCAATATTGATTTGAAATACTATAGTAATTTTTTTAACTAGATTGTTCTGTTTTGGAAACAGTAGGACTTCCTTATTTCCAATAAACATTTTGTTTTTCTTAAGGTAATGAAACTTGATGATTGCTGTCTGTCCTTGTATCTTTTTAATATAAAAGTAAGGAGACATGGTGTGATTCCAATGAGACATAATTACAAGGATATCAACAATTATATGTCACTGTAAGGCTCAATGAGCAAAACCCATTCTGTATAGTAAGCTATAAAGGGCCATGATATGACAAAATGTGAAACAATTCAAAACAGCCTGATTTATGCTAGAAACAATAAAAGAAATACATATACAGCAGACAGCAATCAGAATTGGGCAGAGTTAAACATAGTCTGTGAGTGCTTAAACTTCCCCCTAACCTTGGACAGTAGTGTAACAGCATAACATAACATAACAAAATGTAAAAATCAGTTGGAAAGGACTTGTCTCGTCAGTTGGCAAGAAGTGCAACAAAATGACAAAAACACAAAGTACCAAGATAAGAGTACTTGCAGTTACTGAAGTCTAGTTCAAAGTTAATATCATCTAACAGATAAACCATGTTTTCCAGGCAGAAATATAAATGTGAAAACACAGGCATTGACTGAAGATAGGACCATAAGCATCCACAACTGTACAATAATATATATATTTAGACATTCTTCAATTTGTCTAAAAAAACAACCAACACCAGTACTGACAAAGTCAACACCCAAAAATCCCACAAAAGTGCCAAACCAATAACCATAAGATTGTTATGATCTCACTGAGATCATTCTACTCACTAAGGTACCGATTGAGGGTCTACTAAACTATAACTGTTTTTGAAGTATAATTTAATTAATTGTTAGATGAGGGAGGGTTGCCTCACCTGACTCACTGTGAGACAAAATTGAGTATGAATTAATGTTATATGTAAAAAAAATTCTTTTTGTTCAATCTTGTGTGGGAATGGATTTTTTTTTATCCAATCCCTTTGTTTTAATATAATTGATTTAAACAATCAAATCTTTGAATTGAAGATTGTTAACAAATGTTTATTTTATTTAAGGACTATACTACTGGTATTAATTGTGAACAGTGTATAGATGGATATTACCGTCCCTCTAGTATACCCCACACCTCACAGTATCCATGTAGGCAGTGCAGATGTAGAGAAACATTAGGGTCTACCGATAGATGTTATACTGATGATAGTCATGTTCAAGAGGGATTAGTAAGTTGTTTACCATAAAGTTGGTCTGACTCTTAAATCATAGGGAACTAGCTCGGTTGTCTTGTGGTAGTGTGTTGGACTTCAGTGCAATAGGTTATGGATTCATACCCTGGCCAGGTCAACCTAACTTAGCAGGCAGCATTAAGGAGTAAGGGTGAAATATCTTTTTGTGGACTGTTACCTTGTGAAGTAGCACATTCAAAATTCTGTGTGTCGGTCTAGTACAAAGCATTGTTATTATTGATATTTCATTAACATGTTCTTGTCCTGAATATGCATTTAATTTTGTCACTGGACATTAAACAGCCATGCATGCATCATGTAATTATAGAGTTTGGCTTAGAATGAAACTTTAAGATATTTTTAAGTTGCATTTTTTAAAAAGTAGAAACTTGTGATATAATAAACTGATAAATTCAGCACATAATGTCCTTAAAGAAAACCCACTCTGTAAAAATATTTTTAAAAGTTTTTTGTCTACAGAAATTGTGATTTTCCATTTTGATATATTTCAGCAACCTGGAGACTGTATTTGTAAGCCAGGATTTGGTGGACGTCAGTGTAATGGTTGTGCCTATGGTTATTATGGATATCCTTACTGTAAACCCTGTCCATGTAATCCTGCTGGGTCAGTTGATCCTTCCAGATGTGATGGTAACTGTATATGTAAGGTAGGAATCACTGTTGGTTATTACATAGAAAAGAAATAACTGTATAGCTTTGAAGAGTTCTAGGTGTCAGTTATGAATTTTACTTCCCTGATTTACTGAAAGCATGTTAGGAATCCAGTTAGGTAGATTTTTCTAACCGTCAACAGACAGATTTATATGTAAAACTCTTCACTCACAGTCTAGAAGTTTTGATGATAATGAAGTTGTAACAAATATTATTCCTTTTAAAAATTGAATTTGAGCAAAGGATCTCCTACAGTGATGCATGGAAATCTTCTGTTTATTGTTGACTGTTAACTAGTATAAAAAGATGTGGTATGATTGCCGATGATAAATCTCTCCACCAGAGACCAAATGACCTAGAAGTTTACAACTCTAGGTCACCATTCGGCCATCAACAATGAGCAAAACCCATACCGCATAGTCAGCTATTAAAGGCCTTGAAATGACAATTGTAAAACAATTCAAATGAGAAAAATAACCCCTGATTTATGTACAAAACAATGAACAAAAAACAAATATGATATACAGAAACAAACGACAACCACTGAATTACAGGTTCCTGACTTGGGACAGACACATACAGAATGCGGCGTGGTTAAACTAGTTTGTTGGTGCGAAACCCTCCCCCTAACCTGGGACAGTGGTGTAACAGTACAACATAAGAACAAACTATAAAAATCAGTTAAAAAGGCCTTAACTCATTAGATCGATACAAAGCAGAAAAACATCAAACAAAAACACAGACCGGATGTGGCAGAGTATATATACATCCCCACAACTAAAAAGGCACAACTTACAGATCTGAGAGCATTTGCAGTTACTGACAGCTAGTTCAGAGCCAATAACAACTAATAAAAAAATCATGCATCTAAGACTAAAATATCAATCAGTACACATCCATTATCTAATGGATTTAGTGTAAAGACGTAATTAACAGTCAGAGAAAAACATAACCTTGTGCAATGCCAAGATACAGGTATTGACAGATTGTAGATCCATGAATGTGCATATGTATATAAAAATTATATTTAGTTACATTTTAATTTACTGATAACTAAAATCAATAGGTTGATAAGTAAATATTTAATCTAATCTTAAAATTACACTCAGTGTTTAGAATAAAAAAAAAGTGATAATCGGTGTGCAGTGCAGAAGAATGTAGATATTGTAAATATTTTAATCTTGGAATCTAGCCATGGTAAATCTTAAGGGAGAAAAGCCTGTTCCATATGGTCAATGTGCTGCAGGAGTAATTCTATTTTGAATATTTAGTCTACTGCATACTAATTTTCTGTTTTTAGCTCACCTGGCCAAAAGGGCCAAGTGAACTTTTCTCATCACTTGGCGTCCGTCGTCCGTCATCCGTTAACTTTTACAAAAATCTTCTCCTCTGAAACTACTGGGCAAAATTTAACCAAACTTGGCCACAATCATCATTGGGGTATCTAGTTTAAAAAATTTGTCTGGTGACCCGGCAAACCAACCAAGATGGCCACCATGGCTAAAAATAGAACATAGGGGTAAAATGTAGATTTTGGCTTATATCTCTGAAACCAAAGCATTTAGAGCAAATCTGACATGGGGGTAATATTGTTTATCAGGTCAAGATCTATCTGCCCTGAAATTTTCAGACAAATCTGACAACCCGTTAATGGGTTGCTGCCCCTGAATTGGTAATTTTTAGGAAATTTTGAAGTTTTTATACGCCCGTCAATTTTTGACGGGACGTATTATGGTATACAAATGTCCGGTGTCCATCCGTCTGTCCGTCCGTCTGTCTGTCCGGCGTAAACATGTCGCACCGTAACTTGAGAATGACTTATCCAAATTTCATGAAACTTAACATAGTTGTTTCTTATGATGGTCAAACGATCTGTATACTTTTTGGTGAAAATAAGATTAAAACTTTTTGAGTTACGGGACTTAGTAACTAAAACAGGTGTGTGTTTTTTTTCACATGTCGCGCCGTATCTTAAAAACAATTTATGGTTATTGCTTAAAACTTTACACACTTCTTAGTTATATTAATCTTAAGATCTGTATACTTTTTGGTGATGATTCAAAATTTTATTTTAGAGATATTGAGTATTTTGTTAAAAAAGGGGAGGGGTTTTTCACATGTCGCGCCGTATCTCAAAAACGATTTATGATTATTGCTTAAAACTTTACACACTTCTTAGTTATATTAACCTTAAGATCTGTATACTTTTTGGTGATGATTCAAAATTTTATTTTTGAGTTATTGAGTATTTTGTAAAAAAAGGGGGAGGGGTTTTTCACATGTCGCGCCGTATCTCAAAAACAATTTATGATTATTGCTTAAAACTTTACACACTTCTTAGTTATATTAATCTTAAGATCTGTATACTTTTTGGTGATGATTCAAAATTTTATTTTAGAGATATTGAGTATTTTGTTAAAAAAGGGGAGGGGTTTTTCACATGTCGCGCCGTATCTCAAAAATGATTTATGATTATTGCTTAAAACTTTACACACTTCTTAGTTATATTAACCTTAAGATCTGTATACTTTTTGGTGATGATTCAAAATTTTATTTTTGAGTTATTGAGTATTTTGTAAAAAAAGGGGGAGGGGTTTTTCACATGTCGCGCCATATCTCAAAAATGATTTATGATTATTGCTTAAAATTTTACGCACTTCTTAGTTATATTAATCTAAAGATCTGTATACTTTTTGGTTTTGATTCAAAATTTTATTTGAGAGATATTGAGTTTTTTGTAAAAAAAAAGGGGGTTTTTCGCATGTCACGCCGTATGTCAGAAACTATTTATGCTTATTGCATTAAAATTCACACACAAGACGACGGGCGTATCATGCACTCATGGCGCAGCTGTTTATTGGTTTTTATCTTGAATATTATTATAGATAGGGATAAACTGTAAACAGCAATAATGTTCAGCAAAGTAAGATCTACAAATAAGTCGCATGACCAAAATTGTCAGTCGACCCCTTTAGGAGTTATTGCCCTTTATAGTCAATTTTTAACAATTTTTTGTAAATTTTTGTAATCTTTTACAAAAATGTTCTTCTCTGAAACTACTGAGACAAATTTAACCATACTTGGCCATAATCATTATTAGGGTATCTAGTTTAAAAAATTTGTCCGATGACCCCGCCTTCCAACCATCATGGCCGACATGGTTAAAAATAGAACATAGGGGTAAAATGCAGTTTTTGAAGCATTTAGAGCAAATCTGACAGGTGGCAAAAATGTTCATCAGATTTAGATTTATCTGCCCTGAAATTTTCAGACAAATCCGACAACCCGTTGTTGGGTTGCTGCCCCTGAGTTAGTAATTTTACAGAAATTTTGCAGTTTTTGGTTATATCTTAGATATGATTATAATATCTAATATCTAATACTATCAATTATGATTTTAACCTTATTTTACATGATTTCCAAAGCATCAGTATATACAGGTGAGCGACACAGGCTCTTGAGAGCCTCTAGTTTAGACATTGACTTTATAAAAAGTTCACTATGAAGGAAGAAGTTATTAAAATTTGCATATAATGTTCATGTTGAAATCAATTGGTATTCTTTAAAACAAATAGTGTTTGGTTGTATAAACAAGCCATTGGCTATTTTTTACTGAGTAGACTGTACCTGAGAAACGGAAAATTTACCTTATGCAGTTCATTTTTATCCGGAAGTAAGATGAGCATTGAAGATAAGTCAACACAAAAAAAAAAATAAAGGTGTAAATCATAGTTTTATGCTTTTATATTAAAACTGAATGTATCCATTTATGTTTATGTTTCTTTTCTCAAATTATAGCCAAATGTGGAAGGACTAACATGTGACCAGTGTAAACAGGGATATTATAATCTAGATAGAAATCATCCAGATGGTTGTAGGAAATGTTTCTGTTTTGGTATATCAACAATATGCCAGAGCTCTGATCTAAGATTGATGAAGGTAGGAATTATTTTTATATGGAAAAGTAAAGAGATGAGAAGTATTTAGATAAAAAAGACTTAATTGTATGGCAAAACAATAAACAAAAACAAAAAACAAAACATTTGAGGTTAGGCCACACCAATTTGATTAATAGTTCTTTAGATTTTCCCAATCCTGTTTGGGAGAAATTGACTTTTCCAAAAAAAAGTTACTGCTTCCGCAAATTTTTGGTCCTCATGCCGCTCCAAAATTAGTTCTCCTTGAAATTTTTTTTTCACATAGACGCTTTTCTGTTGCATATAATGCTCCTATCATAAATCGATTTGTAAATAAAAGGTCAAAAATCGGGATGCCAACATGCAGTTGTGTCAGCTCATTGCCGTGGACAAGTAGTTATTGAACACACAGTTATCCAAAATGCTTCTCGTTTTACCTTTAAAGACCTGTTCTAGGTGATGCCGTATTGTGATTGGCATGCTCATGATAATTAGGGGTGTGTAATTGGTTCAACCACTTCTAGTCCAGCTAAAGAGTTTTAAATGCATTACAGCTTTTAGGAGCAAAAGGAAAGAGTATTTTGCTCAGTAAGAAAAATGCATGTGAATGGGGTGACAGGTATTTTAAAGGAATATTTTAATATATTTGGATCTACATGTATAGCAATATAACTATCTTACTCAGGATGTTGTTTTAGTACAAAGCAAGAAATATTCACCTCACTCATTATTGATCCTAAATATGCATAAATAGTTCCAACTGGATGTCAAGCAGCCAATAAATAAAGGCAACAGTAGTATACCGCTGTTCAATAGTCATAATTCCATTAAGCAAAAACAAATTTGGGTAACAAACTAAAACCGAGGGAAACACATCAACTATAAGAAGAAAACAACGGAACAACAGAAACACTGAACTTCAACAATAAACAATCATTACCATATTATAATGAAAACTATCACATATCTTTCAGAGGCATTTTTTAGGATACATACACATATTTTAGTTAGTCCCCTACCGACGAAGTGGATGGGGACTTTAGGTTTGCACTCTGTCTGTCTGTCTGTCTGTCTGTCTGTCCATCCGTCAGTCAGAAAATCAGTTTTCCACACTTTTTTTAGCTCACCAGGCCCAAAGGGCCAAGTGAGCATTTCTCATCACTTGGCGTCAGTCGTTCGTCGTCCCGCGTCCGTCGTCTGTCTTCCGTAAACTTTTACAAAAATCTTCTCCTCTGAAACTATTGGGCCAAATTTAACCAAACTTGGCCACAATCATCATTAGGGTATCTAGTTAAAAAAATGTGTTCGGTGACCCGGCCAACCAACCAAGATGGCCACCATGGCTAAAAATAGAACATAGGGGTAAAATGTAGATTTTGGCTTATATCTCTGAAATAAAAGCATTGAGAGCAAATCTGAAGTGATAAAAATGTTTATCAGGTCAAGATCTATCTGCCCTGAAACTTTCAGATGAATCAGACAACCCGTTGTTAGGTTGCTGCCCCTGAATTAGTAATTTTAAGGAAATTTTGCCGTATATGGTTATTATGTTGAATATTATTATAGATAGAGATAAACTGTAAACAGCAATAATGTTCAGCAAAGTAAGTTCTACAAATAAGTCAACATGACCAAATGGTAAGTTGACCCTTAAGGAGTTTTTGCCCTTTTATAGTCAATTTTTAACAATTTTTCGTAAATTTTTGTTATCTTTTACAAAAATCTTCTCTGAAACTACTAAGATGAATTTACCCAAAGTTGTAAACAATCATCATTAGGGTATGTAGTTTAAAAATTGTGTCTGATGACCCCGCCCGCGAACCAAGATGGCCGACATGGCTAATATTGGTACATAGGGTAAAATGCAGTTTTTTGCTCATATATCTAAACCCAAAGAGGTCAAGATCTATCTGCCCTTAAATTTTCAGACCATTCAGGCAACCTGTTGTTGGGTTGCTGCCCCTGAATTGGTAATTTTTAGAAATTGTTTCAGCTTTTGGTTATTATCTTGAATATTATTATAGATAGAGATAAACTGTAAACAGCAATAATGTACAGCAAAGTAAGACCTACAAATAAGTCAACTTGACCAAAATGGTCAGTTGACCCCTTAAGGAGTTATTGCCCTTTATAATCAATTTTTAACAATTTTCATAAATTTTGTAAATTTTTACAAAATAATTTCCACTGAAACTACTGGGCCAAGTTCATTATAGATAGAGATAATTGTAAGCATCAAGAATGTTCAGTAAAGTAAGATCTACAAACACATCACCATCACCAAAACACAATTTTGTCATGAATCCATCTGTGTCCTTTGTTTAATATGCACATAGACCAAGGTGAGCGACACAGGCTCTTTAGAGCCTCTAGTTCTTCATGCTCCAAGATATTTATTTGTTAATTGATATATAGTTTTATCATGACAAGTTACAGATCAAGTTCGAAATTTGTTCCAGTCTGATGATTTTGTGCAGAGTTATGGTCCTTGGACTTCGAAAATTTACTCAAATAATTAGTTTTCAGCAATTTTTTCCATCATGCTAGAATATATTGATTTGATAATAGGTATATAGTTTTATCATGACAAGTTACAGATCAAGTTCAAACTTTGTTCTGGTCTGATGTTTTTGTGCAGAGTAATGGTCCTTTGACTAAGAAAATTCACTCAAATAATCAGTTTTCCACACTTTTTTGTCATGCTTGAAGATATTGACTTGATATTTGTTATATACTTTAAACCATGACAAGTTATAGATCAAGTTTGCACTTTGTTCCAGTACAATGAATTTTTACCGGTAGCAGACTATGTATTGCCGTGCAATACTCTCAGAATGCTTGTTTTATTCAACATGTGTCATTTACCTAACTAACATACTTCCTCTAGTAAAACTGCATCTGCTATGCTTCCTAAATATATATATGGTTTTAAATGAAAATTCACATAGACAAAGCTTACTTGAAGAAAATAACCAAAATTAACTAAACCACAGTCAGACAAGAAAGTCTGATATGGTATAGGAACCAATAAATCAAATTATATGCATTAGAGCATCATTGAACCACGTTAATCTATGAAATAACCCAGTTATAACATGTACATAAATTGTACAACTTCTAAATCACACAATTTAAAAAAAAAATTATACTGCTCGCTTCACTTGTAGAGCACTCCTCCAAAAAACTCATTTTCAAGAAATATATAAAAAAAAAAAATATTTCGCTCGCTCAACCCCTATTTTTTGGAGCATTTGTCCAAAGAACTATTAGTCAAATTGTTGTGGCCTTATGGTTGTAAAAGGAACTGGGACCAATTAATTTTTTTGATGGCAGAAATAAAATGTGTGATGACCATACCAACACTAAGAAATTCAGATTTTATCATATTTTTTTTCATGACAGATATCACACTTGTTGGGTGGAATGGGTGGATGGACAGTAACCACACTGACCACTGAGGGTTTTACATTGTTTGTCCAACCTAACAATAAGGGATGGCTGGAGTACCTGTCTTATCCAGCTTCTAGTCAGAACTCATTGGACCAGACAGGTTCTGATGTTATATACTACTGGCAAGCTACAATCAAATATCTAGGCAACAGGGTAAGTACTGCAGCCTTATCCAGCTTCTACTCAGAATTCATTGGACCAGACAGGTTCTGATGTTATATACTACTGGCAAGCTACAATCAAATATCTAGGCAATAGGGTAAGTACTGCAGCCTTATCCAGCTTCTACTCATAATTCATTGGACCAGACAGGTTCTGATGTTATATACTACTGGCAAGCTACAATCAAATATCTAGGCAATAGGGTAAGTACTGCAGCCTTATCCAGCTTCTACTCAGAATTCATTGGACCAGACAGGTTCTGATGTTATATACTACTGGCAAGCTACAATCAAATATCTAGGCAATAGGGTAAGTACTGCAGCCTTATCCAGCTTCTACTCAGAATTCATTGGACCAGACAGGTTCTGATGTTATATACTACTGGCAAGCTACAATCAAATATCTAGGCAATAGGGTAAGTACTGCAGCCTTATATCAAAATAGATATTATTGCATAAAAAGCTAGTCAAGTTGTTGTATGGGATATTTATAATTGCATTGATTTGGATTACATTGTTTTGGATTACATTGTTTTGGATTGCATTGTTTTGGATTACATTGTTTTGGATTACATTGTTTTGGATTACATTGTTTTGGATTACATTGTTTTGGATTGCATTGTTTTGGATTGCATTGTTTTGGATTACATTGTTTTGGATTACATTGTTTTGGATTGCATTTAGAGAGATAGGAATAATAACAATGTAGAAATTTTTCAAATTAAAGAGAAAGACTAGATTTGCATGTTACAGAGAAACAGTTGATTGATAATGGCTGTAATTAGTCAATATTCTGTAATGAACATGAATTGAGTAGAGAATTTAAGTTTTTTACATAGATAAAAAAGGGTATATCTGTATAGATTTGTTTGTTGAAAGAAAACTGTAAAAGGGGATATATGTGAGTTTTATCTATTTCATATTGATGATATTTCAGTCTCTAATGTGAAATAAAAGTATCATTTAAAATGATAATGAGTTGATGTTTTCTTTTCTTAATTTCAGTTAACATCGTATGGAGGAACATTAGAGTATATACTACAATATGATTTAGATACAACAGTACCATTCCAGAGACATATCTTTGATGTTAATGTGATTATTCAGGTTGGTGTTTCTGTATATTTTCTATTTACATGAAATCAGAGAAACAGTTGATTTTTGTCGAGCCTGTGACTTCTGTCGCAGAAAGCTCGACATAGGGATAGTGATACGGCAGTGGCAGCGGCGGCGTTAACTAACTTTAAAGCTTAATATTTCAGAAGGTAGAAGACCTGGATGCTTCATACTTTGTATATAAATGCCTTATGGTATGAAGTTTCCGTCTGTCATATGTCCATTGTCCTTGGTCTCATTTTCATGGTTCAGTGACTACTTGAAAAAAAAGTTAAGATTTTTTGTAATGTTAATTTCTCTCTTATTATGAGTAATAGGATAACTATACAGTCAAACCTGCCTTAACGACCACCTGTATTGAACGACCACATGCTGTTAACGACCACTTTTCAAGTCCCCCAATAGATTTCCCTATTTATTTTAACTGTATTAAGCAACCACCTGCTTAACGTGACCAGCAACGGCATAAATTTGATCAAATGACCACATGCACTGTCTTAAACGACCACAATTTACTTGGAAGGATCAGCGGCTTTCAAAAAAGTGTAATCATACCGCCATTTTGATGATCGATGTTGACTTTCCTCTTGTTTAAACTCGGCCGATCCGTTGCGAGAGTAGCAGATTCACTTGAGGATTGCCGCTTGTTGACATTCTAACAATCGGCAATCCTTGAGTGAATCCACTAGAATGGAATTGACTGAGTTTAGACAATTGATTACCACAAAGTTCAAAAATCAGGCCAAAGATCGCTTATTTCTAATTATTTTAAAGTTCAACTCGTGTTTGGAGTGAAATTGGTTATTCAAAGGGAACTACTGGCAGTTATATGATTGTGACAAAAATTACCAAAAATGACGATGATGCAGTTGATGATTACACAATATAATTAGCATGGCTAGAGAAATAAATATTTCTTAACAGTTATAAGAAACAAGTGATCAAATTATATTTTTAATTGAATAAAACGTATTTGAAAGTCCTTGCATAATGAGACAATTTATATAAAATCTTGAAGAACAAATGAGGGCTCTGCAACCTGGGGTATTTTCACAGTAATTAGATTGGACCTAATATAACAAGGAAATGTATGAACACATTAAAAGAAAATACAAAAAGACAAGGAAAAAATTTAATTAGATAAATATACATACAAGACCAATACAGTATTGTTAACTCACACTAGTATGTTCAAAAGTTATAATGCACATAAATGCTTCCTTCTATTCAAATTGGGGAACCTGTATTCAAAGACCACCTGTATTAAGAGATCACTTTTGCATTCTCCCTTGAGTGGTCTCTTAATACAGGTTTGACTGTATTTGGTATGTGCGTACCTTGCAAGATCATCATGCCTGTCAGACAGTTTTCACTTGATCTCGACCTCATTTCATGGATCAGTGAACAAGGTTAAGTTTTCCTGGTCAAGTACATATCTCAGATACTATAAGCAATAGGTCTACTATATTTGGTGTTTGTAATGATTGTAAGGTGTACATGTCCAACTGGCAGGTGTCATCTGACCTTGACCTCATTTTCATGGTTCAGTGGCAAAAGTTAAGTTTTTGTGTTTTGGTCTGTTTTTTTAATACTGTATGCAATAGGTCAACTATATTTGGTGCATGGAAATATTTTATGATGTACATGTCAGTCTGGCAGGTTTTATTTGAGCTTGACCTCATTTGCAAGGTTCATTGCTCAATGTTAAGTTTTTGTGTTTCGGTCTGTTTTTCTAATACTGTATGCAATAGGTCAACTATATTTGGTGCATGGAAATATTTTACGATGTACATGTCAGTCTGGCAGGTTTTATTTGAGCTTGACCTCATATGAAGGTTCATTGCTCAATGTTAAGTTTTTGTGTTTCGGTCTGTTTTTCTAATACTGTATGCAATAGGTCAACTATATTTGGCTTATGGAAATATTTAACGATATACATGTTAGTTTGGCAGGTTTTATTTGACCTTGACCTCATTTTCATGGTTCATTGCTCAATGTTAAGTTTTTGTGTTTTGGTCTGTTTTTCTTAAACTTTAAATAATAGGTCAACTATATTTGGAGTATGGAATGATTGTAAGGTGTATATGTCTTACTGGCAGGTATCATCTGATGTTGACCTTGTTTTCATGGTTCATTGGTCAATGTTCAGTTTTCCTGGTTAACTTTGTTTCTTAGATACCATAAGCAATAGGTCAATTTTATTTGATGCATGGAATGATTTTTAGGTGCACATATCTGTCTGGCAGGGTTCATCTGACCTTGACCTCATTTTCATGGTTCATTGGTCAGTATATAATTTCCATGGTTTGATCTGTTTCTTTTATACTATAAGTAATAGGTCATCTATATTTGGTGTATGGAATGATTGTATTAAAGGTGTACATGTATTTCTGGCTTGGTTTATCTGACCTTGACCTCATTTTCTTGGATCATAAATGTTAATGTGATACTTGTATTTAAACTTTATATTTAGGACTATCAACATAAAATCAATGGTCAGTATAGTAGGCGAGATATTTCAACGTGTGCACTCTTGTTTATTTATAAGTAAATCATGTGGTAGCAAGATTCAGTCAATAGTAAAACATTGAATTCCTATGTAGTACTGGTAATATGCAGTAATGTACAAATATAATAATGGTTTTCTAATTCTGTGTTTCATGAGATAATAATTAGTTGATGAATTAATTGTAGTTCGTTTAACATACAGTGGTAGATAACTTAGTAAATTGTACCCAACTAACTGGCATTTAAACGAAAAAAAGGTTTAAGAAGTTACTAAGGGTTTAAAAATAAAATCCTTTCCATTTCTAACTGGCTTCAAGTAGAATTATTAGAGATGTTTTCTTTGCTTTCAGGGAAGCAATATAACTTTAACCAGTGGTAAAGGCTATGTCCGAGAGAACAATGACCATACTGAGAGACTGACATTGACAGAGAATAACTGGTACAGAATGACAGATGGAGGGAGATATGTAGACTTACAACCTGTCAGTAAACAAGACTTCATGACAGTTCTATATAATGTGGAAAGACTACTGATCAGAGCTACCTACCATACTGGACAGAAAACTATGTAGTATGTATATGGTACACTATACAACACTCCTCCCTTACTCTGTAAATTATATTGTCATTACACAGGCTTAAGTACATTATTTAGGGAAAAATTCTGTCGAAGCCACATACCATTAAAAAAAGAATACCATATGTATCTTGCCAAAAATAGACCTAACCACTACGTATAACAGACCAGTGTAACATATTACAAAGAACATAAAAATGTGCAAGTTGTATTACCCATAGTGTTCAATATATCCTCACATTTTGTAAACAGCTCTTTATAAAGCATGGAAACTTTATACATATCATTCAGGACATGGTATGTATCTAGAAAGTGTATAGCACTTTTCCTTAATTCACAACAGCAACTCATTAATACCTTTAAATAAATCGTCTATAGATCAATATTAGATTATATTTCTGTAGTTTGATTGATATTACCTTCAATTTCAGTTTAAAGAGTGTTACCTTAGATACAGTTAGTGCCTCCTCTCCAAGCAACCTAACACTACCTACTGTAGAGAAATGTAACTGTCCTCGAGGCTATCATGGATTATCTTGTGAGGTATGTATGATATTGTTTCTTTCAAGTGCTACATTAAGATATGTTTAAATATATGATTAATTTTATGATTTATTTGTCAATAAATTAGAGAAATAGTTTTACTGCATAGAATTTATAAGGAAATTATAAAAGGAAAATAATGATGAAATCATCTCAAAATATTTAAATCATATATTTCTTTTTAGATGGCCTTACAGCTTATTTTTAGCACTATATCCACATTAATGGTGGACAGTTCTGATATTGAAAGACATTTCAGTCAAATGAAAAAGAAGGGAAATGAATATTTTTATACTTTTAAAATGATTGTAGTGTTCATGCACCAAGCATAACTTTCACCCCAGTTGTAGTATTGTTTATTAGTCCCCTACCGACGAAGTCGAAGGGGACTTTAGGTTTGCACTCTGTCCGTCTGTCTGTCCGTCCGTCCGTCTGTCTGTCCATCAGTCAGTCCGGCAAATCAGTTTTCCAGACTTTTTTTCTTCATTCTTGAAGATATTGATTTGATATTTGGTGTATTGTTTTATCATGACAAGTTACAGGTCAAGTTCGATTTTCACGATTTTAGCTTTTCTCATTGTTCAGTTACAGCCCTTTCCCTAGAATTAAATTTTTGATGAAATACTTATTAATTACTAGATTTCTGTTCAAAGGGAATTAACTCATTTTTTTTTGTTAAAGATTTGTAAAAGACATTGTATTAAGATAAATGACATTTTGGATTTTCTTTCCTTTTCTTTAGTAAATTGTTTGAAGAATTTAGTGGTAGGTTTGCTCCATCACAATGAATTTTTAACCGGTAGGGGACTCTGTATTGCCATGCAATACTCACAAAATGCTTGTTTATATTGAAAACAGAGTTGTCTGCCTGGCTACAGAAGGGTAGATGATATTGTCTATGGAGGAAGATGTCAACAATGTCAGTGTCATCAGCATGCTGACAAGTGCAATCCTAACACTGGAAAATGTATAGTAAGTTGACCTTGAAAATGTATAGTAAGTTGACCTTGAAAATGTATAGAAAGTTTACCTGATGATTCCAATATTGGTCTTAAGTGACTGTCACAGAGATAACTATTATGATTAAGCTTATACATGTAATTAAATAATATTTTTTTTTATAATTGTGATTATGAATGTATTGCAATAGTCTATTGCTCGAATATCTGTTCTAATATCAACTTACTGTATGAATGATGTTTAAGCCAAGAGATAAGTGTTACTTTTTAGTAGAAATATCATCAACATACAGTGTGTGGTCATATTTGTTTGTGGTTAAGAGTTAACCCCAGGGCCTTATAACACCATGGTGCCATATATATTTTTTACCATTGTGCTGTCTGAATTGATTTTATGGTAGAATGTTTAATATCATGTGGTGCTATTATTTATGGAAAACAGTACTATTTCAAATCCCTTGGTGCTATTTAAAAATACTGGGGAGAACAATATCAGGTTGCTTGTACATGTTTGATTGGAGAAAAAGAAAAATTTAATAAGCAACATTTTCTGTGCTTCTTAGAATTCTAAGTAGTTGTTTTAGTGTTGACCATGAATCAGCATTCAGAATAATTTTTTTTCAGGACTGCAAGGATCACACTACGGGGGACAGATGTGATCAATGTTTACCTGGTTACTATGGCGATCCTATGAAGGGAACTCCAATGGATTGCAAAGCATGTGCCTGTCCATCAATTGACCCCAGAAATAATTTTGCCACCAAATGTGAATGGCACCCTGTTATTTTAAATGAAGATAATTATCATTGTTTGGACTGTAGAAGAGGACATGTAGGAGTACATTGTGAACTGTAAGTTTTTTTTCATTTGTTATAGTAATCTTTATTACTTTACAATCAGGTAAGTTGTTTTTTTTTTAAATTTAAATCAAGATTTTCAGAGTTAGAGCATACTTTTGAAACTGAAATTTAATTAAAGAGGTGAATTTTGTAAAATTCATACAGATTATAATTGACGCATGCACTTTCTGTGTATTATAAGAAAGGAGATAAATGCACATATTGTGTTATTGAAAGTATCATTTGAAGACCATTGAAAATTAAATCAATATTTGAAAATTTGATGAATATTATAGTTGTGGTCCAGGTTACTATGGTGACCCGTTGATACCAGGAGGATATTGCCGATCATGTGAATGTAATGGAAACATTGACTTGAGAGACCCTTTCAGTTGTGATTCTATGTCAGGAAGATGTTTGAAATGTTTGAATAATGCTGATGGTGACCGATGTGGTGTGTGTAAAGCTGGGTTCTACGGCACAGCTGTAAACGGGGACTGCTCAGGTATTGTTAAATACTTGATACACCATAAGTTTTGAAAAAAATACTTTATTTCATGTTTAGCCATTTCTAGTTTACTTTGCGGCAATTTATTTTTGCAGTTTTCTTATTTTCTTCATGTACTTATGTAAAGGAAAATCTAAGAATTGCATATTCACGATATTTTTCTATTTATGATGTTGTGATATTAGTTGGTTTACAGTGTCTGAATTGGATGTATTTTTCACACCTAATTACACATCACAGAAATGATTAGATAGGACTTAAAGATGGCTTACTCTTTTTTTTATAAAAATTGCATTAAGTGTTACCCTAGACCATCCTTCCATCTGTTGGTCTTTCCATCTGTCCCATTTTCGTTTCCGCACTCTAACTTTAGTTTGACTCCTGCAAATTTTATGCAAACTCAAACATAATGCTAAGAACCACAACACGCAAACAGAGATCGAATATGGGCAGTGAGTCATTTAATGTTCTAGAGTTATATCCCATTATAACTTGGAAAATTGCAAATTTTTCAGTTTCTGCACTCCAACTTAAGTTTGTCTCATCCAAATTTTATGAAACTGATATTCAATGCAGTGATCCACAACACGCAGATAGAATTCAAATATGGGCAGTAATTCATTTACTATTCTGGATTTATGCCCCTTTTTAACTTGGAAAATTGCAAAACTTGAGTGGGGGCATTCGTGAAAGAAGTGTTTTATTGGCAAATACAGAAATAATGATGAAATTGTTTAAATGTAGTGTTATAAAAACATTGAAATATTGCATTTTTGATTTTGGGTTGACCATATATTATAAAACATTGAAATTATTACATTGTTTCCCTTCTGAATTTTAATTTTTAGATCTTTAGTTAGTTATTTAGAAGTGTAATTGTGATAGAGTTTTAAAAGACTATGGAATATTTCTTATTTTCATAATACACATTTTGTAATGTTTCAGCATGTGATTGTGACAGTTACGGGTCCACTGGTTTGTCTTGTGACCGTTTTACAGGTCAATGTCAGTGTAAAGAAAACTTTGGAGGAAGAAAGTGTGATCTATGTCAGGTAACTTTGACATCTTAAATATATACTATGATTAGCCTTATTAAGATGACCTTTCAATTAATGATTTGGGTTATGGTGTTTGTATTTAGTTTTTGAAGAAGATCATTAGTTTGAACTAGTTAGAAAAAAAATAGGATCCAATATGTAAAAAGAAGATGTGTGAAATTGGGGATTAGACAGTCACTTATGAACATCTAAAAGTTTATTCAATGTAAGCAGACAAGAGGTTTATTTAAGGGAGAAGGGGGATAGGAACTACGGAGGAGTGTTCTTTTAAATCTTTTTTTTTTGGAAACATATACTTTTGCTATTCTAAACACAAGAATACATACAGCACAGAAAACCCAGGTTTATTCACTAATTCAAGTTAAAGACACCAAGGTTCAATAAACATAGTAAAGACATGTTTACAATATAGCAACTAACATTGGTAACTAACCCCTTAACATAAATAACAGCAGTAACTAACTTTAACATCATTATTATTTGTAATCTTATTTCACAAGCATTTTTCATCTAATTTGATTGATTCTTACATGCAATTGATAACAATCTAACAGATAAAGTAAAGTTATTAAGAGTGTTAGATAATTCATTAACTTTACAGAAAGGATTTGGTCAGATGGAAGAGGGTTGTCTCCCCTGTGATTGTGATGATCAGGGTTCAGCAGGGGACCAGTGTGATCCCTATACTGGGCAGTGTGTTTGTAAGATAGGTGTAACAGGACTTCAGTGTAAAATATGCAAGGAAGGGTTTTATGGATTTTCTTATAGAGGGTGTATTGGTATGTCTTTCCATCAAAATATATTTTCAGAATTAATTTATACAATATCTTTAAAATCTAATAAGTTTTGATGAGTAAAAGTTTAAATGAGGAAATTAGTTTTAAGTAAAAATATCTCTAGAATTTTAGTAATGTTTAATATGTGATTTTTTTTTGTTTTTAACACAAAATTTTCAGATAATTTTTAAGTGAAACTTTTGATACTAAATTAATTTTTTTTTTTTAAAATGATGACATTTGATGACAATTTAGACTTATATGTTTTACACCAGATTGTAATTGTGACCCTGATGGAACTAACCAGACATATCAGTGTAGTATGAACACAGGTTATTGTAACTGTTTACCCAATGTTATTGGTTCTAAATGTGACAGTTGTCAGGTACAATGCTTGTCCCAAATATTAACCTATCTGCTAGTAGTTCTTTTCTTCTTGAACTGCCGGAAATAGATTCTTCTTTTTTTGACAAGTATTATTGTCAGATTTGGCGGGTTGTGTTATCTGTTACCACACTATATAATTGGACATGTAAAGTCTTGTTGCCAAACCATTTCAGTAAGATGGATTTCTGTTCTTATCATTTTCAATATTGATATAAGAAAAAGAAATGCAAATTTTAAAGAATCCATTGTCATTTCTATGATGATAATTGATAGTTTGAAGAGAAATAAGGTTCTGGTTAAAGCTAGGTTCTGGTTTTCACCTTTAATTCAAATGTTTCACTTGATAAATTTGCTTGGTAGTTTTGAGAGGTTCAGACACCTGATTCTCCAGAAAAATCTTATTCCTCATGCTTAATTCTGTACTGAGGTATATCTATGAAGAAGATACCATTTATATTATTCAAATTCATTTGTTGTATGTATTTTCTGTTTTTTTTGTACATTCAGAAAAGGTAAAAAAAATAGAATGTTAATTTTTTATTTTTTTTAGCGCAGTATGAGTCTTCGGTCAGCAATTTTTCATTAATTATGAACATAAGAAAATGTTAGGTATAGGTCAATGATATGACAACTAAACAGGATAATTACAAAAGAGAACAAAAAATTGTATAAGATTTATCTAGGATAAATGAAGGAGGTTATTTATAGTTTACTCTGGGACCAATATATCTATTAGTTTCTGATGCTGTCTATAATTTCAGGTTTTCTATTTGTTGATTGTTGTTGATAATAAAAACATTGGATGAAGTTTTATCTGTTCTTGGTTTCCTAAATGAAGTCTGTTTTGTTAAGTATCTGTTCGTTAAATTTGATTGGTTCACTTTAATCACGATCTGTGTTCTCAATGACTACCAATATATTTGATTGTATATCATTTTAAGCACTTTGTTTCTTTATTTCTAAATATGCTGGACTTTACCCTTATAATGTAGTGCATGAATTTCAGGAAAAGTAGTGGCTAGGAAATTTATACATGTAGTTACAAAAATATATGCATTTTATATCTATATGCATAAACATCTGATTTACTTTTTGACATTTTTCTCAGCTTATTTTCATATGTTATCTTGCCATCCTTAGTGTTGTAAGTTTTTCAAAACTTTTACAGAACTTGCAAATAATACCAGGTCTGGTACAACATATTCTCATTCTTTACCTTACACTTTAAAGAAATTGGATAATGTCTGAAAACTAGCATTGTCTTTAGTTCTTGGGAAATGATAAAAACCATTTTCTACTCTTGACTTTCTTTGATGTAATAGTCCCATCAGTCTTCTTTACTGCATGCTTACTTATCTAATTTCTTTAATTTATTTTTTAAGAAAATCATTGATATAAAAATTCTTTTGGTAATCAGGTATACAGATTTAAAACATGGCCCAAAACATTTAAATTATAAGATTTATACTGCAATTTTGTGGTTACAGAAGTTAATATATTTATATAATTGGATGTACATGTAGCTTTAAAATTATTGCGTGAAATTCTTGTCTTATGAAAACATCTGTGAATTCAGTAGTATGATAGCTTAAGTTTTTTTTATTAAAATAGATGGGTACAAATGTAATAGATATGTCCTGTCATGAAAAAAGAACCAGACAATAAATTCAGAATCTCCCATTTCCTTTTTTTATTAGCCTTATGTCATATCATGAATTTACTTCCAATTTACCAGCTAGAAATAAGATTTATAACATTTTTAAGGGAATCAAGTAAAATGATGAAGTTCCAAAGCCAAAGGTAATTAATATAAACATGGCAATTGAAATTTAATATGAAAATATGAAAATGTAGTAACTATGATTGCCAATGAGACAACTTTCCACAAGAGTTCAATTTCTTGATCTTAAAAGTTCTTTTCATTTATTGTGGTATTTATTCAAACTTCATATTGTTTAATGAAATGTGCTTGTTTATAATTTTAGGACAATCATTGGGGTTTACCACTAGGTGGTGGATGTAAGCCATGTGACTGTAGCCCTGTTGGTTCTAGGTATAGACAGTGTGACAGGAGGACAGGTAAATGTCCATGTAGACCTGGTATTGGAGGACAGAAATGTGACAGATGTCTACCTGGATATTTTGGATACTCACAGTATGGATGCAGAAGTAAATATTAATTGACTTATTAGAAATTTTTAAAAACAAATAGCACATTATACACTGTGTTTCCTCTCTAGGGTAAAATAATTTTTGCAATAACATATAAGAGAATGATCATGAGGATTATTCACTGATGTAAAATAAAAAAAAAACACTTGTACTTCTGTAAAATGTCTACATTTTGATTGAACAGATGATAAGTTACAACTCAATTTAATGGGTGCAGAAAAAGACAAGCATAAATAAATTGGTTGAAATCTACTCTCTATGTCATAGATGTATCAAACAGTAGACCAGTACTTTGTTGCCTGATATTATACTCAGAAAATAGAATAACAGACATTCTGATTTTTGATAAATAAATAAATGTCTGGTTTTAGTTGTTTTATGCTTGATTTTTCACTAAAACTGTACTTTTAGGATGTCAACCTTGCACCAAACCAGGGTATATCTGTGATCCATTGACTGGGGAATGTGTATGTCCCCCATACACAACAGGTGTGCAATGTGAAAGGTGTGCTTCTAACAGCTGGGATTATGATCCTGTTAAGGGATGTAAGGTGAGGCTCCTGTACACACTGTTTTTATGACAACTTGGAATATGATCCTTTGAAGAAAAATGCTTTTACATGATATGCCAACTTCTTAGCATGTACAGTCTTAATACACATTTATCAGTTTACATGAAAACAAATATCAGACCAAGAAATATAGGGCTGCTTAAAATAGTAGTTGTGATCACTTATCTGTCCAAGTTTGAGTGCAGTTCTCATATGACAAGTAACCCAATAGTCATATGACTTGGTATAGGAATGCTTCTGTGGGAGTATATAACGTTCTCTCACAAATATTATGTCACAATGACCTACATGTTCATGCTTTAGAGATTGAAATCTTATGGCTATTAGTTTATAGAGTCCATATGTAACAAGGGGAACTTACTTACAAAGATTGCCAATGAACTATTCATGAAATTTATATTCAGCAAATGCAATTCAAAAAGTGACAAAAAATATTTTAATCTGTTGAATAATTCTTTATGCATCAAAATAATTCTTTTTTTTAATTTTCAGCCATGTGGCTGTATGAGTGGATCATCAGTTAGTCAGCAGTGTGATCTGAACACTGGTAAATGTCGCTGTCTGCCAGATTTCACAGGGAACAAGTGTGATAGTTGTTTATATGGTTTCTACCGTTATCCACAATGTTTATTGTGTTTATGTAGTGCTGATGGAACTGATTTGTCCAGTTGTAACACCGAGGGTCAGTGTAATTGTGATGACAGGACAGGACAGTGTCAGTGTAAAGTGAGTGTTAAATGTTTACTCTTATCATGAAAATACTTGACCACCCGTCAGTGTCCATGAAATGACATGGCTATGTCATTGGAAAATGAGTACTTGATGAATACTGTGATTATGACAACATTTAAAAAGCTGGAATACAGTTGGTTAGTGTACATTTAATCACAGGGCAGTGAAGGTGTAAGAAGAATGTGATATAAAAGTTGTGTTTATTGTGTTTTATCTACTCATGGAATCCAAGTAAATATTATAATCCTTTTAATGTTTATCAATCTATGGTAGTTTTTATTGTCGAGCCTGCGACTTTTGTCGCAGAAAGCTCGACATAGGGATAGCGATCCGGCGGCGGCGGCGGCGGCGGCGGCGTTAGCTAACTTCTTAAAAGCTTTATATTTTAGAAGATGGAAGACCTGGATGCTTCATACTTTGTATATGGATGCCTCATGTTACGAAGTTTCCGTCAGTCACATGTCCAATGTCCTTGACCTCATTTTCATGGTTCAGTGACTACTTGAAAAAAAAGTTCAGATTTTTTGTAATGTTAAATTCTCTCTTATTATAAGTAATAGGATAACTATATTTGGTATGTGCGTACCTTGCAAGGTCCTCATGCCCGTCAGACAGTTTTCACTTGACCTCGACCTCATTTCATGGATCAGTGAACAAGGTTAAGTTTTCGTGGTCAAGTCCATATCTCAGATACTATAAGCAATAGGTCTAGTATATTCGGTGTATGGAAGGACTGTAAGGTGTACATGTCCAACTGGCAGGTGTCATCTGACCTTGACCTCATTTTCATGGTTCAGTGGTTATAGTTAAGTTTTTGTGTTTTGGTCTGTTTTTCTTATACTGTATGCAATAGGTCTACTATATTTGGTGTATGGAATGATTGTAAGGTGTACATGTCTAGTTGGCAGGTGTCATCTGACCTTGACCTCATTTTCATGGTTCAGTGGTCAAAGTTAAGTTTTTGAGTTTTGGTCTTTTTTTCTAATACTGCATGCAATAGGTCAGCTATATTTGGTGTATGGAATGATTGTAAGGTGTACATGTCTAGCTGGCAGGTGTCAACTTACCTTGACCTCATTTTCATGGTTCAGTGGTCAAAGTTAAGTTTTTGAGTTTTGGTCTTTTTTTCTAATACTATATGCAATAGTTCAACTATATTTGGTGTATGGAAATATTTTATGATCTATATGTCAGTCACGCAGGTTTTATTTGACCTTGACCTCATTTTCAAGGTTCATTGCTCAGTGTTAAGTTTTTGTGTTTTCGTCTGTTTTTCTTAAACTATAAGCAATAGGTCAACTATATTTGTTGTATGGAAGAATTGTTAGCTGTACATGCCTGCCTAGCATGGTTCATCTGACCTTGACCTCATTTTCATGGTTCATTGGTCAATGTTTAGTTTACTTGGTTAATGTTAAGTTTATGTGACAGTTGTAATAAAGCTTTATATTTAGGACTATCAACATAATATCAATGATTAGTAAAGAAGGCGAGACATTTCAGCGTGTGCACTCTTGTTTGTCATAGAGTTAACACTGGCTTGACCAGTCATATTTATCAACAATAAAAAATACATATGTTTTTATGTAAGAAGGCTGTATTGCAATCAGCATGCTTTTTGTCGAGCCTGCGACTTTTGTCGCAGAAAGCTCGACATAGGGATAGTGATCCGGCGGCGGCGGCGGCGGCGGCGGCGGCGGCGGCGGCGTTAGCTCACTTCTTAAAAGCTTTATATTTTAGAAGGTGGAAGACCTGGAGGCTTCATACTTTGTATATGGATGCCTCATGTTACGAAGTTTCCGTCAGTCACATGTCCAATGTCCTTGACCTCATTTTCATGGTTCAGTGACTACTTGAAAAAAAAGTTAACAATTTATGTAATGTTAAATTCTCTCTTATTATAAGTAGTAGGATAACTATATTTGGTATGTGCGTACCTTGCAAGGTCCTTATGCCCGTCAGACAGTTTTCACTTGACCTCGACCTCATTTCATGGATCAGTGAACAAGGTTAAGTTTTGGTGGTCAAGTCCATATCTCAGATACTATAAGCAATAGGTCTAGTATATTCGGTGTATGGAAGGACTGTAAGGTGTACATGTCCAACTGGCAGGTGTCATCTGACCTTGACCTCATTTTCATGGTTCAGTGGTTATAGTTAAGTTTTTGTGTTTTGGTCTGTTTTTCTTATACTGTATGCAATAGGTCTACTATATTTGGTGTATGGAATGATTATAAGGTGTATATGTCTAGCTGGCAGGTGTCATCTGACCTTGACCTCGTTTTCATGGTTCAGTGGTTATAGTTAAGTTTTTGTGTTTTGGTCTGTTTTTCTTATACTGTATGCAATAGGTCTACTATATTTGGTGTATGGAATGATTGTAAGGTGTACATGTCTAGCTGGCAGGTGTCATCTGACCTTGACCTCATTTTCATGGTTCAGTGGTTATAGTTAAGTTTTTGTGTTTTGGTCTGTTTTTCTTATACTGTATGCAATAGGTCTACTATATTTGGTGTATGGAATGATTGTAAGGTGTACATGTCTAGCTGGCAGGTGTCATCTGACCTTGACCTCATTTTCATGGTTCAGTGGTTATAGTTAAGTTTTTGTGTTTTGGTCTGTTTTTCTTATACTGTATGCAATAGGTCTACTATATTTGGTGTATGGAATGATTGTAAGGTGTACATGTCTAGCTGGCAGGTGTCATCTGACCTTGACCTCGTTTTCATGGTTCAGTGGCTATAGTTAAGTTTTTGTGTTTTGGTCTGTTTTTCTTATACTGTATGCAATAGGTCTACTATATTTGGTGTATGGAATGATTGTAAGGTGTACATGTCTAGCTGGCAGGTGTCATCTGACCTTGACCTCATTTTCATGGTTCAGTGGTTATAGTTAAGTTTTTGTGTTTTGGTCTGTTTTTCTTATACTGTATGCAATAGGTCTACTATATTTGGTGTATGGAATGATTGTAAGGTGTACATGTCTAGCTGGCAGGTGTCATCTGACCTTGACCTCGTTTTCATGGTTCAGTGGTTATAGTTAAGTTTTTGTGTTTTGGTCTGTTTTTCTTATACTGTATGCAATAGGTCTACTATATTTGGTGTATGGAATGATTGTAAGGTGTACATGTCTAGCTGGCAGGTGTCATCTGACCTTGGCCTCGTTTTCATGGTTCAGTGGTTATAGTTAAGTTTTTGTGTTTTGGTCTGTTTTTCTTATACTGTATGCAATAGGTCTACTATATTTGGTGTATGGAATGATTGTAAGGTGTACATGTCTAGCTGGCAGGTGTCATCTGACCTTGACCTCGTTTTCATGGTTCAGTTGTCAAAGGTAAGTTTTTGAGTTTTGGTCTTTTTTTCTAATACTATATCCAATAGGTCAACTTTATTTGGTGTAAGGAAATATTTTATGATCTTTATGTCAGTCGCGCAGGTTTTATATGACCTTGACCTCATTTTCACAGTTCATTGCTCAGTGTTAAGTTTTTGTGTTTTGGTCTTAAACTATAAGCAATAGGTCAACTATATTTGTTATATGGAAGAATTGTTAACTGTACATGTCTGCTTGGCATGGTTCATCTGACCTTGACCTCATTTTCATGGTTCATTGGTCAATGTTTAGTTTTCTTGGTTAATGTTAAGTTTATGTGACAGTTGTAATAAAGCTTTATATTTAGGACTATCAACATAATATCAATGATTAGTAAAGAAGGCGAGACATTTCAGTGTGTGCACTCTTGTTTATATTTTACAGAAAAATGTAGAAGGAAAAGATTGTTCCCAGTGTAAACCTAATACCTTCAGTTTTGATGCAGAGAATCCCTATGGCTGTACAGAATGTTTTTGTTTTGGTAGATCTTCCCAATGTCGCCAGGCTAATTATATTTGGTCACAGGTGAGTGAAGTAAAATATTATTTATAAATATTTTGTAAATACAAATATTAAAGTAAAAACATAAAGGTATTTAAAAATAATTACTTGGCATTTTTTCACAGAAACAGTATTTTCTTGCTATATATTGATGTATTTTGTTTGTCAGTGTGTTTCATTTTGCCTAACTTTTAGTTCACACTGTAAGGCATGTTATGTATTTCTTTTAACAGGCTGTTTAGCAATTTAGCTTTGTTTTATTTTTATGAAAACCATGTATAGGGGTGTAGTTTCTGTACAATTTTAGGCTGCATTCTAGACCAAACTATTATGACATTTTATTACAGTGATAGAAATTAGATCCTCCAATTTGATCACATTTTTTAGGGGTTTTCAGATGAAAAATATCTTACTGTAGCTATTTACTTAGAAGTAGGAAGTAAATGAAATGATTTAACAAGTATTTAATTTTTGAAATCTGCACTGATTTGTAACCATCTACTAGTTCTGAGATTAGAAAAATGGTTTTGCTTAGATGGTAAAAGTAAATAAATGTAGGAAAACAAATGGGAAAACAGAGCAATCTGGACTACTTGAAAAGATCATAGATATGTGCATGTTTTAAAATTTTGGAGTATGCATTTAATAAGAGACTATATTATTACAGATGACCTTTTCAATGTGCATGTTTTGAAATTTCTGAGTATGCATTTAATAAGAGACTATATTATTACAGATGACCTTTCCAGACAGATCTGTATTTGTGGATAACAGAGTATCAACTGTTATACCCAGGAAGTATAAATTCTACAATGTCATCCCACATGGTAATTCACTTCCTGCTAGATTGCCTGATGGTGCTTTGTACTGGAGTTTGGCAAAGGAACCACTTGGGGATAAGGTGAGTTGTAAATGTTAATCTAACAACTCCATTTTTATGCCCCTGCTGTCACAGGAGGGAGCATAAAGTGTTACCCTTGTCTGTTTGTTCGTTTGTCCGTACGTCCCAAAATTGGTTTCCGTTCTCTAACTTTAGTTTGCCTCAACCAAATGTTATGAAGCTTATACACAAAGCTAATTATCACAAAACACAGATCAAGTTCAAATTTGGAAAAATTATTGGATTTTTCGTTTCTGTTCTCTAACTTAAGATTGCCTCAACCAAATGTTATTAAACTTATACACAAGGCTTATCACCACAAAACTCAGATCAAGTTCAAATTTGGGTGGTGTCACTTTTACTGTTCTTGAGTTATGCCTCTTTATAACGTTATATGCAAGCGGGGGCATCATCTGTGTCCCATGGACACATTCTCCATTTATTTTGGAGTGGGTTTCTGAATGTTAAAATTAAATTTATAACTATGTTCATCATTTTTCTAGTTTAAATTAAATACAAAAAAAAAACCAATGACCCCATATGAAAGAAGGAACTTATAGATTAAAAGGACTCTACCAAGCAGCTGTATGCTCTTACTTAAAGTTAAGTATTTGACCTTTGGCCACAAACTCTGGAAACAAGTAAATGAATGCAATTATTACAATTCTTATTTCATTCTTAGCATATTATATATATGCAATTGCACAGTATAGACGACTTTTGAATTCATTCACTTTTTCATATATTTCCGATGTCACAATGCTTCTGTTATTATGTCACAGTAAGAACTGATTGTTCAATGAGGTCATTAACACCTGTTGCTCGGGTCAACCACTGAAACTCATTCATAAAAAACAACTCAGATTGGTGTATTATGACTGACATTTTTTCTTCACTAAATATGAATAAATTATAATAATTCTTTAAATCTGAATTTAAGGTAGCTGGGGTGTCTATATGTTCGACGATAGAATTTTCTTAAACTTCTGTAAAAGACTTCTGGTTCAATGTACTTTCAAATTTCGATATATAAACTGGCGGTCATGGTCCTGGTTTTTTCGTTAAAAAACATTGCAATTTACGTAATCACACTTATTTTATATGGGTTATATAGGGAAAACTGAATTTTTCCTTATTGAGGAAACATTAAACAAAAGTAATAGTTTAAATTCAACTTGAGAATTGCATTTCGTAAATACTTCCTAAATTTCAAATAGAAATAGGGGGTCACAGCCTTATTTTCTTAAAAAATCCCCAAAACACAAATTGTCTTATCAAATTCAGTATAATTATCTGCCCTTCATTTTAAAAGAATTTTTTGCTGAAATTTGAATATACTTATTGCAAACCCAATGATACTTTTCCACAGATTCACCTGTAAGTTACCTGTCGATTTAAACTTTTGTAAGTTCTTTTGTCCCATCTAATAAATACAATAGCTATTGTTCTCTGTGTAGTTTATTTGATGGGACCATTAAATTTCTTCCAAGAGAAATCTATCACTCACTGATTAATTTACCTGAACAAAAAATTGAACTGTCAAAAATGCTTTTTTTTGTGTGTTTGACATAAAAACTTGAAAATTATTGTGTTAAATTAAGGTCTTGATAAATGTATTCTATAACTGAACAACAACAAAAACATGCAAATTATTGGAACAATACTAAAAATTTTGTCAGAAATAAACTTTTTATAATTAAATCAGTGTCTATATTGAACAGATTGAAAATATATTATTGATATTGATTAAATACAATATTGTATACAACTATTTCCCCCCAAAAAAGAAGATAATTTTTTGGTCAGGTAAATTAATCAATGAGTGAAAGATTTCTCCTAGAAGAAATTTAAAGGTCCCAGTGAAAAAACTACACAGAGAACAATAGCTATTGTATTTATTCAATAGGACAAGAGAATAGACAAAAGGTTAAATACCCTGGTCAAGAGCAGACGACTCTGTGGAAGACTTTCATTTGGTTCGCAATAAGGACACTTAATTTTTGGTAGTTTAATCTTTAAATTTCAAGTTTTAGATGTTTTTGTTGTTCATTGAATGATACTTGGTAAAATATTTTTAAACCAAAATAGTATTTTTGCAACATGCCAAGAAGGTATACTCAGAAAAAGACACCTGATCTACCTTAAATGTTTTATGAAACATATTTTACAGACTTTATCATACAATGGCTATTTGAGTTACACTGTTTCCAGTACACAGCAGACTGTTTCTACCATCAGTCCACAAATTGTTATAGTTGGTAATGGATTTCAGTTATTACACACTGGTACTACTGGACAAACACATAGAGTTAAACTACATGAGGTAATGTCTTATTTATAGGCTACCAGTTGATTATGTTATGTTCTTAATTGTACAGTATTTTTTTATGAATAAATACACAGAAAAGATGGAAGTACTCAATTAATGTATGTACATTGTTTAAACATAATATGTGTTAAATATTCTTGTTAAATTTTACAAAAGACTTTGGCAGTAAGTTGCATGAAATTTTGAAATGTACCAAATACTTTATTACTGTTTATCTCCTTGTTTTTTTCAGAGTTATTGGAAGGTGTTGGGTTTTGAGGGTACTGCTACAAGGAAATTAGTTATGGTTGTATTACAAAATGTGACAGACATTCTACTTTTTGCAAGTCATAATAGAAATATTCAGTCATTATCGTAAGTATTTTCTAACATAGAAATTGCTTATTGGTAGAATTACATAAAGTACAAATCCTTCTGCTGATAGTATGTTTAATGTATGTTTGTGGATTAGGGCACTTACAGGTGTTAGGAAAGAGAGTACTTGTTCTGTGTTATCTAAAGTGCACCTAATTCTTATTGTTTAAAAAATACAAATGATAGATTGATTGTTGTTTGATTTATAATGTCCAGTAGGAAGTATTTCATGCATATTCAGGATGATGAATAAAAGGAGAGGAAGGAAAGGATAAACATCAACAAGAAAGTAGGCTCAGAACTAAAGTTAACCAAAATACATCCAGGCTTAAACAAGCTAATACTCCCAAAACACATCTACAGGTTACCATCCAGGCTTAAACAAGCTAATACTCCCAATACACATCTACAGGTTACCATACAGGCTTAAACAAGCTAATACTCCCAATATACATCTACAGGTTACCATCCAGGCTTAAACAAGCTAATACTCCCAATACCCATCTACAGGTTACCATACAGGCTTAAACAAGCTAATACTCCCAATACACATCTACAGGTTACCATCCAGGCTTAAACAAGCTAATACTCCCAATACCCATCTACAGGTTACCATACAGGCTTAAACAAGCTAATACTCCAAATACACATCTACAGGTTACCATACAGGCTTAAACAAGGTAATACTCCAAATACACATCTACAGGTTACCATACAGGCTTAAACAAGGTAATACTCCAAATACACATCTATAGGTTACCATACAGGCTTAAACAAGCTAATACTCCCAATACACATCTACAGGTTACCATCCAGGCTTGAACAAGTTAATACTCCAAATACACATCTATAGGTTACCATCCAGGCTTAAACAAGCTAATACTCCCAATACACATCTACAGGTTACCATACAGGCTTAAACAAGCTAATACTCCCAATACACATCTACAGGTTACCATCCAGGCTTGAACAAGCTAATACTCCCAATACCCATCTACAGGTTACCATCCAGGCTTAAAAAAGCTAATACTCCCAATACACATCTACAGGTTACCATCCAGGCTTAAACAAGCTAATACTCCCAATACCCATCTACAGGTTACCATACAGGCTTAAACAAGCTAATACTCCAAATACACATCTACAGGTTACCATACAGGCTTAAACAAGCTAATACTCCAAATACACATCTACAGGTTACCATACAGGCTTAAACAAGGTAATACTCCAAATACACATCTATAGGTTACCATACAGGCTTAAACAAGCTAATACTCCCAATACACATCTTCAGGTTACCATCCAGGCTTAAACAAGGTAATACTCCAAATACACATCTATAGGTTACCATACAGGCATAAGCAAGCTAATACTCCCAATACACATCTGCAGGTTACCATCCAGGCTTAAACAAGCTAATACTCCCAATACACATCTACAGGTTACCATACAGGCTTAAACAAGCTAATACTCCCAATACACATCTACAGGTTACCATCCAGGCTTAAACAAGCTAATACTCCCAATACACATCTACAAGTTACCATACAGGCTTTCACAAGTTCACACACTTTATGACAAGCTATTAATCAACTCCAATCTTCAGAAGTTATGAATGATATCAATAAACACCAAAATTGTCAAGATGCAATAAAAATGTAAAGCGTCAACAATTGATCAGATTCCAGATCTATCTTTTAGTGTAATTTTAACCTTCTGTCTTATTTATTGATAGACTTTCATCTGTGAAACTAGATGTAGCAGTTCTAGCCACAGGGATTTCTTCAGGAAAAACAGCCGATGGTATAGAAACCTGTCAGTGTCCAATAAAATACTCTGGATTGTCTTGTCAGGATCCATCTGAAGGGTACTATAGGATACAATTCAATATTACTGGTGAGATTTCAGATCCTCTTGTTGTCATTGGTGGAGTAAAACCATGTGACTGTCATGGGCACGCCATCACATGTGATAAAGAAACAGGACAATGTCAGGTATGGTATAGTGTCACATCATTATAATGGTAATACAGTCACACCTGCTAGAAAAGGTCACCTCTATTAAGCTAAAACCTTTCTTGGCAGAGTTCCCTCTTCTTGTCCTGCTGAAGTAATACCTATACATTTTGAACCTTAATTCCCAAAGACAGATCTCTTAAAAGGTCATTATTTGCTGGTCCAGAGAGTGACTATAATATACAGGTTTGACCGTAGTATGAAACCCTTTTATGATCAAATTCTTGTACACTTATAGAATTTTTAAAGAGTTAAAATGAAAATAGAGTAGTTAATTTTTTAATATGTATAATTAAGCCATTTTAAAGTAAAATTTGACTCCAGATTTTTACATTTTACATAACTTTTTCATACAGATTTGCTTCATAATTTAAAAATAGTATTACAAAAACGTACAAATATTGATAAAAACAGTTTGTTACACATAATTATTTTTCAGAATTGTGTACATGGTACTGTTGGTAGGTTCTGTGAATTTTGTGCTCCTGGTTACTATGGTGATGCCACAAGAGGAACATCATCAGACTGTCAACCATGTGCTTGTCCTCACATAGATAACAAGTAAGATGTACAAAGCATTTAATACCATGTTGAAAATATAGAACTGTAAACTTAAACCCCTTTGGTGCGAAAGAAAAAAATAGATCTTCATTTAAGATAGTTACAATTAATTACAGATATGTTCTATTAGTCATATTAAGTCAGGCTTCATTTAATATTATATTAAACAATTCACCTTTCAGCAGGTCTTTTTTTATTCAGTCACAGTTTATCAAGTTAGGGCTTGGGTTCACAAGAAAAGGAATAAGTTTGGTAAGGGCTATATTTGACCCAGATTATTAAGTTCAATGTTTCAAGATAAAAAATGTTTTAAGTTGATAAAAAGACATGTGAGAAAGTTAAATCGAACTATTTTTGTCCAAGTTTTATTTTAAAGCATTGATTTTTAAATCTCAAATTGTGTTATAAACAGATTTTTGCGAAATTGGACAAAATCGTCTGAATTTCAACCAAATTAAGGACTAGGAAACATAGAGCACAGACGACAACAAACTAAATATTCGAGTCAGATATGTAATATGTCATAACAAACATTATGTTAAAAGATCTTTTTTGTCATCACATGTGCTCTATGTTTCCTATCCAAAAAAACAATGAAACTTTTCATCAAAATGAGTGCTATTTGTGACGCAAGAACGTAAATTTTCAACAAAAAGATTTATTTCCTATCTAGTCAATATATTAGTTATGATTCATTGTGAAATTGGTCAATAAATCCTAATTTCAAATTTAAGTTAGAATTAAGGCCATTTTAGAGCCTCATTGAACCTACCATTTTAATTGGGGGCATTTGTGACAAAAAACAGATGATTTGTAGCATGTATGTAAAACAATAGATTTGTATTATGTTAACCTTTTCTGACTAACATACATGTAGAATTACATTAAATGTTAACAGATATAAGGTAATTGTTGTTTTTAAACTTATTAAGACTCTTTATAATCATTCATTTGAATGAAAGATATTATATTTTACATTCTAAACTTAACATCCACATTGATAAGGTAATGAAAGACAACATTGCACATAAATAGCTGTAATAGATTGTAGTATTTGTAATAGTTGTATTCCTATACTGATTAGTCCTTGAATTTGTGTAGTTTTAGTCCCTCCTGTGAAGTGACTAGCGGACAGCTAGTGTGTACAAATTGTTCTGAGGGATATGTTGGAAGGAGATGTGAAAGGTATGTAAAAAATTACCGCGTTAGCACACATTTGTTATCCAGTTTTTCCATCATATGGTTAATTTATTTTATTTTATCAAGAGTTTAAAAAGTCAGATGTGTCAAAAATTGCTAAGTTGGGACTCAATTAAAAAGGAAAATTGCCTCAATGTGTTTTATGTTAACAAAATTGTTCACCAAATACCTAAATGTATTTAAAAAGACCAGCCTTATGCTAGGGTTAAATGGTCTTTTTGGAAGTACCTGCTATATATTTCTGGAGAGACCAACCTCATGTTAGAGTAAAATGCCCTTTTTTGGAAGTATCTGATATATTAACTGAATAATTTTATTTAATACTTTGTACTTTCAAATACTTTCAGTTGTGCAGATGGATATTATGGTAACCCCAGGAGATTAGATGGAAGTTGTAAGCCTTGTAGCTGTAACCTACAGGGATCTGTATCCTCTCGGTGTGACAGTAGGGGAATATGTGTTTGTCTGCCAGGAATTTCTGGTGACAAATGTAATCAGTGCCAGCCAAGATATGCAGTTGAAAATGGTGTTTGCATTTGTAAGTGTCTGTTTATATTCATATTGCATTATTTGTTATATTCACTCTAAATGATGAAGTTTTTAGCTATTTGTTATCATTTCTTTAAAGTCAAACATCAAGTTTAATTTTTGTTAGAATGAGATTCTAATTATAGCACACAAAATCAAAATAATGTGATGGAAAAATTGTTAATTTTGTTATACTGAATCAAATTTCCATCTTTCTTGTTTGAATAAAGGATAACCATAAAATTTGCAAAAAAACATAAGTCATACTAACGTTGTATTTCTGTATCTTGTCATAGTCTATTTGGATGATTAAATTGTTCTGCCATGTATAAACAAAATGTATAAAAATACTTAAAAAATAATGTATGAAACAATATATTGTGTTGTTCAGGATAAAACTATGTTTTTCAGCGTGTGATGAGGGATGTACCAGAGATTTAATGGCAGAATTAGACAGATTAGAGAGAAATATATCCACTGTCAATATTACGGGTATAATTCCTGCTCCATGGAATAGATTACTGAGAATTCACAATGAAACCAAAGAACTTCAGGAATTGCTTGATAAAATGGAGTTTTCTGAAATATTATATATAGAGGATCAAACAAAAGAAGTTCAACAAATGGCTGACAAACTCATGGCTAGAGTAAGTCTAATATTAGAAGTGGTGTAGGAGTTTTAATAGCTGGTAGTGATATGAACTTTTATTGAAAAGATTTATTTACAATAAAACTTATTAAGACAATTAATTATGACAATTTTAATATAAAGTAACAAATTGATACAAAAGATGTAGAGGTAATATTAAGAAGTTGTTAGATAGTATCACACAATAGTTTTTGGTAAGTGATCTTGTTTTAAATACATCATTATACTTTCAGTGGGATGTTCTTGGAACATTAAAATTCTTTATTTTGGGGTAGAGTTTAAATAAATTATTTCTGGAAAAGTGTTCTATTACTTGATATTAAGTACAGTTGTTGCTAATAGTTTGCATTCACTGTAGATTGCAGTAACAAAACTTTCTGTCATTCAAAACACTTAAGCATTCAAGTAGCATCTATCCATTATTAATCATACTATTTACAGGTGCAATTCTGTCTATTTATTGTATAAAAATGAATTTATATTGCAGTCAATGAGAGCCCTAACGAAAGCAGAGACTATAGAAACAGATGCCAATATTCTGAAGAAGAATGGTACAGCCTTGGCTGACAGTATAGAGAATATGTTACAGGATTTGAAAGGTATTTTGTTTCATATGTGCAACATTTCACAATGCTGTGTTATACTTAAGGACTCTATAAAATTAGTAAAGTGGTATGGATTTCTTTCAAGTGAAACCAAATATTGTAATGCATAAAACCAGCATGAGACTAACAGTCATTACAAATACGTAAGAACACAAAATCTTGTATAGTACATGAAGTATGAACAATTAATAATTGAAAAACCAAAATTCTAAAAAGATCAGATCAGTTATTTTAAAAAGCTTGCACTCAGAAGTAATGCATGAAATTATACAGCAAAACCAACCTAATCTGTTCTGAATTGATATTTACAGTTTGCTCAGGTTTAACAAATGTTCAACTTTCACAGGTCAAATTACGTAAAAATATTACTTACATATCCTGATACAACAGTTAAGTTTTTGAAAAACTTCCAGTTAGCACAAGATTTGGTATAGACAGGTTTCAATATATATTGTGTTTTTTTAAATTTTTAGATGAATTAGGAAAGTTAGAAGATATAGTAAAGAACTTATACCACAATGAAAGTGGGCTTAACATCACTGCTGCTTTAGAGGAAGCCAAGGAAATTATGAAGGAGATAGAACAAAGAAACTTTTCAATGAAAATATCTGAAGCATTCAATGAAAGCATGTAGGTTTATTATCTGCCATCTATGTGTTAAGACAAACTAATATCAGCAATTATTGTTTACTGACTTCTTCATTGTTTTATCATTCAACACGAAACTATTGTCACAATAGCTAAGACTTTTAAAGTGATATATGATTCATTATTCTGAAGTATGTATGTGTGACAGCTTGTTTACTATATCAAGACAAAAACAACTAGGAATTTAAGAAAAAGCATTGAATTTTGTCATTGCAATGGTGGGAAGACAGACATTTATGACAATTTTATGCTTGTGGAAAGCCAATTTAGGGTTAACAAAGATGTGCTTATTCAATTTTTAAGTAGCAAAACTTGGAAAGGATATTTAAGTGCAGAGTTATATGCTTGTCATTGGTTCATGTCTGTCATATTTGTTCTTCATAAATTAGGCTGTTAGTTTTCTCAATTGAATTGTTTCATATTTTTCAAGTAGGGGCCTTTTATAGCCAATTAGACGGTATGGGTTTTTCTCATTGTTGAACTATGATTGCTTACACCATTTTATTTTAACTTTGGTGGATAGTTGTATCATTGGCAGTCATACCACTTCTCCTTATTTTTATAATGCTTGCTAGGGTTATATGTGATGTGTAAGATTGAAAATGTCTTGAATCAAACATCCACAACCTAACTGTGTACAGGATGTTTTGTTTATCAATTTAGATTTCTTTGTGATGTATTGTGAACCATTGTTTGTCTTTTAATTTTTTTTTTGTCATTACAGTGGCTTCCTTCTTTGAATTATGACTTTTGATTGCCCTTTGGTATCATATTTTATACTGCAACTTAAATTAATACATTGATAGCAATTTAAAAAAAATTGTAACACAAATTTCAAACTTATTTTCATCTGTTAATGAACCCCTGATTGTGGAAAAAGTGATCCATGATGAAATTGACATTGCACAAAATATAGCTGTGTTACTATATTTAGGAAATAAACACAACTAGTTGCAGTATAAATATTTGAGCTGTTTATTACAACATATGTCTGTAACTAAGAGCAATAAGATTATGATTGCATATTTTAAGCACTTACAATATAGTTATTTTCAATATCAGTTTCTAATATTTTATTAACAAAATTTCTGAATTCTTTTTTAAGGTTAGCAGAAAAATTATCAGAAGAGATACTGAAAATGAAATATAAACTGATAAATGGAACAGCAGAAGTGAAAAAGAAACTTGATGACATCATAAGTCGTCTGCTTGACCTTCAGGACCAGTCTCAGAAGTCTAAAGACAAAGCCCTAGAAGCTGACACCATTAACTATAATCTTGCTTATGACTTGAAACAGTTACAGGTAGTTTGTCATACCACAATAGATTCCTTGCTGTGAACCTATTTACAGGATATCACAGACTTTTTAATAGTTTTACTTTCACAAAGGGAGATTTTTGACGGTTTAGAAGTATCAATAAAATATTTTGAGGTCAGATGTCACAAAATCTCAAATTATGTATAGATTTCTTGGGAAATTTATATACAGCCTAAATTTTAAACCTTGTCACTAAAAATTTCATTACTTGATATGCAGCTCCTGCAAAAAAGTATTGAAATGTTTAATGATAAGGCTAGATGAAATCAAAAAAGGTTCTCTGGCTGATCTGCATCCTTTTGTAGGTGTCATTACTGTTGATTTCATCATGTTTTCAATTATAGAATAATGTGGAAATGTGGTTCCATATTTTGTCAAATAATTGTTTTGCATACAGAATTTTTGTGCAATTTGAGAAACTTGTGTCCATACATTTGAGAGGTTTTAAATTCATTTTAGTTGCTTAGAAAATTGAAATAATCAATCTTACATAGATTTCATACAAGCAATCAATTTAGAAAAAAAAGAATTATAAGTGAAATTAAGAAAGAGCTGGATGTCAAATAGTTTCATTTAGTATTTGACTCTGAGCAAAAAAAATGCTGCCATTGACAGCTATATAAAGGTACTTAATACATTATAAATTGATGAATTTTGGGAACAAATGCCTCCTGCATCCATTTTTTCTGCCAATAAAGATAAAAAAATAGGTCTACCTCTCATCTACTTTGCAAAGAGACAACCTACTATTCTGTAGATCAAGTTTGTGAAACATTATAGGAAACTAGAAGAATATACTTGAAAAGAATGCATGACAACAGAAGTTATCTATATATGTTTATTTGTATAGTAAAAAGGTTCATTGCAGGATGAAAGAATTTGGACTAACATTAAAAGTTTTTTTAAATGACCATAAATGAAATGTACAATACTATTGGTATTTATGGTAAATATACTCATAAAAATCATATTTTGCGTGAAAAAAATATGTTCATCAAATGACTTTTTAATTAGTACAAATTGATTGAAATGTAATTTCAGGACACTATATATGATATAGAAATCCATGGAGATAGGACTACTGTAGCTTTAGGTAAAGGTCATTCACTGAATATAATGTCATGGGCAGCTCTAAATCAGACCAGAAACAACATTAAAGTAAGTCTTAGTGATATAGATTTAAAAAAAAAAAGATTGGAAGAAAAAATGAACATGTTTTAATATACATGATCTTCCAATTGATGATTTATACCGATTTTTTTTTACATTACAAAGCTAATGTCACATCACAATGCCCTATGACCCGTTTTCCCTGAACGAACCAAGGTCAACAGGGCAGTTCATTAATAAAATGGAAATTGGTAACTGGATAAAAAGATGTTTCAGTATGCATGGTTTTTTTATTGAAACTATTTATTATCAAGCATATTTAGATTCATATTAAATGTATCTCATTTATTGAAGGAAAAATATGGAAAAATATTGATTGTCAGGAGAGTATTTTAAGCTATTATCTTATTTTTCAGAACTTGGAAAGAGAAGCAAGTAGATTAGACATTGCCATTCCTAGATTAAAACAGAGGATAGAAGATTATAGGGACAAATTGCCTAAAATTGAAAACTACACTGCTATGGCCATTAAGCATGCTGAAAGGTTATTGGATCAAGCAGAATACTTAGAAAAGTAAGATGGAATTTTATCTAATTATTTGGTCTATGCAGAATAAATCTAAATTGCAGAACTTGCTCAAAGGTATCTTAAACTTACAGTTCTTCAAATTAAATTAAGGTCTTTTAATCACATAACATTTTTAGCTCATCTTTCCAAAGGAAATGTGAGCTTTTGCCATCACTTGGCATCCGTCGTCGTCCGTACGGTGTAAGCTATTTCAAACATCTTCTCCTCTGAAACTACTGAACCAATTCCAATCAAACTTAAGCTGAATGATCCTTAGGGTACATAGAATAAACTTTTTGTTTTATTTTCTGTTTCATCAAAAAACATGGCTGCCATGGCTAAAAATAGAACATAGGGGTAAAATGCAGTTTTTGGCTTATATCTCAAAAACTAAGCATTTAGAGCAAATCTATGGTTACTATCTTGAATATTATTATAGATAAAGATAAACTGTAAACAGCAAAAATGTTCAGCAAAGTAAGATCTACAAAAAAGTTTGACCCCTTAAGAAGTTATTGCCCTTTAAGGACATTTTACACAATTTGTTTATCATGTTTTCTAACTTTAAAAAATCTTCTCCTCTGAAACTACTTAACCAAAATTAAACCAAACTTAAGCTGAATGATTCTTAGGTTATCTAGAATAAAGTTTATGTTTTATTTTCTGTTTCCTCAGAAAACATGGCCGCCATGGCTAAAAATAGAACATAGGGTAAAATGCAGTTTTTGACATATCTCAAAAACTAAAGCATTTGGAGCAAATCAGACAAGAAGTTAAAATATTCGTTAGGTCAAGGTCTACCTGCCCTGAAATTATCAGCCAAATTGGGTATCTGATTTTTAGGTTATTGCCCCGGAATTGAAGATTTTAAGGAAATTTTGCAGTTTTTCGGTTATTATCTTGAATATTATTATAGATAAAGATAATCTGTAAACAGCAAAAATGTTCAGCAAAGTAAGATCTACAAATAAGTTTCATATGACCAAAATTGTCAATTGACCCCTTAAGGAGTTATTGTCCTTTAAAGACAATTTTTCACAATTTGTTCATCTAGTTTGCCTACTTTAAAAAATCTTCTCCTTTGAAACTTTTGAATCAATTTCAGCCAAACTTGGGTTGAATGAGTTTCAGAGTATCTAGTATAATTTTTTATCTTATTTCCTTGTACGTCAAGAAACATAGCCTCTATGGCTAAAATGGAACATAGGGGTAAAATGCATTTTTTCGCTTTTGAAGAAAATATGACAGATACAAAGAACACTTAAATGGCATTTTTAAGCCACTCATTAATATATATTGAAAAGCAAAAATAATCATTGATGAAAGATTTAAGCAAAAAATTACATGTGAGCGATTCAGGCTCTTGAGAGCCTCTTGTTTTAGATAGCTTTAGTGTTGTTAAAGAAAAGCAAGTATTTTGATTTTTTGAAACTGTACTATTAAATGGTTTAATTTTTTTGGTTGTGTAGTTATTATGACCTTTTTGTTAAGCTTACATATAACTTCAGGACATTTGAGAAAACAAAGGCTGATGCAGAAATTCCTTTGAAGGCAGCTAGAGTGTACAGTACTATTGTCAAAGCTGTTGATGAGGCAGAAAAGGCAGCAAAAGAGGCGCTCAAGGCTGCTGAAGATACTATACAAATTGTAGGTAGATTAACACCATTAACAAATTTATAAAGAACCAGACCAGTATTTTAACAAATTTTTGTTGCAATTTCAGTAGATCAACTTGGTTTCAGGGCTTTAAACTTTTAGTTTTTGTCTCGCCTTGACGGAGTCAAAAAGTGAGACATAGGTATGCTGTTTCAATGTATTAGTTTGTGATTAGGTCTAGTTTATGTTGAACCACTAGTGGTAGGTCAATGATATTTGGTATGCAGTTGTATTAGTATTGGCACATCTCATTTACATGGAGATTATTTGACCCCGCCCATCCTCAGTCATGGTCTATTGACTTTGAAACTTTTTAGGTCAGTTGATGGGGAAATGCTAGTGGTAGGTCAATGATATTTGGTTTGCAGTTGTATAAGCATTGGCATATCTCATTTCCATGGAGATTATTTGGCCCTGCCCCCTTAGTCATGCTCTATTGACTTTGAAACATTTGTTTAGTTTACATGTATCAGTTTGTGATTAGGTCAGTTAAAGAGGAACCATTAGTGGTAGGTCAATGATAATTGGTATGCAGTTATATAAGCATTAGTACATCTCATTTCCATGGAGGACATTTGGTCCTTACCCCTCAGTCATGGTCTATTGACTTTTAAACTTTTGCTTAATTTATATGTATTAGTTTGATTAGATCAGTTTTAGATGAACCACTAATGTTAAGTCAATGATATTTGGTATACCTTCAGTTATGGTTCTTTGACTTTGAATACTTGCATAACTTACATGTTAAAGTATTGCTATTTTAATTTCAACATTTGCATTATCAAAATAACAAAAAGGCGAGACATATCTTTGTGTTAACAGTTTATTAACATTTTATAGATTATTTTCATACTTTGCATAAATGTAGTTGTTTTTGTCTTGCCTGCAATGAAAATCGCAGTATGCGAGAAGGGTTACTATCCAGCGTCAGCAGTGTAAACTATTTATATAAAGCTTATATTTCAGAAGTTAGATGACCTGGATGCTTCATACCTTGTATGCAGATTCTTTATGTTACGAAATTTCCATCTGTCATATGTCCATTGTCCTTGACCTCATTTTCATGGTTCAGTAACTGCTTGACAAAAAATTATATTTTTTTTGTCATGTGAATTTCTCACTTATTATGAGTAATAGGATAACTATATTTGGTAAATGAGTTCCTTGCAATGTCTATATGTCCGTCAGACAGAGCTCACCTGACCTCAACCTCATATAATGGATCAGTGATCAAGGTTAAAGTTACATGATTAGGGCTGTTTCTCAGATACTTTAGGCAGTAGGTCAACTATATGTGGTGTATGGAATGATTGTAAGGGGTACATGTCAGTCTGGCAGGTTTAATCTGACCTTGACCTCATTTTCGTGGTTCATTGGTCAATGTTAAATTTTTGTGTTTTGGTCTGTTTTTCATTTACCATAAGCAATAGTTCAAGTATATTTGGTGTATGGAATAATGGTAAGGTGTACATGTCTGTCTGGCAGGTATCATCTGACCTTGACCTCAATTTCATGGTTCATTGGTCAATGTTAAGTTTTTGTGAATTGGTCTGTTTTTCATTTACCATAAGCAATAGGTCAAGTATATTTGTTGTATGGAATGATTGTAAGGTCTACATTTCTGTCTGGCAGGTATCATCTGACCTTGACCTTGACCTCAATTTCATGGTTCATTGGTCAATGTTAAGTTTTTTTGTTTTGGTCTGTTTTTCATTTACCATAAGCAATATGTCAACCAAGGGTCGGGAAATGGCCATATTTGCCAGTCATGACCTAAACTGAAAGCTATTTGTCCTAAACGGCAGATTGTGATTTATGACAAATTAATTTTTTTTACAGAAATAATTTTGGTCATTTCATTGAGATCGGGTTTCTTAATCGCCATTTTGCACTTGTTTTTGTTATGTAATCCCTTTCTTGTAATAAAACTGCCACTCTAGTAAAGTATGATAATCCTGAGGGCCCTCCTAATAACTATAAATGCCTCCGGGAATTATTGGCTAATGATTGCTAATCACTTTTTACCAGTGTTTTTAAATTCACACCTGACAGTGAACTATAACATGTATTATAAAAAAATTAAAATTCCATGACAACTTTCTTCATTATTTTATTACTTTTCAGCAAAGACGATCATCAATTTTGATTAAAAAACTAAAACTTAATTTAATTTACGTAGAAAAAGTAATTTTTCACGAGTTAAACATGTGCTTTATTTACTATGTAATACACATGTGTGAAATTGTCTTCACCAGATAAGACACTTAATCATAAAAAGCCAAATGATTTTATGCTAAATTAAACAAGTGCAACTGGCCCGAGAACACAGTTATTTCGTAGTGCATTTCTTTTAGACAATAAATTCAAATTAAAAAAATCGCACCTGCTCTATCGCAAAAAGATTTTTACAGTGTAGTGTACTACTATTGATACAAATAATATTAAAATTATAGAAACTTCTACCAGCTCTAACTCAAAATATTGACAATTCTGTGTTAAGGGGGGCTAAAATTCAGTTTGACAGCTTCAGACATTCCAATTTTTGACCTTTTCTAACTGGACCAAATCACTACTTAACATAAAGATTCAGCACCCAAATTTTTTTAACATGTAATTTCATCCCCTTACTTAATATTTCATGCATAAAATATCAAGAAATAAATTGGAAAAGAGTATAAAAAAAAAATGCAAGTTATACACTGTTCACACTAGGGGCTATAATTGTAGACAACGAAAACCTAAGGACGATAACTGTGTCCTTGGACCAACTACTATCTGTTATATTCAAACAGCTTTAAAGGTAATAAAATTTAAAATCCATTGAATTCCTGTCAATTTGATAAACAGAACGAATTCTGGAAATGAATCCGGAATAATTCGTACTAACAAGTATTGTTGCAAAACTTCCAGTTTTAATTTCGTCTTCAAAATCAAAAGAAATGTTAGCGATGTCTGAGAAATTTACCATTTTGAGTCATTAAAATCATTTCAATTTTAAACAGTTGCATTCCATAAACCATAAACCGTTCTTGAAAGTTTTTAGAAAAACGGAAATAAAATTCATTAAGTAAATGTGATGAAACAGTCAATACAAGTTCGTTGTTGCTATGAATCCAGTGTGATTTCGACAATTTGAAAAAAGGGCCCCAATTTTTAAGTTTCCAGATCCTTAAGGTCAACTATATTTGGTATATTGAATAATTGTAATTTGTCTGACAGGATTTATCTGACCTTGAACTCATTGCCATGGATATTTAAAAATGTTAAGTTTATGTGATACTTGTAGTAAAACCTTTAACTTTAAGACTTTCAACATAAAATCAATGGTCAGTAAAGCAGGCCAGACATTTCAGTGTGTTCACTCTTGTTATTCTTTTTTATACTCCCATTTACTGATGTGTGGGGTATATAGAAATGGGGCATCCATCTTTCCATCCATTTTTTTGTTAGTTTCTTTAAGTAAATGATGGACTTCTATTATACTGGATATATTAAGCAGATATTTTCTATACAGTATTTAATCATTAAATTTTAATGCATAAATATTTTCTTTAAAATTGATTAGTATGAGAATACATACTTGTGTTTTACAGGCTGGTGTAGATGATATAAAAAATGAAGTAGAGAAGTCATTGAGAGACAGTAGAAGATTATTGGATAGGGCTACTGAACTGAAGAACAGAACATCAAGTAACTATCAGACTTAAAGGATTAGGTTCATTAAGGGTCAATGTTGGCTCTTTATTTCTATGAAATTTAAGTTTCATAATTTTTACAATCATTAGATGAAAAATAATAAAAATACCTGACTAAAAAAGGCCTCAACAAGTTTAAGCATGTTTTTACAATGACAATATCATAATTGTGTGCTAAGATGATGGAATTATAAGTTTCATGATGAGTGAGAACTGGATATCGCTTAATATCAACTATTTGATGTCAATATACTAATAAAAAAGGCTTCAGCGAGTTTATTATTTCTATTTAAATTAAATAAAGAGAGTTGATATCAAGCAATATCCAAAACTCAAGAGTTGTTTAACCTATGTCTCTTATGGTCAACACTCTTATTGTGTTAAATCAAAAATACCGTGAATTGTTGATCTAGTCTTTTGCACATAACAGTATGACTTTATATGTCCTTTTCCGGTGTCAAACTTTAACATCAGACATTTTAAAAGTTTTTGTATGCTTTAGAATGTAATAAAATTTGATAAAAAGAAGATTCCCAGGGGAAAAGTGTGAGTGTTTTGTATATTATTGGAGAAATCACGTATGTCCGTTGCCATGGACGAAATGTACATCGTCTTAACCTTTGAAAGTTATCAATGACCTAATGAATAGCCAATGGAAATGTCATAATATTGTCTCATGATGCTGGATAAGCCAATCAAATTCACACAGTTTCGTATCACACTACGTGCAGTGTGATACAAGATATATCTCTTCATGCAAGAAATAGATAACAGGCCACAACCATAAGAGAAAACATATTCATTCTTCTTCTAAATTTTGATAGTTTTTGCTTCAGATGGCTTTATATGAACCAACTTGTTTTTTAGTAGGACGTCTATCTTTCCTGTACACATCCTTCCATATCAAATCCATTGTATGATGATTTATGTCTTAGTCTTCTTTTTATGTTATCAAAATTAGATACATTTCATTTTCTCGCAGAATTAAGGACCAGAAACACAGAGCACATGTCAACAAAAAAGATTTTTTTTTATTATATTATGTTTATTATAACAAATAAAGTTTAGAACTTGAAAATCATGTTTGTCTTAATCTGAGCTCCTTGTCTACTAGGCCTATATGTGATTAAAATCCAGAAGATTGTAACCGGTACGTCTAAACATCGCTCAGGACCTCCTGAATGCACTCAGGACATACAAAGTGCACTCAGGACATGAAATATATGTTTTAGTGAGTGGTGAAGGTATGCATTCGATAGATAATTTAATTCTTCATCTATTAATTTTTGTTTTGATAAAACCTTTTTAACATTTAAGGAGTTATTGAAGTTTTCATCGGCACGCGCCGTTTTTGTGAAATATGTCAGGCATGACCAAGGATTATATTGAATGCCAATTATCAAGTTGATTAGGTCGTTTGATCCTTAATAATTAGGAGTGATTAGTGATGGTGCTAACCTCATACAAGTAAGCTTCGCAGACAAACAAAATCAAGATGTCTTTTGAAAAATAAAGAACAATAAAGATATATTGTTTTAGAAAAAAACCGTTAAATAAACATTTTTCTTTTTGTTTGTAAGAATTGAAGCCAGTCGAGAAATATGAGAAATCTACATATATAGTTGGGAAATTTTGATTCAATTCATTTCATTTCATTAACTTAATAGATATTAAACATATCGTTAGTATTTGCTTTGTATAGATTTTCGTATTTTATTCAAATTTCGTGCAATAAAAAGGTTAGTTTTATTCTTATTTCAAAAATTAAGAAGAATAATTCTTTCGTATTTTCATATCTCTAGATATATTACAATAGACTTTAATTGCATTGTTCCATGGTAAAAAAAAAGAATCGGTGAAACACCATTTATAATTTACCTTTACAGCACGTACGCAGCCAAGCTAACAGTCAATCTGATCACTCACTAAAAATAGCGTTGAATTAAAAAAAAAAATTGATATCATCAGAGACATATATGTCTCTGGTATCATTGCGTTCTAATTCTTATTCATATAATTGTGTGTGTGTGTGTGTTTTGTTCTATTTTCTTGTCTTTGAGATTCATTCAAATAATTAACACTTTTTGACCAATGAGATGCTGTGTATGTATAACATAACGATTCAATCAAAATTTCATGTTAGATTTATTCCCCTATTGAAACTTGTTCTTGTCCAGTAATACGTGTAAATTCCTTGAACGAGTTTGAAAAGGGAAATAAATTTGTCATACTTTTCATGAATTAAGATTTAGTTTTGTAAATGGAACCCGTTCTTAACTGTAGAAGCCGTAGTTACCGAAATACGCTTTTCAAATAATCAAATCTCATATAGTTAGTGTTCTTTCTCATTTTTATGTTCTTGTCCAGTAATTTCATTCTTTAGTAATACGAATGCTTTAACAAATCCGCGTTTAGTAAGATTTATCTTTCTCATTAAAGTTAAAAATTATCATATTTGGGTATTAATTTTAAATAATTTGTAAGTAAACGAAATCCGTTCAAACCACAACTAAGTCTTCGTGCACAGAGTTTGAAGTGCGAAAACCCCAGAAACTTGATCGTAAGACAAACCAAAGGAAAAGACCAAGGACAGCACGTACGCAGCCAAGATATTAGACTTAGCAAATCATATAAATAAATACTGATCTGTCTTCTTAATTTTGAATTCTAAATACTGTCATTGAAAATATAGGACCAGTTCATAATTTCAATAAATTTGTTATCTATATCAAGGCTCCGAAAATCTTGAATAAATTTTGAACAATCATGAAAAAGGTTATATCGAATATCGTCATAAAGTGTGCATTCCATAAGAAAATGTTTTTCAGTCTCTACAGTGCAACTTTCACAAAACTTAATAACATCGTGTTATTCATTTTAAACCTAACACAGTACTAACAACACAATGCATAAGCAACAATAAAGATAATCCAATCAATTTTGTTGATTGGATAAATCACGGCTCAGTAGTTGTGTAATCAGTGACACGTGCCCTCATTATTTCATAAGAATTAACATATCTATCTAAGTTCGATTTCAAATTCTACCAAAATTTAACTCTTGAATAAGCAGTGTGTAACGAATATATTCATCCATCCTGTGTGCAAATACGATGACTATAAAGGGTCCTGAGTGCACATTGTATGTCCTGAGTGCACTCAGGAGGTCCTGAGCGGTGTTTAGACGTACCCGATTGTAACAACTTAGGCCAACATCTCTATTGTTTTGAATGTACAAGTCCACTTATTTTAAAGAAAAATCCAACAAAAATTGTTCTTTTTCACTTTCTCACATGCATCAACTTGAAATAATTTCCATCTTGAAATAACTGACATGATATTTGAGGGCCCTTGCCATTCATACTCCTTTGATGTTTCATGTAATTAAAGATGTATATTAGTAATTAATTTGTATTCTTTATTGTATATTTAAATGTAAGATATGTTTATGACCCACCATTTCTTGCAGGTTTAGGCAGCCATTTAAATACATTAAAAGGAGATGTGAACAAAGTAGACAATACCCAGGGAGATATAAGGAATGGTCTTCAGGATATTAGAAATGGAATAGATACCTTGCCTAGAGGTAAATGTCAGATAATCATTCATGAATAGTCAAAGTATTAACTCATTATGACAAAATACATTGAAATGTAAAATTAGAAATCTGAAATTTGGTGAATAATCTGGAAGAATATTTTTCATGATTGGGTACATCTATAAATAAAAATATTTGCCATTCTTTTGTGAGTTTGTATAAAAAGTATGTTAGAGTGTTAATGCTTTAAAGTTTATAACAATGCTGTTGATTGAATAACATCAATTTATTTAAGGGGACTTGGTTTACTGATTAAAGCATAATAATACTTATATGAAGAAATGAAATAGTTACACAATACTTTAACTGTCTTGTTCATGTTATCATCCTAAATGTCACCGGGAACTTATTTGTGACAAGTGGAGTTTGCAAGTGACATAAGATAATTTACATATCTCTTAGTTTCCTTAAAGTAATTGAATATTTTGTTTGTAATACAGGTATCTCTAATAGAGCCAGAACAGTTACAGATGATGTAGCCTTGATAGATAATAAAGTTCTTAGTACCCATGCTAGGGTGGATGCTGTTAAAGATAAAATTGACAACCAGTTATGGCCTAAATATAGAGAAATAAGAGACTTTTCTGTGGATAGATATGTCATTGATACGAGAAATTCAAGTAAATTAGTCTTTGTTGTAATGCTTGTTATTTTTATGCCACCACCATACCGTAGGGGGTCATTAAGTTTAACCTTGTCCATCCGTACGTACAAAATTGATTTCCGTTCTCTAACTTTAGTTTGCCTCAACCAAATGTTATGAAATTTATACACAATACTAACTACCACAAAACACAGATCAAGTTTGAATTTGGGTGGGGGTCACTTTTACTGTTCTAGTGTTATGCCCCTTTACAAATGAAAAATTGCTGAATTTTTCGTTTCCGTTCTCTAACTTAAGTTTGTAACAACCAAATGTTATAATACTTATACACAATGCTTATTACCACAAAACACAGATTAAGTCCCATGGATACATTCTCCATTTATCTTATACATATTCTAAGCTTACCTTTCTGGAGACTTTGATAGCCTTTTCAGATATATAATAACTGCCTAAAGTCTTCTTATTGTTTTGAAAGCCATACATTTTTTTAATCCAGGTTATAGTTTTGAGATGAAAACTCATTTTCTTTCAAAAGAACTTCTTTTAAGACCTGTTGCTCTTTAATATATCTGGTGAACTATTTCAGGTATTTTGGACTGTACAGCAGTGTTCAGATAATTGAAAATGTTTCTACAGTTCAAGTTTTACCCTTAATATATAGACTACAACATAACTACAGTATTAATAAAGTTTTTGCACCATGTAGTCAATCTAAATTGCCCAAATTCTTTTTTAACAATAAAGGTACTGTCAAAAACTGCATATATGTATGCCATATGTTTCCCGTTTCATGGAAGTCTGCTGTAGGCTGCACATCCTTTATGGGGCTTGAATCCAGGTTTTGTTTTACAGTGCCATTTTAATATCTGTTTACTACTTAAAAAAATATACTTTTGATATTTTGATATTCATGGTGTACCAATTTTTTATGGTTCAGTAGAACTATATTATTGTAACCAGTGGAAAACACTATGCAAATTCTCAAACCATGAATTTCAGAACCCATTAACTCAGTCAAATCTTTAGTTTGTCATGTAGAGGAAAATAATAAGAACTAGGTAAGTGAATTGTTTACTTCTGTAATTACTAACCTTAACATTTAAAATTATCTTGTTCAGTTGATATTGCAAGAAGAAACATAGTCGGGATGGAAGACATTATAGATGACGTGGAGGCAGCTCAAAACAGGACAAAAGATGCAGAGTCTAATATGATTGGTAAACTTAAACTGCTGAAAGACAACATAGCCCAGGCTAGAGCGCAGGCTGCTAAGGTAATATGCCTAATATGATTGGGAAACTTAAACTGCTGAAAGACAACATAACCCAGGCTAGAGCACAGGCTGCTAAGGTAATATGTCTAATATGATTTGTAAACTTAAACGACTGAAAGACAATATAGCCCAGACTAGAGCACAGGCTGCTAAGGTAATATGTCTAATATGATTGGTAAACTTAAACTGCTGAAAGACAACATAGCCCAGGCTAGAGCACAGGCTGCTAAGGTAATAGATTTGTCTCAGATCTGAAAGATTTAGGTCAGTTTATGGGGAACCACTAGTGGTAGGTCAATGATGTTTGGTATGCAGTTGTATAAGCATTGGCATATCTCATTTCCATGAAGATTATTTGGCTCCGCCCCCTCAGTCATGGTTTATTGACTTTGAAACTTTTGCTTTGTTTACATGTATTAGTTTGTGATTAGGTCAGTTTAAGATGAACCGCTTATGTTAAGTCAATGATATTTGGTTTACAAATTTTTTGGCATTTGCAAGTCTTGTTTCCATGGAGATTATATAGCCCCACCCCTCATCATGGTTCATTGACTTTGAGAAACTTTAACATAATTTACTAGTTAATTTTTGTGTTTAGGTTTGTTTAAAGGGAAATGACTTATGATAATTCAATGGTATTTGGTATGCAGTTGTATTGGCTTTTGCACATCTAATTTCCATGGAGATTGTTTAGCCATGTACGTTCAGTCATGGTTCTTTGACTTTGAATATTTGCATAACTTACATGTTAAAGTATTGCTATTTTAATTTCAACATTTGCATTATCAAAATTACAAAAAGGCGAGACATATCTCTGTGTTAACAGTTTATATAGGGTTATTCTTCGGTTTGGCTAAATTTATCATTTAATGTATACCACATCTAAACACTGGTGATATGAAAGAATCTTTCAAGTATTATGTAAAAAATAGTATTCCATTGGAACTGTAAAATAATAATGATGTAAATGAATTTAAAAAAAGAGAGTATTATATTGCAATAGAATATACCTCACTACCAGATAGATTTATATCCATATTTATGTCTCTTTTTTGTATCAAAGAGGTAATGTATGTTGAACCATGTTTTAATGGTTATTCTATATCTTTATGAAGAAAATTTATTGAATTATACAATCATATATATGGTATGGTTAGTGATTAGGAACTATGCTACAGTTTTGTATACTTTGGAATTAATTTTCCTGTGTACAAGTATAGACTGTATTGTTTGTGAATGGAAGATACTACAGTTGTTTATACTTTAAATCCATGTGTGTTTGAGTAATAAATTGTTATTTGTATTAATATTTTTGTCTATGATATACAGGTCAAAGTGTCATTGTTATCGGGTGGTAAATGTGCCAGATCTTACAGAGCAAAGTATAAACAAGCAGCAACTAACAGTATCAACTTTATCTTTAAAACTAATCAGACATCCCAGGACATGCTGCTCGTCTTAGTCCAAAAATCTGCTCAGGTAAGAATTTATTTACGCATTATCTTTTTCAGTCTTGTTGCTGCAATGTAAATATGCAAACACAAATTTTAGATATTGTTGTCTCCCCTGTGACATATGTTTTGAAGCGAGGCCCTATTGTTCTAACCATGGTTTTAAAATAAGTTGTGCCTATAAAGATATTTGAAGGTCTGCATCAATATTTTAAAGAAAATAAGCATTCATTCACTTTTTCATGCTTCAGTATTTTCATAATGTTAAAATCTGTCCTCAGTGATCTGGGGGTGATGTTCTCACCTCAAATGCTGGAGGTCTTGGGTTCAATCTCCTACTAAGCCAAACCAAAGACTTGCAAAATTAGTATTTACTACTTCTCCATTGATCGTGTGGCATTAAGGATTAAGAGCAAAGATGGGTCTTCTCAGAGCTGTCTGAACAAAGTGTAGGATGATATGTCTGCTAACAAACTGTTTCCTTGTGTTATAATCTAACCAAGGGTGTTGGACTAGTACATAGCAGGATTCATATTCATATAACATTTACATGCTCTATTCCTGATATGCATTCAATATTTACAACTGTACATTAAATGCCAATTCATCATTATTTTTAAAATTAGGTATTTGAATAAAAAGCATTTGTTCTCCCACCACTGATATTTGGTATAAAGTTGCATTAGTATCACATCATTTAAGCTTTATATTCTATCTATACAGCAAGTAATTATTGACTGATTTGGACTATAATAATAGTATTGATGGACAGATCAACATGTACACATTGTTAAAAACAAAATTGACATATAAAAGTGAATGCTATAAAGTTTTGGTATGATAAAAAGAAGTTAGAAATATGTGTTTCCCATAGATTTATCACCTTGCAACAAGTCGTATTGAAATTAGTTAACAATCATACAACAGCATTTATATAAAAAAATATTCCAACTATAATCTTTTGTAAATTCCTACAGGAATATCTGTCTGTAGAACTGATAAAAGGTTATTTGAGGTTTGGTTGGGATGTAGGGGATGGACCATCCGCTGTGGATAGTCCCAGGAAAATTATCCACCAAGATGATGCTGTCAATGAAGTAGATAAGTGGTATAAAGTGGAGGCACTCAGGTAAATGTATCAGTAATTATTGTAGACAAAAATACATGAACTTTGTCTCCAAGTAATATTGGTTGTTTTGAATGGTTAGAATTCATGTTGTTTGTTTAAACCTTTTGACATTCTTTACAAGTTGGAAGGCAATAAGAAATTGTGCAGGGCAATCTTTTCCCTCACTAGCAACTGGGCCAAGTCTGAGTTGCTTTTTAAATCTACATAAACAGATCATAGACATCTTTAGAAAAATGAAAATGTGCACTTAATTTATCTGTATGCAATATATTTTTATCTTTGGTACTTCGCTCTAATAAAAGTGGCTGCTATGATAATTAAGCCTTTGCAAATACTTTTATTGATGAGTTCCTGTTCATGGTATTGGCTCATTGGTTTTTAATGTTTCAACAATTTCTTTTGTAGAATTCAGAATATTGGAATATTGAAAGTAGCACCTGTTAAGGATATGTTGAATGTAGAAGAAAGCAGGGAAGCATCTCCAGGAATTAAATCTACACTAAAACTGGATGATACTACACAGCTGTTTGTATCTGGTACTCATATCAATCATATTGTGAGTACACATCACTGTTTGTATCTGGTACCCATATCAATCATGTTGTGAGTACACATCTGTTTATAATTGGTACCTATATCAATCATGTTGTGAGTACACATCTGTTCATATATGTTACCAATACCAATCATGGTGTGAGTATGCATCTGTTTGTATCTGGTACCATCATGTTGTGAGTACACATCTCGGTTTGAATCTTGTACCCATATTAATCATGGTGTGACTACATATCTGTTTGTATCTAGTACCCATATCAACCATGGTATGAGTACACATATGTTTGTATCTGGTACCCATATCAATCATGTTATGAGTACACACCTGTTTGAATCTGCAGACCATTGAAAAGTTTAAGAGAGAGAAAACACAAGATCCAATATCCAATATCCCCATAAATACATGCATTAAATTCTTATAGATTTGAGGTTAAATTGATAGCTGTTTTACATAAGAAAAATCTCTAAAAGATTGTGATATGCAGGTACATTTAACAAGTTGATGTTTACAAATGATATTCAATAATGAGAGGTTACAGAAATACACATAACAGGGAAAATGATAGAGCAGATTTTCTCTTTGAGAAAAACATCATCATCTGAGGTAATATTCAGTTAGAATAAAGTGTTTACGCATTATGACCAGATATTTTTTACTCGTGTAGGCCACGATCTTTATTTTTGTTTTTAAAGTTTAACAGGTATGGTCCTCTTGGGCACTACATATATATTGGCCCATTATGGTAATATCTCAGGGTAACCATTTGCCTTTTTTCCAGAGACCCCCTGCTGTTACCAATGGAAACTTTTCTGGTTGCATAAGTGAACTTTATTTTGATGAGGGTCGTATAGGTCTACATGAATTCAAGACATCATCACCATTATGTGGAGGCTGTAGGGAGGCGTAAGTATACTATGTAACATTTCACAAATTAAGAAATTTTGGCCTTGAGTGAGAAAACCTATACTTTACAGCCTTTCTAATTACTACACAGGTAAAATAGCTATGGATGATTATATTCCTGTAATAAAAGAAATATGCTGTTTTCCCTCTTGCTTTCTTGACATTACACAAAATAGTTTTTTAATTATCTCCCTTGAAAATTGACATTAATTTCTTTCTTTTAGTTTTTCCCCATCACAGTTGTGTAAAAAGGGAATAATACATACTTACAAGTGATTGCATTGTTTAGAGATAAGTTTTTATGCAAATTTCAACTTCTTCAACAGCTATTCCTTACAGCTTACTAAAACCTATGGATGCACATTAGATACATATTTTTGTAAATTTTATGAAAAATATTTTTTAGTCATATGTCTTTTTATATAAACACACTTGACATATTAAAAGAAAAAGAATTACCTTTCCCAATTTTTTTGATAGCGCCTTTAACTTACAAAATGTATTTTATTTCAGACCTACTGCTGCAGCATCAGCATCAACATTCCATTTCCTGGGATCAGGATATGCTTCTATCTCCAAAATACCCAAGTATAATAGTAGAGAATTCCAGATAAGTTTCCATTTCAAAACATTCTGGGCTAATTCTACACTGTTGTTTGCTGGAAATGAACAACTGGTAGGTGTACTGTATGTTACTGATAGAAAAAAAAGTATAAATGTACTGCATTATGTTTAGAAAATATTTATCCCCCTCTTATCATTATAGTATCGCATAACACTTGATCCATGTTTTTATCATACCAATTTTTTATCTTTTGATCCAGTTATCATCTGCACCCCTTTTTTAGTGTTAGTATTTTTTGTCAAGTTAAAGTTCCCCTAGCTATATCCAAACTAGATTAATGAAAAAAGAATCCTGATAAGACTAAAGTTGCAATCTTTAATACATACTGGTTATATTGATTCTATATTATCACTTACATTAATTTTTGTGCAGTAGTCTGTTTGTTTGTATGTTGGTGTTGAATGCCCTTTCAGTGACCTAGACTACATGTTTATCATGGTAGCCAATTTTATTGATGGAGGAAGCCACAGAGGAAAACTGGGAATCCTCATCAATTAAGAGTTGAGTCAAACAAACCTTGCCACAGGCTGGGTTTGAATTCACAACCTCAGAATTGACAGATAGGTGATCACTGTAGATGAACTGCTGTAAAGACCACTCAGACACTGAGGCCCTGTAAAGACCACTCAGACACTGAGGCCCTGTACAGACCACTCAGACACTGAGGCCCTGTACAGACCATTCGGACACTGAGGCCCTGTAAAGACCACTCAGACACTGAGGCCCTGTAAAGACCACTCAGACACTGAGGCCCTGTAAAGACCTCTCAGACACTGAGGCCCTGTAAAGACCACTCAGACACTGAGGCCCTGTAAAGACCACTCAGACACTGAGGCCCTGTAAAGACCACTCAGACACTGAGGCCCTGTAAAAATCAGAATAAACTGTAATTAGTGTACAAAAATCTCCTTTTCTTGCATTTTCTAACATGTTCTAAAGGCAATGTTTATGAGGACATTTGTGTAATGCATAGCAAGGGATACAACCATGCTGATGTCCATCCATCAAACATTATAAGCACCCTCATGCCTAATCATAAAGGGTTTTAAAAAAATTTATTTCTAAGGTGTAAATTAGTAATAACTATTCATGATAATTTGAGAATCAGTGCCAATCAATAATTTTTTTGAATAATGCCATTGGAAATGAAAATATAATGGAAAATTGACATAGTATTCATTCCTAGGACCAACATTCCTCATCAGAGTGTAATGAAATATATGTTAAACGTTTATAGCAGCAATATCTTAATTGAGGTGATTAATTATTTTTATTGAAGTATCAACCCTTTGAAATATGAAAATAAGAAAAATCAACTATACATTAAAAGGATTACTGGGAATCACCAAAAATACTATACACACTTCTTAATGGATTGTACTGAATTGAAGTTAGATCCTCACATCACCAATATCTGGGATGAATTTGAAAATCAGTGTCAAGAGATTACTTTTCAGTCTTTGTTGCTTAAGTAAGATGCATTGATAAATATGTGTGGTGATCAATGGCTTATCTGTTGCAGTGTTGTTATATTGTTGTCTGGTTGAAAGGTAAACACACCAGTGATTTCATAATGAATTAGTTCTTATATGAACAGATGCAAAATTACTATTTTTGACTTAAAATTAAAAACTGTACAACTCTATGACCTGTTTAAAATCTTTAAGAAAATGAAGATGGAAACAGTTTGGATAATAATGAGGTTGTCCAGATTTGATCACTAGTAAAACCATCTAGTGTATTTACTTTTCAGGGAGACTTTTATTACTTAGGTTTAGAGAACGGAAAGTTGGTGTTACAGATATATACTGGTGGTGTGACATTTTGTAGGCTGTCCTTATCAGAAAACCTTGAATATAACAATAATAAATGGCATTTTGTGGTAGCAGACAGGATTGATCGACAGGGTATATCTCATGTTTTACATCACCAAATTATGACCATTGTGACTAACATTTTCACCTTTGTTTTTATAGTGTCCTTAAACAATAGGGGAAAGTATTGACAAATTTTCAAAGAAATGGAATTAAGATTTAAAGACAATTTTTAAAAGAATTTAATAAAAGAAATAAGATTTATCCTTTTCTTCAATACTTAAAACAATTCACCATTTTTGACTTTTGGATACATTGTAAAAAAGATTAAAATATTAATTATTTTTTTATTTTGTATGAAAGACAAAGAAATAAACTATTTCTCTTATATTATGTTTCCAATGAAATTTTGAAAAGCAAAAAAAAAACCTAAATTTCTGGATCTTAGAAATAATGTCAATACTTTTCAAAGCACATTGCTTGCAAATCCAAATATATTTGGCAGCTTAGAATGTATTTTCTTTTAGTCATATTTGTAGATCTAGAAAAAAGCTTAGAATCCTCGCTTTTGGGATATTCTACATTGCTAGATGAAAAAAATCATTTCTAAATCTGATTTTATGCAAATATATTTGGATTAGTGTGGTATTTCAGAGGTATTTATTAACTAATGATTGTTTGTTTTTTCCTAATCCTTAGATCCACATGAGTGATTGTCATCACTTTGTGTCTGTCATCGTCATTTGCTTTTTTTTAACAACTGTGAAGCTGCTATTGTAAATTAAGGTCAAAGCTTGAATATATTTTGTTGGGTCTTAACATATGTCCTTCAAATGTATGATTTAAGAAATATAATAATATCATTTAAGCATTTAACCTTGACAACAGGGGTAACATATATTGTTTAATAACAGACCTTGTCTTAAACTGCATTCCTGGTAAACATTTCTTGCATTGTCTTCTTCAATACTTGTGTGAAACTGAAACAAAATTGACATTAAAACAAATCAGAGTTGTGTATATGACACATTGGAAATTATTTAACTTCATTTTCTGAGAAACACTCATTTCATATTTTGCAGAAATTAAATCAAAAGATAATATAGTTTGTTTAATACCAATCCAAAATTGCTGTCAGGGAAAATGGCTGTGTGAAAGACAAGTGTAGACTCTTACTTCATTGACTCAGTCCATATTTCTTTTTGAAAAAATTACTTTAAACAATCTAAACTGTTTCTTTTTTTCTCTAATTTTATTTGCATTATTCACTAATGAACAGATAAAGCATTTTATCAATTAATTGAGGTTTAAAATGGTTTCATACTTTGAGCTACCAGTCAGTTTCTAGTATTGTTTTACTTGTAGATCATTATTTGAAAACTGTCAATAACATTAGATAAAAGGTTTTTCTGATTTTTATTTTCATCGTTTTGTATACAGACATTTAAGTTTTCCACTGATTGAGATGACAATGCAGGGATAAAGTACACACACATCTTGTTTAACCCAATTACTTGTTAGATTTGCCCAGAGTTATCAATGGTTATCTTTGTTGATATCTCAATGTTTGCCGTCTTGTCAGGACTTTTGTTGGCTCTTGGATACATCTTTTATAGTCAGTTAAATTTGGGCAATTTAGCTCTTGAAGTTTTTTTATTGTGTTTATGGGTTGCTGTCATATAGGCACATGCTTCACATCTCCTTTCATTCATATCCTAATATAAAACAATGATGATGGCAAGGTGGCATGTAAGCAATAGATCCTTTGTAATGTATAATAAGCAAGATGACCATTACAGACTCTTTGAATACTCTAGTGATTCCTGTAAATAGTTAACAAATAACAATTCATATTCTATCCTGCTATGCATGTTAATTTCAGGGAGATTTCATATCTTTAGAGACTGTTAATGGGAAACTGGTTCTGCAGTTTTACTTGGGTGGCACCACCTATGCACGTGCAGAGACAAACGGAACATATACTAATAATTCATGGGTTTATGTACTTGCTGATCGTGTAGACAAAAGGGGTATTAACCATGTGTGCATATTGTATATACTGCTTACTATTTATCTGCTTTGGATTATTTAAACATAACAAATATATACTTTATAATATATTTAAAAAGAATTGTAAGGTTTTATACAGAGATATAATCAGATTTAGAAGTGATTTAATGTCTTTTTTGTAGATTGTCTCCCTTCAATGTCATCTCTCAGATTATCATAGCTATGATTTATCAAAGATCTACCTTCTTGTTATTTTGATTAAAATTTATGACCATATATACTTGGTTAATGATTTTTTTTTAATCAAGTTACATTTTTGTTTGTTTCAAAATAGGTTTTAATCTTTAGATTAGTGTCACATTTTTCATAATAAAATGTTTTGCATTCTAAGGTTCAAAAATAGAGGAAAACACATTTTTTTCTTTTAGGCTTATACATATGACAAGCATGCATGAATCTAAAACATAACATCATTCTTTCTACAAACTTGTATTTTGCATCAACTTGAAATTGATATATTACTCTGTCATCTCTTTGAAAATACTTTTCAACTCTGCCAATGTAGAATGCTAAATTATTCATAAATTTATTTTTGTTTTATTTGTGACTTTATAAGATATGTGAATAATTTGTAAGCTGTAGACAGTTGTTAAACAACAAAATCATGTATGTAATTAACTTGAAATATCATAAATATGTATGAAGTGAAATGTATTATTTTATAAGATATTAAACCAGTTACCTGTTTGCCTTTACCTCCATCTAGTTTGACATTGACATTTGAAATCTGATTTTATTTTAAGAAGCTAATGGATTATTGTTTCAGAAGCATAAATGTCTACTTTATTGACTTTTCTTAAACTTATACATTATATTTTGATTATAGCTTTGTTGCAAGTTGGTGGGGAGAGGACAGAATGTGAGGCCCCTGGAACAAACAATGGTCTAGATATACTTGGGAGCAAGTTTTATTTTGGTGGTTATCCAGATAGTGTTGACACTACAGAATTTAAAAAGAGGTAGGTATTAAATTAAAGCTTTTTAGATTCAATCTGGCAATTGCTTATCTTTGATATTTGAAAATCTCTCTGCAAGTTTTGTGCCAAGATATGGTAATGGTCTCCGTCCGTCAATCATCTGATACCCATCTATAATGAGAGACCATTTCAAATAATGCTTTTATACTTGGTATAAGTGTCGTGTAGAGTTGATTTGACCCTTATCTGATTTAGTATGTTTCAGTAGATATATTTGAGAAAACTTTGAGTGTTTTTAGTTCTACTTAGCATCCGTCGTCGTTGCCTTCGTCCCTCATTAATAAGAATGTTCTCCTCTGAAATGCAAATTTTGTCTATTATCTTGAAACTTCTATGAAGAGAGAAAAGCTGACAGAGGCAGAAATGTTGAGAATGTTGAAATCTACCTGCTGTCTGTTTACGTCAAAACTGTCAGATGACTTCTAATAGGAGTTATAGCCTTTAAACGTCAAATTTTATCACTTTTTTTCAATTTTGTCAATATTTTTTTAAACTATAATGATACAGAGATATTTTTATTAGGAAGAATGATAGCAAGATAATATCTACAAATAAGTCAACATGACTGTAATTGTCAGTTAACTCTTTATAGAGGTATTGCCCTTTCATAATGATTTTTACCCCAAAAAGCGGCTATTGTTGGAGATGGAGGTAAACAACACAGGCTCTTCAGAGCCTCTAGTTTTGCAAAAATTCAGGTATGAATTAATATCTGTTGTGCCTTGTAAAATAGATATTTGTGATTTTTTTTACAGGGGAACCTTTGTCAACACCAAATTTTTAGGCTGTTTGAAGGATATTCAGTACCAAGGATCAAGAAATAGAGTAGACCTGCTACAAGAGGAGATTGTTGGGGTACAAGCAGGATGTCCAGATGAGGTAGCCAAATAAAGAAATATATTTTGAGTCTATCAAGTAGTCTGACATCATTATTGGTGTAGGATGTTGAATTTTGAATTCACGTTTTGCCTCTACTGGTGCTTTTCATGATAAGATTTATGGAAATCAAATATTTATTTGCTTAGTATACATATGTACAAACTTAAATTACAATTTGTTTTTGAAAATTAAGATTGATCTAACTAACTTCAAAATAGTCCGACATCACATTTTCAAAAAAATCATTTAAATTACCTTTTTTGAGGTGGAATTAAAATATTGTTGTGGAAATAAAAATAAGAAGATGTGTTATGATTGCCAATGAGACAACTCTCCACAAGAGACCAAATGACACAGATATTAAAAACTATAGGTCACTGTAAGGCCTTCAACAATGAGCAAAGCCCATACCACATAGTCAGCTATAAAAGGCCCTGAAATGACAAAAAGACTGTGTGCGAGATCTACATAATGATAAAAGATGTTTTCCATACAGATACTCATTCGGATAAAATGTTTAAAGCTAGATTATAACCCTTGCAAGTACTATGCCATCATCTATAATGATTGGTTCAGAAGGGGTTCATCATCTATAGTGATTGGGTCTGTGGTTGGGTGACATCAGTGTTTATGATTGGGTAGGTGGGAGTTACATAAACTGTTATGATTGGATTAAAGGTAGGGGTTACATCATCTTTTATATTGGATCGATAGAAGAGTGACATTAACAATTATGATTGAGCCAGTGGGGTTCATCGTCTATTGCAATTGGGTCTATGGTTGGATGACATCAACTGTTATGATTGGTTCATTGGGGTGGCATTAACTTTTATGATTGGATCAGTGTTTGGGGCAACATCATCTTTTATTATTGAGTAGATGAAGGATGACATCTTCTATTTTCAATGGGTCGATTAGGGATAACATCATCTATTGTGATTGAGTAGTTGTAGAATGACATCTTCTATTTTCAGTGGGTCAATCAGGCATCACATCATCTATTATGAATGAGTAGTTGAAGGATGACATCTTCTGTTATGTTTGGGTTGGTGGTGGGATGATATAATCTGTTATGTTTGGGTTGGTGGTGGGATGACATGATCTGTTATGTTTGGGTCGAGGGTGGGATGACATGATCTGTTATGTTTGGGTCGGTGGTGGGATGACATGATCTGTTATGTTTGGGTTGGTTGTGGGATGACATGATCTCTTATGTTTGGGTGGGGGGGTTGGGATGACCATGATCTATTATGTTTGGGTCGGTGGTGGGATGACATGATCTGTTATGTTTGGGTCGATGGTGGGATGACATGATCTGTTATGTTTGGGTCAGTGGTGGGATGACATGATCTGTTATGTTTGGGTTGGTGGTGGGATGACATGATCTGTTATGTTTGGGTCGATGGCGGGATGACATGATCTGTTATGTTTGGGTTGGTGGTGGGATGACATGATCTGTTATGTTTGGGTCGATGGCGGGATGACATGATCTATTATGTTTGGGTCAGTGTTGGGATGACCATGATCTATTATGTTTGGGTAGGTGGTGGGATGACATGATCTGTTATGTTTGGGTAGGTGGTGGGATGACATCAACTATTATGTTTGGGTTGGTGGTAGGATGACATGATCTATTATGTTTAGGTCGGTGGTGGGATGACTTGATCTGTTATGTTTAGGTCGGTGGTGGGATGACATGATCTATTATGTTTAGGTCCGTGATGGGATCCTTGCATCCTAATTACGGGTATTGGATCTCCCCTAGATTTTGAGATTATGGTAAATACTGTAATAATATCATTCATATGAAAAAAAAGTAACATTTAATGGGGAATTACACAAACCAAGAATTTGTTAAGATTTATGTAAATAAGTAATGACTTTATTTTTCAGAGAAACTTGAGATTATGAAAACGTTTATTGATAATTAGTAAAAACCATGATCATATCCAATTAATTCAATTTATTTATTTCAGGGTTACAGAATTATTGGTTTTTATGGGAAAGGTTATGCTTACTACAAAGCTCAGTCACTTCCAGAAAGTCAAGGGGGAATAACTCTGTCTTTCAGAACCTTGAAACCAAATGCTTTATTGCTGTTAGCCAGAGATGTTGATGACAGGGTTAGTATAATAAACAATAATGAATAAAAAAATCAGTAATCAAGGAAAAAAGTAGGAAAATTGATACAAGGTTTTTAAATATAAATGTTGTAAATGGTGGTCTATAATGTAGTTACAAGACCACAAACCATTTAAGCAAAATAGATTGCTTTGGATGTCTCATTGTAATAATCAATAACTGAGAGGAAATTGTTTTAACCATTGTAAAAAATAGAATCCAATATGAATTATAAATTTGAAACTCTTTATGAGTAACTGCCTCAGTGGTCTTATGGTACAATGTAATGTGCTTGCCTCGAGTGTGGGAGGTTGTTGGATTCAAAACCAAAGAAATGAAAATTGTTATTTGCTGCATCTCTGCCAAACACACAACATTTAGGAGTAAGAGCAAAAACAGGTTGACTTGGGTTCAGAATAATGTGTCCGTGTACGATGACAATTCTTCTGTGTATTGTTACCTAGTGAACTAGCACATTTAAAACCCAGTTCATCATGTCAGTTTAGTACAAAGCAGGGTTCATATTCATATCACATTAACATTTTTTCTTCCTGATATGCATGTTATATTTGCAACTGGACATGAATAACCAAACTGTCTATCCATCCACATCTTTATGAGTAGAGTGGAAAAATGTATTTGTTGTTGAATCTTAAATAATATATCTGTTTTGGTTCTAAGCTTTCCTGGTGTTATCAAGGTTAATCAGGTAAAGTGTCTGAATCAGGTTATCCAGGTTAATCAGGTAGAGTGTCTGAATCAGGTTATCCAGGTTAATCAGGTAAAGTGTTTTGAATCGAGTTATCCAGGTTAATCAGGTAAAGTGTTTTGAATCCAGTTATCCAGGTTAATCAGGTAAAGTGTTTTGAATCCAGTTATCCAGGTTAGTTAGATAAAAAGTGTTTTTAATCCATATATCCAGGTTAATCAGGTAAAGTGTTTTGAACCCAGTTATCCAGGTTAATCAGGTAAAGTGTTTTGAATCCAGTTATCCAGGTTAATCAGGTTTAAATGCAGATAATTTGTTTAAAGTATGTATGTCTTATATCTGTGTTTCAGAACTATTACACCTTAGCTTTAATAGATGGTAAGATAGAAGGAAGATTTAGTGGTAATTCTATACCACAAATCATTACATCGCAAGGAACTTACAATGATGGCAGGACACATACTGTTGGAGTTCTTAAGAAAAATCGAATGTAAGTATACAAGTGTTTATGCAGTTACATCAGATTTTATATTAGACTAACCATTACAGTGCATGACCAACCATCTCATTGCTAATATTAGGTGTTTCATATGTTTTATGTATTAAAATTGTTATGTTATTCATGAAATTTCGTTTTACCTGAATCACCAAAGGTAAAAGTCTAGTAACCGCTCGACTTTGTCTGTCCCTCTGTCTGAAAGACCTTGGATAGTAAACTTCCATCAAATTTTTTCTTGGCTTCTTTGAAAGGGAATGATTAAATATTTGTCTGCAATTTGATAATGTTGAGTAGTAGCGAGTACTGTAAATTCAGAAATTATTGCGATGTTTTTATTATTGCGAAAAATGCGACAGGGTTATAATCGCAATAATTGAAACTCGCATTTTGAAATTTTTTATATGAATTAAACAGTATTTTTCTCAATATCGCAAAAATTAAAATCGCATTTTAGTCAAAAATGACAAAATCGCAATAATAAATGCACGCAATAATTTCTGAATTTACAGTAACCATTTTTTACATCTGCTGTGCAGCCACTTTCTGTTTGCTGATAGTTTGAAACTTTACAACACTCATTATAAAAGATTCTAGATGTTCTACCCTAATAATTTAATTTTAGATGTAACACGTTTTCTGATTGGCTGACGTTGTTTTGTTTATCAGCTCATAGACATAATTTTGTCATGTGACCGTGACGTCATCAACGTTTTTTCATGGTTTACTCCGGTTTAAAATGGAATTAAGAATTAAATTATAAGAAATGACTGTAATATTTTTTCTGTCTATTCGAAATAACATAAAAAATGTGGTGCACACTTTAAAATAACCCGCTACGCGGGTTATTCAGTGTGCACCACATTTTTGATGTTATTTCTTCATAGACAGAAAAAATATTACAGTCATTCCTTAATTGATTTAAATTTCAAACGGTAAAAATAACAAAAAAAACTATTCAAAGAATCTGAATATATTTTTCATTTTAACACATGATTGCTAGACTATATAATAAAGCTTAGTGAATTCAATTTCTCTGTCTCTGAGATGATAGACCACAGAGATGAGAAACTTATACAGGTATATAAGAACATTTTGTTTTTCTTTCGTTTGAAAAATATATATTAGAATTTCATCAAGATTTTGTTACAGAATTTTAAAGGTGAACTTTCATATTTTGCTGGGTATTACCAACACTCATCATGTTGTTTCTCTTTTGACAGGATAACAGTGTATGTTGATGATGTGTTTATTGGGGAGAAAACATTACCTGTTGGTGTAACCATTATAGAAGTTACACAGCTATTCCTTGGTGGCATAGGACTGCCTACCAGCCAAGATTTAGCACCAAACTTTGAAGGATTGTATGGGTGTATGAATGATGTTGTTATCAATGGAGAGTAAGTTCTATAATTTCAAACTTCCTGAAAAAAATCAGTATTCTGAATATACTGAATACTAAAAAGTTATTCGATTTGAAAAAAATTCCTATAAAAAATATGGCGGTGAAACACATTATTACCCGTAAATAGAAAAAAATAAACTGTAAAGTTTTCAATCAAATTCTGTAAAAAGTTGTACTTCCTTTAAAATTTGCTAACCAAAAAGCTGATGGTAAATTTGAATTGTATTCAACTGTTTTTATACAATTTCTTTTTCTTTTTCTTCAGAATATTAAATTTAAATACAGAATTGTTTGAGAATGCTGATGTTGGAAGATGTTCTATCCCAGAACCTCCTGAAGATAACAGCCAAAATTTGGATCGACGTACAACACCATCGTCATTAGTCACTCCTGCCGTTACTCTGAAACCTGTTACTAAATCAGCTCAGGCTATACCGACTACCAGTAGTAGTATACCTGGATGTGCGGTACAATCTGATCGGGCTCTTGATCCGTTTATGTTGACCTTTGGTAATGAGGAGGGAGATAGTTATGGTGAAATAAGTAATATAGCAAAGAATCATATCAACGTTAGGTAAGGACAAACAAGTTATATTTATATAGCCAAGAATCATATTGATGTTAGGTAAGAAAATTGTTTTTTAATTGTTATATATAATATGAATGCCCTTGTAAGGTAATTTTTTAAATGTATTTCTACAATTTTAAAGGTCAGACTTTTCAGTATTTTCATATGATTGAGATGATCTTTTTCTCTGAACTTGTTATCCCTAAAAGAGCTACAGTTTCTAGTCATAACAGTGACATAAGAAGTTATAACTTTGAATAAGTCTTACTTAAGATACCCTGTCATCAAAGTATATGGTTAATTGTATAAACAGCAAAGGTTTACCTGTTCACTTCATAATGAACTATTACCAACATCATTCTATCTATACTCCTGTTTAACTATAAATTTGCAGCTAATATAGTTTTAGCCAAATATGATCCTCTGAAAATAGATATTAAATATGATCTGAATTTTAAAAATTATGAGTGATCAACATTTTTTATGTACACACAAATATGTGAGCATGCACAGGTGTGTAACTCAATGATACATATATAAAAGTTACAAAATAAAGATTTTTTAGTCAGTCTGTAAAAACTACATGCAAATAAAAAAAGAGTCTGAAAATGAACTAAGAAAACTTGAAGATTTTTGTCTATGTTTGATAAACTGAATACTTCTCTACAAATTCTATTTTTTTTTTCTGAAAAGTCAAACTTGGTATTAGTCAGTTTACTATTTCACCTCAAAGTAATGACAATCAGAATATATTGATAGTTAGAAAAAGGAAATATTTACCTCTAAGAAATGACAACCAGAATATATTGATAGTTAGTAAAAGCAAATATTTACCTCTAAGAAATGACAACCAGAATATATTGATAGTTAGTAAAAGCAAATATTTACCTCTAAGAAATGACAACCAGAATATATTGATAGTTAGAAAAAGCAAATACTTACCTCTAAGAAATGACAACCAGAATATATTGATAGTAAGAAAAATGAGATATTTTACTAGAAAATAAGAATGGGACATGTGCTCATGTCACTTGTGTAATATTGTCTACAGTGTTACCATTATACTTATCTGCATTTGTATATTCTACTGAAAAACTTGGAACAAATCAAAGTTTTTATTAATGATAATGGCAAACCAAAAAATAATCCAAGGCAGATAACTTTGTACAAAATGTATCATCGCAGAAACATTTGAAGACCATTGTGTAAAAGATTATTATTACCTTAGATATTGATGTAAATCACTTCTGTCTTAAAACAAAATTGAAGTATTAGATGAGTATTTATTTGTGAAGTAGAACAGCTCGGACAATTTAATCATGTGACTTTATTTTCAGTGATGATACCATCTGGTAGGTTTTAACATGTAAACCCAGATAATATAATATATATTCCTATATAGTGTGTATCTGATGTATTCAATTTACAATTATATATTCGGTGGACAAATTATTAAAAACTTTTTTCAACTAGATATGTATCTGTAGTTTGTGTTTTTAAGCATCATCAGTATTATATTGCAGAGCTTTTATGATTCATCATCATTTTCTGTTTGGAAGCAGAAATAGTATAAGAGACAATTAATTTGTCCACTGAACTTTAAAAAAAAAGATACTCATAATTTATAATATTGAATTTTAATATAACAATTAATACATAAATTTTAATATATGATAATAATTTTTAAATTATGTTCTATTGTGTCAGATAATTGTCTGAAGTGTACTTCAAATTAGAAGTATCTGCAAAAACTTGGGACATGCTTTATAGTTCTACAGGCAATGCAAAAATAAAAAGCTAGAAATTGCCAGAAATCAATAAAAAGATATTGATTTGTAGCAGTTAAATGCAGCATCAGCACACACTGGCTGTATCTTAGTAGCCAATCAAAAGATCTGATTTCCCATGAATATTGCTTTAGAATAAATATTCAAACAAGAAGTAGACATACCCTTTCTTCTTTTTTTCTCTTTCCTTACCTAATAGGGTATTTTCATCTTCTTTTTATACCAAAACGTGTCAAACTTCTGCCATGTTGCAATATCCTGTAGTGAACACCTATATTCTGATCAGTATTTATGTGTACCGAAGGAAGAGGGGGGGGGGGGGGGGGGGGGGTTAGTCAAGATTACATATAACCTCAAACTATTGTAATGATGGTAGCAGAGATTTTTTTTGATTTTTTCTATTAAATCAATATGAAAAGAAACTAGAAAGTAAGTGATTTGATAACCTAAAAATAATAATAATGAAAAAAACTGTGTTACTCAGCACATTTCAGATTCAAATCTATTATTCCTCCATTTCTAGAAGAAAAAATAAACTCTTCAAAAAAGTAAGAAAATCCAAATTAGAATTCACTTTTCCCTATGAAATTTGTTTTCATCATTTGATTTGAGCTGCATTAAGGAAATATATTGCATGGTGTGTGCAGTTTTGTGTGTTTTTTTTTTTGTAAGTTAGTATTTATTTGTTTATGATACCATATGAAATTGTGGAGTATTTTTATAACATTTATGGAAGACTAATAGGTTTAAACAATGAAAGAAAAGTTATAAACCTTTAATAAGTTGAAATGTTTAGTTGAAAAATAGAAGGTTTCAAAAGCAAAGAATAATAAATATTGGTGGGAGATTTTTTTATTTTTAATTTAAAAAGTTGGGTATATTTGAAATGAAAAAGAAAGATTCTTACTGTTTGAGATATACGAAAGGGATCCAAATTGAATTGCACAGCTTATTTAAGGAGAGTGGATACAGTTTCAGGGGAGATAACTTTTAGAGTGACAACAAACATTCACTGTCTGCCTTGTTTATGATTGGGTCATAATAACAGAATCTATTTACACGAATATATATAATTTGCAAAATTATTAATCAGTGAGTTACAACAGAAATATGTGATTTTGTTTAAATTGTTGGCTATTTTCTGCTTGCATTTGAACAATGTTAAACTTTTCCAACCATTGAAAAGTGATTTTTCTGCAAAATATTTGAGGGAATATACTTTTCATGTATTTCAAAATACATAAGGAAAATCAACTTATTTAAAAATAATAGGTAAATATCAAATTAAGAACTTTGTTAAAAAAACTGCTCTACACAGGTCAACAAATTTTACTTATTTTTGGCATGTATTACAAAAAGTAAGTCATGTTTTCAAATAATGAAATAAAAATGAAATGCAATTTTTTTTTCACAAATGCACATTAATTAGAGCTTTAAATTAAACCCAATTTGATTATTTTGTTGCTAGAAATATCACTTTTTGAAAAGTTTATTGTTGTTAGAAAATTTCATCTAAATTACCAAAATTTCCAAGTTTGAAACTTAACTTTTTTCAAAAACAAGCATTTCAACATGTGTTTTATTTTATGATTTTTCAAGGATCTTAACTCAATCTACAACATGTCTCAAAATCATAAAAAATGGCAATAGAATGGAAAATGTATCAACTCTCCCTTAATGACATAGATAAACCCAAACTACATTGGATTGCTTTTATTGTAAACTTTTGCTTCTTTTCCAATTCCATCTTGCCGCTATGTTATTATAATCAAACATAGCATTTCTGTATTTTTTCATAACACAGAAAGAATTATGTATATGTATTAAAAAACTATTTGATGACTACAACAGTGCAAAATTTATTGCCTTAAGTATTAACTGGAAAGTGGACAATGAAATTCCTGTAAGCCTTCAATTAGACAGTCATTCATGTTAGTTAATAATATTATCGTTGATTTTCAGGTTCAACATTAGTTTTGAATTCAGAACATTCCATCCAGAAGGTGTGTTTTTCTTTATTGGTAATCCTTCCAATATAAGTGGAGAATATGTAGCTGCTCAGATTTATAAAGGCTATGTAATGGTGATGTTTAAATACAATAGTACTCTCTACAGTGTAAACTCTACCATCAAAACAGCTGATGGAGATTGGCATTCTGTCCAGGTTTTAAAAGGAACAAAAAGTGTCAAATTGCAAGTAGACAAGAACACAAAAAGGATTAAAATAAAAAGGAAACTTAACATTGATGCTCCTGTATTTGTTGGTGGAGTTTCCGAGGAATTAAAGCAACGCCCAGAACTAGTTCAACACAGCTTACGAGGATGTTTAAAGAATTATTACATCAATGATCAGATGATTTTAATCAAGGATGCAAAAATTGTTAAAGGTGTTACTAAATGTTATGTGAATGTAGAACCTGGAGTGTTCTTCACAGGATCAGGGTATGGTATAATAGGTATGTGAAAAAGGAGGTACCTTTGTTTATTATCATGTCCTGTAAATTCACTGAAAATAAGAAATTGTAAGAAACCATTATTATTTACAATTTTTTTATTATCAGAATAAGGGCTTTCAGAAAATTAAAGATATAAACGTATGTGAATCATTTGACTGTTACCTCATTAAAGTGGTACCATAAGGGTGAACTGTAAACATTTGGTGGGGGGTGGGGATACGCTGCAAGCATCAAGTATAAAAAATAAGAAATATCTTAAACATATTATTGTTTATTCATATATTGTTTTTATCACTTAACCTTAACATCTACCTACCAATATCCGTAAGGCTGATTAACAGTATAAGGCTGTTTTCAGTTTAAATCAATGTATCTATATCTGAAGACATGAACAAATGATACCAAGGCAATGGTAATGTTTTACATTCATAAAACATTTTTACCCTATTATTACTTTTAAAGCAATTATTTACTACATTGAATACCATGGCCAAATTTGTTGTATGTAATGATGTAATATATATATTCTTCAGTTCATGAATACTCTACCTTTTACATCCTCTTACAAGAATTCAATATATTTATTTATGATAAATGTTTTCTTTATATCTATATATGATACTTTCCTATGTTTTCAGATAGAAACTACAGAGTAGGTGATCGAATGACAATAAGTTTTGAATTTCGTACACACAGATCTGAAGGATTGATATTATCACTAAGTAATGGTGAATCGGGACCTGCACTGACAGTAGAACTGTATAATGGCAGGGTAAGACTTGAGTGTTCTGTAGAATGTATGTTATTGATAAGTTTTTGAAAGAAACAGGACATGTAGTTGTATTCCAGAGGAGGATTTAGGGGGCTGGGTGCCAGGGCCCCACTTATAAGGCTATATCTGTGGTTAATGCTGACTTTTTACCTGTTCCACTCGCATCTGGTTTCACACATTATTGAAGCAGTTTTTAAAAGCTGTAAGAATTCATTTGGATTTTACAACTTCACAGTTGTTTCTTCTTCTGCTACCATATTGTCCAAGAAAAAAGGACAGAAAGCCTGTGGGCAAAACATCTTGCTTATTGGTTTTAAAACCTTAATTTTAAACTGTATGTTCCGTGTTACACAAAAATTTACAAATATCATTAGAATCAAATAATAATCAGGTTAAACATTGATGTTAACATTTTTTATAGAATGTTTCATTGAAGTACATATCTATGCTTGATTGAATAGACAATATTAGTTCATTTACAATCACTTAAACAAAAAAGTTATAAAAATCAATTATTTTTACTTAATTCATAATAATTCATGAAAATATCATATAAAGTATTGTTCTGGCATGACATGAGGATATGGTATATTCTGTACAAAAATCATCTAATAGAGAGAGAAGGTTGTAGTTGATCTGAAAATAATTGATTTAAAGAACACACATAATATAGATAAGAAAATGAAATAGATTAATAAAAGAAATTTTAAAACAAACAATGTTGGGTTCTGTTTTAAAACTTTTTCTTTTTGTTTCCAGATCCAGTTTTCTGTATATAATAGAGACAGGTACTCAGTTGTGTCAGAAAATTCTGAGTTTGAATTATGTGATAAATCATGGCACACTGTAAATGCTGAAGTTGCTGGAGATGTTATAGAATTAATAGTTGATGGGAACAGTCCATTGTATGGTGTTAGTTCTTTCAAAGATACAGATATAGATACCTCAGCACCTTTATTCATTGGAGGCCTTTTAGGTTAGTTATATATGTACAAACTTTAAATATCTCCTCTTAGGTATTAAGACACAGAGGGTGTGTTTTGCGCATGATTTAAGTAAGTAGCTTTTGTGGTGGTTTTTGCTATCTTATTACTATTTTTTAAGAATTTGTAGGAATTTTTCTTTTGCTTAATCATTGAATTTTGACCACCAAATTCCTTTTCACATATTATAATTTTGTAATGAAATGGAATTGTACATCAAGCATGCTCAGGGCAAGCACATATGCCTACTTGACACATAGTTTTTACTTTGAGACCAATTAAAGCTATGGTAACCAAATTCTTTGAATTTTTTAAAAATGCAGTCAGTTTACCTTAAACTTGAATATTTGTTGTTGAGTGAAGTCAGCATTCAACTGAAATTTAATTTTGTTTACTTGTATTTTGCTGTATTTGCCACCAGAATGATCACAGATATGAATAAAGAGGAGATGAAGGACCTATTTTGGTTGTCGGGATTAGGATTTATGTTTTGCAAGAATTCAGGATTGGGTCTTTATTTTCTTGAGAATTGGGTTTTACCCTTATCAAGACTTGGGAATTGATGATTTATTTTTTCGGGAACTTTGGATGACACCCCCTCTTACCGCCCCTCAATAAAAGGAGATTTGTGGTGTACATCTACGAGACAGATGTTCATTTTTATCACAGATACTATAATAATCAAATAGAAAAATTCAACCATAACACTATATAACAGAATGGAAAACAGAATGAGGAAAGTATTAATAATCCATATCTAAATAATTTTTGCATTTTTAAAACTTTTTTTATTTTTCTGCCAATTGTAGATCCAGCTATGAAACAAGAAGCTGCATTGACAACACAAGGATTTGAAGGATGTCTGGGGAATTTTAAGATTAATTCCGCTCCGGTGGACTTTTTCAATCTAGTACAATCATATGACATCCATAAAACAGATTGTCCAGTATAACAAAGTCTTTCTACACAGTGCAATAAATTAATGGATTTTGATTTTGTGAAATCCATATACCAACAATTTCTCAGGGCAAATCAGCAAATATATTACTTTAAAATAACAAACTTAGATTGTGGTAAACCAAATCTGAAATATTCTTTTGTATAAATGGAAAATTGACTTTAAATGGCATTATGTATATGGTGACATTAAATAATTGCAATTCATCTTTATTGTAGACAATATGATTAATGAAAAAGTATCAGTTATTGAGGTTTGATTTCTTTTTTTAACCTGTCCATGTTCAGGTTGAAGGGTATGATTGATTAACTTGAACTTTTATAACCTTTGATGTTAATCAGAAAGGTCATTGTGATTTGCTAATGACAATCAGACATATTTCCTCATGTCTTTCAAAGTTATGTATACTCCTGTCTATAAACAGAAAGCTTCCAGTAGTAGTATAGAAAGTAGAGATTGTAAGACACATTGTATTGTGGTTAGCTATTGATGTTGCAGTCATTGAGATTTCTCAAACTCCTATCTTTGTGTAAATTGAACCTCATTGGAAAAAAATAAAGGCATTGGCTTACTTTAAAAAGTTATGTTTAAATGTTCTGTTGAATGTATATCTAATTATCGTTTGGTGCCTTTTTACATCCGTCCTTTGTTCCATAAAAATATACATGAACAATTGTGCATGGTGTAAATGGAATACAAATCATAGTTACGCATGTTTAATTCCTGAAACAAAACTATCTAGCATTGAATTTATTTTTATATTTTCCAATGTTTCCTACATTATTCAACAAGTATGAAGATTTTGTGATAAAAGAATTGTCAGTCATATTATAGAAGCATTCAATTTTACAATTGGTAATGTTTTCATGTTTTTTGCTTTAAAAAATTGGTAAGTCAGTCTATGTTTTAATAGGCACTAGGATGTTGATTATATGGCAAAATTAAACTGTAATTTTTAAAACTTTATCAAGTACTATCCTCATAATAAATAAATTTTGGATTTTACAGTATACATGCATTTCAATTTTTCTGTTAACTCAATTTTCTATCCAATACAACATGAATTCGTTTAATTTCATTGGATGTTCATATCTAAAATAAAGCAAAACTAGATCCTATTGAATGTATTCTGCTTGAACATCAAAAATTCAAGTTTCCTTGTAAACAAATATTATCCAACCTATTTACCAGGATTATGTTTTACTGTAAAATATAGAATTCTTTGCAAAATAATTCGGATAAACTTTGTAAGACGTAACACCACCAAATTGGGCCCAGTCAAAAAGAACATACTGGAAAATAGTACCTATTTAAAACAAAATAGTTCCTACGGATAGGTGTAAATATCAAACTATGTAGAATATATTTTGGTAATTAAGATATCAAATGAAAGGTGAAAGACTGGTCATCCTTGTAGAACACCTTTTTACTGATAACTTTGAATGATACAAAAATGTATGAATCTAAAAAGGAAGGCATATATTGACTGTTTCTCAGTTATGAAGTACCTGATTTGGTATACAAAAGTACTCCATTTGCAGTAGAGGTTGTTTGACATATTTAAATTATTTCATGAGCAATATTTTACAGACTTTCCATAAATTTTTGAGCATGTGTGAATAAGTCAGCCTTTTATGTGTTGTTTATTCTACGCATGTTATCCCATTTAATCTAGAAAAAAATATTTTTAACCAAGTAAAAAATTCTTAAGATCATTAAAAATTTGGGACAGATTTATTCATTATGCTTATTTAATCGCCAGAAATATGTATGCAGCACTGGATAAAACTATTTTGAGATTTGAATCAAAGATAGAAAAGTATTGTGTAAAAATTAAAAATATTCTACAATATATATTCTGCAGGAGTGTTGCTTCTACAAACATTCTGGTCCTATAATTTTTTTAACCTACGGTAGGAGCTATATTTAACAATACTGTCAACATGTCTTAAACTTGATATCAGTTGGTACTAAGTTTTTATTCAGTTGTGAAAAATATGTGATATTTTTTATCACAAGCATTGTAGTAATTGTTAATTGTATTTATACATGTACAGTAACTTATTGTGTAATTATTTTGTAAAACTTGTATGTTGTATATGTGTATTAATGTATATTTTAAATGAATCAAAGATTACAATGTAGTGAAACAGAATGGGTGCTATATGTAAATGATGTTATGTATTCAATTTTATACACTCATATGATCTATCTGAAATTTTTATACTTTTTATCTAATTATTAAAATCTTAAAATATTGGTTGTTGTATATTTTTAAGTTATATTTAATTTTATGAAATCCCAAATTCTTTTAGTCATGATTGTAATATACTTCATTTTTTACTCACCTGCCCTTCCATACTTTTTGAAATTGTCCTTTGCGAATTTTATGCACGCCAATACTAGTTGGTTGACCGTTATGGAATATCTGTTTTACAGATGACGACGGATATGTTATCCTTTCCTCCTTTTCCCAGAATGTGATACCGAATTAGACTTATCACAGGGTGTGTATAATATTTACACCAGCAGCAAGACAGGTGCCACATGTGGAGCAGGATCTGCTTACCCTTCAGGAGCACCCACGATCACACCCCATCTCCTCCACCCAATTTTTGGTGTGGTTCGTGTTGCTCAGTATTAGTTTTCTATGTTGTGTTTTGTATACTGTTGTTTGTCTTTTGGTCTTTTTGTTTGTTTGCCATGGTGTTGATATTTAACTTTGAGTGTCCCTTTGGTATCTTTCGCCTGTCTTTTGCAGGCTTGATTTGACATCTGCTGGACAAGTCTGGAAATACATCCTCTATTTTCTGTGTATACCTTGTCTATAATAGTAGAAGCTTTATGTTTCCTGGTCAATGCATCCTATATTAGTCTATCTTAAATCAGGTTAAAGTTTTGCTTTAGGTAAGATTACCATGAAGTTATGGTCACATGAACTAGAAACTTGGTAAACATGTTCATTATGATTTAAACTTTCAAAATAAGTCAAATCCTATATGTCAAAATTAAGATTTTGACCCTTATTTTGCAATTCACTGATCACTAAAAAGTTTTGGTTTAATGTATTTCACAATGAAGTTGTGGTCATATCAACTTGAAATTTAGTTCAAATGTTCACTATGATGCGAAGTTTTTAAAATATATATGTTACTAAGTATTACCGTTATGAACCAAATATTACGGTTCACTGAACATTGAAATGTTATAGTGAGAGCAGTGCAATTTGTCCTATTGGACATACATCCTTGTCATAGATATCCTGTTCTAAAACAGCTCTAAGGATCTTGATAGAATATTTGACAAAATTGGACATCATTGTATAAGGATTTTGTGCTTAATTCTCCTGCAAACAAAGGTCAAGGGGTGTACCGATATTAACCTCTCTTCTCCTTTACCCTTTGTCCAATTTGGTTCAAACTCGATAGAATAACTGATCATGATGAATGCATAGTCTTATTGTATGGTTCTGTTTAGATGATTTAAAATAATGCCACTGTGAAGCCTAAAATTTAAAGCCAGTCCAGAATAAAAACATGTGGCACATCTTTCTGACATACTCTTCATTGGATATACTTGAGACAAAACGTTTGAAGCCACAAATTCTCACCTATCATTGCAACTCTTCTTCTATGTTTATTTCATCTTATGAAACTTTGTATATTATTGACCTCAAAGGGGTCCATCCAGTATTTTTAGTTATACCCTTTCAAATATGATATTTTACCCAATCTATTAATAAAGTACCATGTCATGTCAATGCAAGTCCTTGAGCATGCTCTACAATGTCGTTGTAAACTTGTTACATTAATGAATCTTGATAAATGGTATGTGGATAGAATGTTAGTCAATATGTATGGTATATTTATACCCATATGAATTGTTTGCGTTCTTCTGAGTTTTGACCCTTTGAAATTAAAAATTGGACCCCATGCACAACCAACATTGTGATACCAATCTATGTGGACAAATGTACATGTTTATTGATTTTTCAATTATATTCCCCTTTGAACATGAGAACTTTGACTCATCATAATCTGCCTTTGGTATGGTCATTAGTTGATATGGTTTACTGTTTGTACATTAATGTAACTTTGTACAATGTTAGATTCTTGGAGTAAGTTGTGCATGTCCAGTCAAAAGATTTTCCTTAAGCAAGTCTGCAAGTAGACAAGCTAAGATTTCCAAATGGCTTTGAACAGATGATAGAATGCTATCTAAAGACGTGATATGAACCGTATAGATGGTGTATAATTATTTGTGATGGCAGTGACTCTTGATACGGCGTAAAGGTGTTAAATAGTTGTTCTTCATAGTTCTACTTCATGTTGGACTTCACAAAACACCTACACCATCATTTTTGTCATTGCATCCGTAAACAATTAGAGCTCCTAATTCTTCTAACCAGAAATGTTCGTATTGTTCTCAGAACCATTTGCCATTAGGGAACTTATTCATATGTTGTTGTTTTTTAATTTCATGATTTTCTTATACGCGGGACTTCAAAAGTTATGACGGTGATTGTTTCTTATGAATGTTAAGCTGGAAATCCATAAATTTTATAATTATTATTTCCCTGTAGTGGTATAAGATATGAGCTTCCGATAAGAATTACAGAAAATTTTTAAATTTATATTGAATGTCTGGAAAATATTATAGAAAAACACTAAACTGTATGTTTCATAAAACATATTTTTATAATGTGTCATTGTCTTGTCCTGGTAACAGGTCATCATCTTTTTCGTGATATTATTTCAAGACTCAGTAATCTACTCAAAATCTTAACAAATCACAAGGTCCTTTTTTGTTGTTCTAATCCACACAACGTACCACATTTTCTTATACTAGTATGCAGATCATAACTGTTATCTAATAAAATTAAGTCAACAATGTTTGTTTTGCTCACACATTGTTGTCAAAATAATGGAAGTATATGCACTTGAACTGTCATACAAGTGAGAGTTTTAGCTAGGTATAAAACCAGGTTGAATTCACCATTTTCCACATAAGGAAATGCCTGTACCAAGTCAGGAATATGACTGTTGTTTTCCATTCGTTTGATGTGTATGAGCTTTTGATTTTGCCCATTTGATAAAGGACTTTTATGTTTTGATTTTCATTTGAGTTCGGTATTTTGTTATTTTATTTTTTACCGGTGTTCCAATCTCATAAATCGACTAAAAAGATATAAATCAAGGTAACAAACAAAAACTGAGGACAGAGAAGTCCCACCAATTGACAATGTATTGTTGCAAACAACGCCTGTAGTATTTGTATGTATTTAGACGAAATTTTCTGTTAGCTACCGGTATCAAGGATTTTCAAAATCTTTTACTGAAATTTATCCACTTGATCTTTATACTCTTATACTTAATCCAATTTTGAAATGTTCGCTGTCCTATTTTAAAAACTTCTGTATTATTATTTTCATCAGTAGTCTTCATATTAATATTAATGACAAACCGAACGATCTATACTTTCTTGTTATTATTAACTTATCGTAATGATATCGTTGTTTGGAGACTGGAACTGCGATTTAATGATGTCTTCAAACAAACTGGCAAGATCAATCAGGATGGAAGAATTTTTGAACTTTAAGAAACTCTCGTTTTAAACTACTCCATTGACCTTCATTCACCCAAACGGCAACGAATCATCTACGATTGATTACATCTTTGTACATAACAACCTGGCTGACAAAGTATATAACACCATAAGACTAGATATGCTACCAAACAATACCTCCGACCATTGTCCTCTATTAACAGAAATCGAAATAGAAATTGTGTCTGGGAAAGAAAAAGACAAAAACTTTACTTCAAACAAAATAAAATGGGACAAAATGGATCTTTTTCAATATGAAGAATGTTTAATCAAAAGCCTCCAAGAAAATCCAATTGATTGCGAAAATGATCCAACTGCAATAACCAAATTGATGGATGCAATTAAATCTACTCAAGAATATATAATACCAACTTCAAAAAAATCATCACAACGTAACAAAAACATCTGGAGTGATGAAATAGAAAATACATTAAAAATCAACAAAACAGCACAATATGACTGGAAACAGGAGGGCAGCCACAGACTGGAGAAACCATGCAAGTTAGAAAAAGAACTAAGAAACAACTGCGTAAAGCCAAAAGACAAGAAATTGCACGACAGAGAAATGAAATATTGCAGAAGATCATGAATGCAAAACAAAGAGACAGCAAAATTTTTCATAAGCTAGTTAATGCACAGAGGAAATCGAAAAAACAAACTGGCATTTCAGATCTATGTGAAGAAGATAAAAACTACTCTAAGGGAAGAAATACTCCAGGATTGGACTGTACACTTATGCAAGCTTGCAACACCTGAAGCTGAAGCTTCAAATTTAACATCTGATCTACCAACAAACAATTTGATATTGACATTATCGAGGAAATCTGCAAGCAAAATGCTGAACCTCTGGTATTCACATCAGAAGAAGTTGACAAAGCCATTAACCAGTTAAGCACCAACAAGGAGCAAGATATTTATGGTATTACAGCAGAACACATGCATCAAACATGGCGGGGATACTTTCTACAAGCAATAACCTCCATAATCAATAACATCTGTATGTATGCATCATCATATGATGAAGACATAATCTTTTAATCAGTTTAATTGAGGTCTGGAGCTGGCATGTCAGTAACTGCTAGTAGTCCTTTGTTCATTTATGTATCATTGTCATTTTGCTTAGTTTCTTTTGTTACCTATTCTGACATCGGACTCGGACTTCTTTTAAACTGAGTTTTACTGTGCGTATTGCTATGTGTTTCTTTATTCTACATTGGCAAGAGGTATAGGGGAAAGGGTTGAGATCTCACAAAACATGCTTAACCCCCGCCGCATTTTTGCGCCTGTCCCAAGTCAGGAGCCTCTGGCCTTTGTTAGTCTAGTATGTTTTTTTAATTTTAGTTCATTTATGTGTTTTGGAGTTTAGTGTGACGTCCATTTTCATTGAACTAGCACACAATTTTATTTAGGGGCCAGCTGAGGACCACCTCCGGGTGCGGGATTTTCTCGCTGCATTGAAGACCCATTGGTGGCCTTCTGCTGTTGTCTGCCTGATCTTTGGTCGGGTTGTTGTCTCTTTGACATATTCCCCATTTCCATTCTCAATTTTATCAGTTCCAGACTGCTTAAAACATGGAACCTTAACTCCAATCTTCAAAAATAAAGGTTTACCAACAGATGCAAAAAATTACCGCGGAATCACTGTACTTCCAATCATTGGAAAAATACTAGAAATACTTCTTAGACAACTGATCAGAGACAATATTGATATTCTTCAAAATCGCCTTCAAAGAGGCTTCACCCCAGGAGTTTCTCCGCTGTACAGTGCTCTCATACTGTTAGAATCAATTGCAGAATCTATGGACCAGAAATTATCCGTTTTTGTGGCACTACTAGATGCTAAGGCTGTATTTGACGTTGTCAATCTTGATAGCTTACATCGTAAACTCTTCCTATCATAAGTGGGTGGAACACTCTGGCTCTTAATACGCCAACTAAGTACTTATGCCATAACCTCTATAAAATGGAATGGTCTAATATCAAATCCGTTCCCCGTACACCAAGGCGTACGACAAGGTGGTATACTCAGCACCGAACTTCATAAACTATATATAAACGACATCCTAGACCAACTTGAAAATAGCGGTCTTGGTTCTTACATCGGGAATATATATATTGTGGTTCCCCAAACTGTGCTGACAATGTTGCCCTTGTTGTACATTCTCCTACAGATCTCCAGACAATGATAAGCACTGTTGAAAACTACAGTATTCATGAAAAATACAAGCTCCAACCTACAAATAGCCTTGTTCTTAAACATGTGTCTTACACAAAAAATACGGACTTTGACTTTGAGATCAACGACACTGCAATGCTTCAGCCAAGTTCAGCTCTTCACATAGGAATTAAGCACAGCTCTGACTTAAAGAAAACTGCCAACATTCATATTGAGGAAAATATCTCTAAAGCCAGACATACAACGTATAGCCTAATGGGTGCTGGATTACATGGAAGAATGGGCTCAACCCGATTACATGTCTACATATTTTGCACATATATGTACTTCCAGTTCTTATTTATGGATTAGATATATTACTTCCAGATAAAAAAAACACATTGAGCCACTAGAAGTATTCTACAGAAAAGCAATTAAACAAATTCTGTCACTGCCAAATAACACAGCAGATGCAGCTGTCTATACTATGACAGGAGTCATTCCAATACAAGGCACTACACACAAGGCTGTCATAAATATTTGTAATAAAATATGTGGAATGGACTCTTCAATAGAAAAAGATCTAGCAGAAAGGCAACTTCTTATATTTGGATTCAACTCCAAAAGTTGGTTCTCAAAAGCAAGATGCATACTAGCACAATATAATCTACTCTCAGCTCATGATCTTATGCTCAATCCAGTCAATAGAAATCGATGGAAATCACAAGTCAAAAAAGCAGTTGACATTGTCTGGCAAGAACAATTAAGGTTTATATAGTTCTCTCAGCTACTTATCCACTAATAATATACTCTGGCGAAACACTCATCCCTGTCTTGCAAGCGTTTGTACTTCAAAACAGGATATTAGCCACCTTCAAACAAAACTAAAGCTACTGACAGGAACTTGCTATCTGCAAAGCAACAAGCATCGTTTAACCAAAATGTTGTAGATCCAACCTGTTTGCTATGCAAAGAAACTGCGGAAACGGTAGATCATTTCCTTCTCGACTGCATGATACACGTATTCCATACCTGCATGAACTTGAAGGCTTTTTCCGGAGCTTGTGAAACTGTACTAAATGCTTAAACCTAACCAATGTAGTAATAGATGTGCATCTCATTTTAGACCTAAGTCAATTTCTATGTGCTTTTGGCATGATACACGTATTCCATACCTGCATGAACTGGAATGCTTTTTCCGGAGCTTTAGAAACTGTACTAAATGCTTAAACCTAACCAATGTAGTAATAGATGTGCATCTCATTTTAGATTAGACCCAAGTCAATTTCTATGTGCTTGTGGCATCATAAACGTATTCCATACCTGCATGAACTGGAAGGCTTTTTCCGGAGCTTTAGAAACTGTACTAAATGCTTAAACCTAACCAATGTAGTAATAGATGTGCAGCTCATTTTAGACCCAAGTCAATTTCTATGTGCTTGTGGCTGTAGGTGCAAATGTAATGACCATTGCTATAAAGTCGTATATATAACCAGGAAACTCTGCTTTGCTGAAATGAACTCTTAAAATCCTTTCCTTCCAGCAAGCGTAAAGGTCAACGACTGTAGCCAATGTGCAACCCACGGGGCGTATATTTTCCTACCTTTTATCTCTAAGTTTAGTGTACATATAGACTTTTAAGAATATGTATTCGCAACGAAGTGCTCCTTTGAAGGTGGGATTTCCTTATACAGATACTGATATGGAGTTAATTGCGGTTTAATACGAATTCTTATTTTCTATGTGGAAGGAGGATTTATAGTCTTTGTAATCTGTAAAGACACATGTATATTGTCGAAACCCTTATTTTACCTTATTTTGTCTGTTTTTGTTGTGTGTAATTCGGTTGCTGTCTTATTGACGTCTTTTCATATTTGAATTTTTTAACCTTTTCATTAGTCAATTTTTCTCCGGAAAGAATGATTCCGCATCAATTGATTTTTCATGGTAATGTCTTAAATGAAATAAACACTTCTAGAGTTCGTGTATTCGAAGCGCTTTTCTGGATTTACCTAAACCACGAACGCTCAAACCTACACATTGGAAAGCCATGGATGCCTAAATACGCTGCATTGTCAGAAAAAATTGAAAACAACACGTTTAATAAATTCATGCGTCCGAAGCGCTTTTCTGGATTTACCTTCATCAGGAATGCTCAAAGCCAAACATTTGAAATCCGAGGGATGTGTAAGTACCGAAACAGAAGATATGTAACAAAAAAAAACAACCTTAACAGAATCACCAAATTCAAGTTAAAGATAGTAAATAAATTAAAGAATTGTATTTTTTATATAGCTGAATTGCTAAAATAAACTTGACAAAAATTATTGTTTTATAATATACTGTTATGGTTACTCTTTACGTCTTGTATTCCGGGAGTGCATATTCATTTACTTACCTTACTAGTTTTGAACATAATTATTGTTCCTGCCACTTGGTTTGTCTAGAAAAGCATAGTTTTTATAGCTAATTTTTCAAATACCGAAATGATTGAATAAGTGTTCTCTTGTTTGATTATCACTGATAATCCACTGATCCAGATAATAAGAAAGAATCGAGTATTTACTCCTTGTCTATCCTACGTCACGACCTAAAATTGACTTATCATCAACTTGGCAACACTTAGTGGTGATGGGTTACTGTCTTATACATGTTTACCAAATGGTCCTATGAATTATCTATATCAAAATTTGCTGTATTTGGTCGGAAGAGGCTCAAAATATACAATGTACATCTTAATTATCAATTGATCAATAATTGTTATATTCGGTCGTCTAAAAATGAATACAGGTATAAAATATCAATTTGTAATTTCTCAGTTGATTGACAAATAAAAGACTTGTAGTAACCCTTATTGTCATGACTGCGGAAGATTGATGGGACAGCAGATATCAAGTCTTATCCATGAATTGGTGTGTTTTTTTTTTTAATTTCCTTTAATGATAATAATAATATGATACAAATAATGATAAGAAGAGTAAGAACAAGAAAGCATAACTTTGAATCCCACACTTAAAATGTTGTACAACAAAAAGAGCTCTCGTATATGAACATCATATCTTTTGATTTTCTCGTTGTTAGTTATGCAACTTAAATGTATAATTATCTTAGTCCATTCATTCATTTTTCAAATCAATGTTAGTATTCATGGGTAAAGTTTTTACACAATAGATGGCTATTGTTTAGTCAAATTACTAAAATTCATGGATTTTTAGCTATTGACGTATTACCCGTTTAGCTTATTCAAACAGCATTTAGACAGGTAAGTTATATATGAAACGTTAAGTAAAGCAGAAAATAAATGTATAAGGAAATGAATTGTGTATGATTTATCTGCATGACATTGGATATTTTACATCTTCGGGACAGAACTTGCCGCCTCTAAGACTCGAAATTTCCATCTTATCTAAAATAATTTAATAATTGTTGTTTAGCATAATATTCGGGATGAGAACAAATTAACAGTTAATGTAAAAGATAGGTTCTGCTAAGCGGGACAACAGAGATTACGGACTAGAATTTCGACTGTCACTGGCAAATGATCGTATGTTGAACAGGAATTTTGCCCTGTCACAGGACACCTACGGACCAATCACAGAGTTTTAGCGAGGATTCCGTAGCGTACAGAGAGCGAGACACTCTCTTTACGCGAAGCATTGGAATTAAGATCGGATTTGGCTACGTATTTATGCATCCCGAACAGCCAAACGGAGGCCTGATTTTTAGCAAGGGTTTACTTCAGGACCGGAAAAGTCCAAGAGATGACTATATTTTTACAACAAAGTCAACCCTTGGGGTTAACATTTTAAAAATATTTACATATGTGAAGCAACAAAATAATGATGAAATGTGATAGAATAATCTCTCGAAGGGGATTCGGTTATTGGTAGTCGGTATGGTCTGTTATACTGTCCAATGTTTTTTTATAATACCATTATCCATCATGCATTTAATTAACTTAATGTAATCTTAAAAAGGCATGTGATACGTTTACTAGAGAAAATGGTCGCAAATGAAGGGAAACAAGGAACATATAACATTGAAATTTACAAAACAATGAAACTGGTATAATATGTTTTGGAATGGTGAGTATCATCGGTTAGGTTAAATTATAGACTTAATTCACAATGATAGTCTTTTATTTCTAATAGTTTTTTTTAAAGTGTAAATTAAGATTTAAACAAACCAATAGAGGTCATGATCCTATAAACTTAGTATGTTTTCCCTGAGCTAGTAATGTTCCGTCAGATTTTCTAGTTATATCAACGGTCAAAAATGCTAGTCTGTTGCCAACTCTTAACGTTTTGGCATCTATCAGTATCTCCTCGCCAACTTTGGCAGCTTTCATATATCTGAAAAAGGAAGCAGTCATCAGTACATTGTCAAGTTTGAACATGAAGTCTCTAACCGTTTTATCTACTTGATTTCATAACAGCGGTCAGTAATATTTCACGTGGAAAGTAGAGGCCGGCATGTTTGAGATACAGCTAATGTATGATTGCGTTGGAATAATCAAGAAAACTAGTGTGTTCAGTAAAGAAACATAAGCTGGTGTATTATAGTAATTTTGATGAAAAGATATGTATTAACATTAAAACAAATAAAAATGCGGTTCGCGCACAAGTGCCTGTGGTGTTATTTACATTAACTTGAGATCAATAACACAATATATAAGCTATACATTTTGAATAGAAAAACAATACCAACAGGGTTACAAGGGGTTATGAGGGAATCCTCCTATGATATGATAAAAATTAAATGTACTAGTAAAGTTATGCAAAGTCTGCAATGTATTTCAATCAAAATCGGTATTAGGATAAAATATGGCACTTTGGTCTTTTGATGGATAGTGCAACGCCTCGTTGGAATTCACCAATAAAAGCACTCGACAAAAACTCGGGTGATTAGTTGAACTCAAGTGAACTGCTCATTACTAAATCACGAAGAAAACATCTATTAAGTATCTGATAGGTAGGCAATGGATTAGAAAGCTGACATTTAAAACTAGAGGCTCTCAAGAGCCTGTGTCGCTCACCTGTATTTACTGATGCTTTGGAAATCATGTAAAATAAGGTTAAAATCATAATTAATAGTATTAGATATTAGATATTATAATGATATCTAAGATAATAACAAAAAACTGCAAAATTTCTGTAAAGTTACTAACTCAGGAGCAGCAACCCAACAACGGGTTGTCGGATTCGTCTGAAAATTTCAGGGCAGATAAATCTAAATCTGATGAACATTTTTGCTACCGTCAGATTTGCTCTTAATGCTTTAGTTTCAGAGATATAAACCAAAAACTGCATTTTACCCCTATGTTCTATTTTTAACCATGTCGGCCATGATGGTTGGAAGGCGGGGTCATCGGACAATTTTTTTAAACTAGATACCCTAATAATGATTATGGCCAAGTATGGTTAAATTTGTCTCAGTAGTTTCAGAGTAGAGGATTTTTGTAAAAGATTACAAAAATTTATGAAAAATTGTTAAAAATTGACTATAAAGAGCAATAACTCCTAAAGGGGTCGACTGACAATTTTGGTCATGCAACTTATTTGTAGATCTTTCTTTGCTGAACATTATTGATGTTTACAGTTTATCTCTATCTATAATAATATTCAAGATAATAACCAAAAACTGCAAAATTTCCTTAAAATTACCAATTCAGGGGCAGCAACCCACCAACGGGTTGTCAGATTTGTCTGAAAATTTCAGGGCAGATAGATCTTGACTTGATAATCAGTTTTACTCTGTCAGATTTACTCTAAATGCTTTGGTTTCAGAGATATAAGCCAAAATCTACATTTTACCCCGATGTTCTGTTTTTAGCCATGGCGGCCATCTTGGTTGGTTGGCGGGGTCATCGGACACATTTTTTAAACTAGATACCCTAATGAAGATTGTGGCCAAGTTTGGTTAAATTTGGCGCAGTGGTTTCAGAGGAGAAGATTTTTGTAAAAGCTAACGACGACGACGACGACGACGAATGGAGTGGTTTTAAGGTTTGAAAGTCCATCGTATAAACACCAAAGAGAAAACTATATCCTATTAGATCATCAGAATATCTGACAGATTGTTTGTTGTTAGCTAAAGTCCAATGGCAGATACTTCATCCCCATTAGGACGAGAAAAACTTAACAATTAATACAATAGGTAGGTTCTGCAATGTATGCAGAGCGGAAAGAAGGGCTGGAAATAATGATTGCCACTGTAAAATAAGGGCATGTTGAATATGGGGAGAAAATGAACCCCTCAGAAAGTTGTTTCAAGGGTTCTTCAATGTGGAGAGAACATAGCATTCAGCATACATGATGCTTCAGACTAATTGATTGATTGATTGGTGTTTAATTTAACGCCACTGTCAACACTATTGTGTCATTTCGTGGCGGTTAGCTTTTATTGGTAGAGGAAGCCGGAGTGTCCGGAGGGAACCAACGACCTTCGGCAGCAAAACTAAGTTAACAATCCTAATCAATTAAGAATGGCGTCGAGTGCACCTGCCACGTGCGGGATTTGAACTCACAACCTCAGTGTTGACAGGCTAGTGATACAGTAGTTCGACTACTTATAAAAATAAGCAGATGAGGTATGATTGCCAATGAGACAACCATCCTCCAAAGTTCAAATAAAGTGGATGTAAGCAATTATAGGCAACCGTGCGGCCTTGAACAATGAGAAAAACCCATACCGTATAGTCGGCTTTAAAGTCACCATTACGATCAGACTTGGCTACGTATAAATTATACATTCCGCACAGACAAACTAACGCCCCATTTTAGCAATGATTTTATTGCCGATCGAGAGAAGTCCTAGGATGACCATATTTCTATATGCGAATTAAGATTTCGGAATAAATGACTTGACCTATTATGTAGAACCGTATTAAAAGATAGCATCAGAGAAGCAATAGTGAGTTTTCTGTTACTTACGATATTCCCATATCAACGCTCACTCCAGCTACCTGCTTTTCTGATGTAAGGAGCGCCCATGTAGATACAGCGTCCACTAATGTCGCAGTCATACCTCCATGCAACGTGCCACCACGATTCTGATCATCTTCAGTGACGATCATTTCACATAAGCATTGTCCATTTCCACCTGTTATAACTTTAACCTGATAACACAATACCAACAAACTGGAAATTAAATGACGTAAATACATCCAGAAGAAATTTAACAGATTAAATAAACTGATTAGTATCTTACGAAACGTTCACCATAATTAATCTGGAAATGTTTACGTTGACAAGAATATTGACGAATTTCGCTTGTGTTGGTGCTATTTTTACATTTTCAACACAAAAGACATTTCCCATATTAAATTTCATGGTGAACTTGAAGGCTACATTTCTTTTTTCTCAGTAGATTTATGTATAAAATATTACGTTGAGTATCATGACGTTTTTGCGAGAGCAACCGAGACTTATCCGGAAGGGTAAGCAAATCCTGCTCCACATGTGGCACCCGTTGTGTTGCTAATGGTAATTACAAATTCTGTGTTGTCTCTTTCGGTGGTGTCACGATCTAGATCTAGTACTTACAAGAGAAATACGGCGGTTGCCACGTGTGGAGCAGGATCTGCTTACTCTTTCGGACCACCTGAGATCCCCCAGGTTTTTAGTGAGATTCGTGTTGCTCAGTCTTTGGTTTTATTTTTATAAACTGTTGTTTGTCTTTCCGTTTTTGCTATAGTGTTGCCAGTCAATCTGATTAAAATTCAGATCTGTCTTAACTCACGTGCTCGTGTATACAACTCACATGAAGATAACGAAATCAGGGATCTATAATTCAATTAGATCGTGTTGTCAGTTGGCTTTCGACTTATGAGTTTGGATGTTCCTTTTCTTCCGCCTCCAGTGGCGGATCAAGGGGGCGTAGAGAACGCACGCCCCCTTTGAATGTCAAAACAAATTATAATATCATGTTTTCACGATTTATATGATATTTTAGCATGAATCGTCCAAATTTTTTTGTATATAATCCGTTTTATGGAATTACGCCCCCCTTTAAAAAAAATCCTGGCCCCTTAGCCTCTTTTTTTAAAACTTATTCAAATACAATTTTAAACAAAAGAAAAGACGTACATCTAAAGGCCAATTTTCTGGCTATTCCATTTGTCAAGCTCTAAATGTTTCCCAGTTTGGAAATCATGCATCATAGCTACGTGTTGGCATCGTCACCGTGATCACGGGCCCCTCGTTTTTGTTTCATTTCTTGGTTTTATTCGGTTTATTTATCAACATCCACTAGATTTTACTGAAACCATTAATAGGCAGTGAACGTTTCTTATTTACAAACCATGTAGTAAAACTAACGGGGGGAAAGATTTACAAAATTAAAAAGGAAAGGTCGATCCAGTCAACGAGCTCTTGGGTTTCTCAATAAAACATTGACAACATTGTAACCATGGTAACCAGGACAAACAGTTTATAATAAATCATAAACGGAAAATACATGATAAAAAAACTTATTTTTCAACGTCGCATATTACTCCAGTACTTTTTGAAGTCAAGTCAAGTTGATACGTGAATATTTTTGTTTTTAAGAGTTCAACTTGAATCATTGTTCATTTGTACATGGACACCTATGTTTTTTCCTTATAATAGTATTTGCTCAAAATACCTCCAACTGCAAGTAGGAATTTCAAATTTTGGTAAAAATCATTTTTATATAGAGTTTAGTTATTATAAGTATTTTTGGCAAAGCGTTTCTTTTCATTAAGGTTGATTACAATTTAATATATAGAAACGTCGGAGTTGTCTCCCATAGACAAGTCAGTTTACTGTGAGTGTGTGTGGCTGTCAAAGATCGCGTTCTCGTTGTAGTTACCGATCCTTAGCTTACAACTGCGACTTACCTTGTTTAACACACTTTCAAAACATCTTGTTGTTACGCTTGCTTCTACTACTTGTTTTATAAACTGCAATCCTTTTTGTGTTCCGCTCATGGTCAATTATAAAAGAGCGACAACTCTTTTTTGCTAAAAAGAAGTAATTCGAAAAGTTAATAAGAGATACCTATGATCATAGATGTATAAACGGTTTATACATCTATGCTATGATCAACTCTTGGAACGTTAGGTATTTGTTGTCATTGGCATGGAAACCAGTCTGATTTTCAGTTTATTATACTTATCCAGAGACATTAATATGGTCAAATGAAAAAAATGTAAAAAAATGAAAATATACTGTCCGTTATTTATGTATTTGATACTATTAAATCACATGATGTGATGAATGTGGCTATACTAGACGAGTGTATCCCATATCAATTTTGCTAATTTATAACTAACATACAAATGCAGTATGGTTGTATTTAGCCTTGTGTTACTGGTGAATTTCATATAGATATAAAGTGTTGTTCTTTGACAATAGGAAATGGTGTTTTATATAGGACATTCACAAACTTATTTTTGAACTTTGTAAAGATTAAACTTCATACAATTTCAACATCACTAAGATGTTTTCTATTGAGTTGAGTAGAATGGTAAAGTCGAAAATGGGAAATACAATCAGAAGCTGCTATTGCGATTGTTGTCAGAAAACGTCATATCCGGCGAAGACTGCCTTGAAATCACGATCTTAAATGTTGCTTAAATTCAGGTATGCAATAACAACAAGTTTACAATTTAAATATAAAAATGGTGATGAGGTTTGACTGTCAATGAGATAACTTTTTACCATAGACCCACAAAAACACATTAAAGTGAACATGTGGTTATGAAGACGTAACTGTAGCCCGTGTGTTTTTCTATGGGGGTTGCTGTTACATTGAAGTATACATCGAATGGTCTTTTACTCATTCGTCATGCAGGAATGTGACGGGGATAATCACTTAGGGGACGACCATTTGATATTCGGAGGGGGGGGATCTTAGCATACTAAAAGCTGAAAATGAATAACATTGCTAAAAAAAGAAAAAGAATGAAATTGTGCAGCTTACCAAAACAACATCAAAATATAAAAGTGTACAAAAGTGAAAATAAATTTTCTCGCAAAAAATATAAATCATGACACTAGCAAAAGGTGAAGATGAATATTCCGTCAGAAAAAAACATCCTGTACCTCAAAATATATCATCAGCTATACACCCGTACCAATAAAAACTCGTCAAATAGGATTATATAAAGACCAAAAAATATCATCACCTATACACCCGTACCAATAAAACACGTAAAATAGGAATATATAAAGACCAAAAAATATCATCACCTATACACCCGTACCAATAGAAACACGTCAAATATGAATATATAATGACCAAAAATATCATTACCTATACACCCCGCGTACCAATAAAAACACGTCAAGTATGATTCTAATATGACGTGCTTCTTTCGCTTTGTAAACAACACCGTGATTAGGTTGGTTCCCTCCGTAAAATATCCAGTATGCCTTCGGAATATACAAATATTAACGGTCGGTATGAGCTAATGATGGCCTTGAACTTGAACGTTTCGGTTCCCGGTTTGTCGAACGTCCACATACGGTATTGTCAAGAATTTCAATAACGGCCGGGTACCAGTCTACACCGTGATAAAATTCTCGATATATCTATACTTAGCGCAGACTCAGAGATGTGCATATTGGTGGCTGTTACTATTTACCTCCCACGTAAATCCACATGTATCGTAACCTATGCGCAAACACTATGTCGATTTCGTTGTGTCCAAATTGAAATTGAAAAAGAAACTACAGAACCGTTATTCCTATTATATTGCATAACAAAAATAATTAATGCACAAGAGCTTAAAAAATGTATAAAATCAAAATAAAATAAAATTCCGCCAAATTTCATGAATGATCTTGGCGCATTAACGTCATGTCATAACATGACGTCATACGAATGAAAACTCTAAAGCTGAATGTTTTCCGTTACGTATACGTAATATTGCATTAAAATGGAGTTTGTGGTAGGTGTTGTTTCATTTTCTATTCCATTGCATTATTCGCACATTTGTGGATTTCAGCAAGTCAACACGGCGGCTCACTCCTTAGTTACGACATGTCAACTCTGGATTTGACAGTAAATAGTAGCCAACGAAAAATAAATGTTTGGGTTAAGAATTATGAGAATTGAACACATTTTTTTCTACTGCTTATTTGAGAAATAATTCATGTAAGACTTAGATTTATATGAAATTTGTAGCTTTTATCTTACAGGGGGTAAAATAGAACAGCCATACACACGGCAATCTTACGTTCGCTTCAGTTTTTAAATTACCGTATTTGTCCTATTAGAATCGAAATAATTCATGGAAGCCATAGATTTGTTGGACATTTACACATAGCCTGGGCCGTGATATTCGTTAATTTTATCCCTCGCTAACACTCAGGATAAAATTCGAATATCACGGCCCAGGCCATGTGTAAATGTCCAACAAATCTATGGCTTCCGTGAATTATTTCTTAATTTTTAAAAATAATCTTTTTCTAATGATTTGGGTTTTTTTTAAAAGTATTTTACACTTTCAATCACGTGTTTGATACAACTCCCCAAGATAAGCAGCGTATAGTGCAATGATTACCATGCATTGTCGGCCTGTTACATTAGTTTTGTACAAAATAAAGAACTGAAAATCGTACAATTTCTTATTTTTCTGTCCTTTACTCGCTAAGAAAAACTAGAATCTCAGTTGATAAATTCTCTCCATCTAAATGTTCGACACACCATACAACATACCACCCCCATTTCGCCTGTTGGATAACTAAAGCATCTATTGAACTGACTCGTCCAAAATTACTCTGGCATGCTATGGCCTGTTTTGGGGGCAGGATTGGACATCTATTGTACTATTGTCTGATATTAATCTAACGTCCGCTAACCTATGCTGAGGACTGATTGCGGCCGTGGCCTCCACTTGAATTCTAACGAACGTCAGAGCAATCTTGGACTACTTTTGTACAAGTTTTGATGTATATATCTATATAAACATCTGTATGAATTTTGACTCTATATTACCTGGTCCGAATAAGATTGACAACTAATATGAAACTAAAACTTTGATAATTGAATGTCTACCTATGCCATGTAAGTTAACAAGAGGAGAGGTTCCCTAAACGATGCATCGGCTTTTCATCTTTGCTGAGCTTGAATGTGTATTAATCTGACATCATTAATTGTAAAGCCTTATAAGAGATCTTGTAACACAATCACATCAAATAAAATATTGTCAACAAAAACGCTAGATGTCTATTTAACTGATGTTGGTTGATATCTGCCTAATTGACATTTGAACCTCCCTCCCACTCCACATTTCCACTCTGGCCTATATTTTTTTTGATGGCCAAACTCGGTGTTCTCTTTAGTACGGAAGCCCATTTAGGACCTCTCAAAAATATCATTTGAATTTAAGAAATTATTTATAACAGTTTTTGTAATTCGTAATAACGGATTAAATTTGTTATCACAATTTTTTGTAATTCGTGATAACGGATTAAAAACATGAAAACGAATTTCATAATTTGTTATTACGGATAAGATTCGTTCTCACGAATGTGTGTAATTGGTTATCACATTTTTTTTTGTAAGTCGTGATCACTGATTAAATTCGTAATTACAATTTTTTGTAATTCGTGATAACGGTTTTAAATCGTTATAACAAATTGTATAATTCGTGATAACGGATTAAATTCGTTATATCTATTTCTACGAATTCGTGATAACGAATTTAATCCCTTATAACTATTTATAAAATTCATTATATCAATTTTAATCCGTTATAACGAATTACCAAAAAAATGTGATATCTATTTCTACGAATTCGTGATAACGAATTCAATCCGTTATAACGATAAATACAATTCGTTATCACGATTTATAAAAATCGTTATAACGATTTTAATCCGCTATCTCGAATTACAAAAAAAATGTGATAACGAATTAAATTCGTAATTACGAATTACAAAAACTGTTATAACTAATTCCGAAAATTCGTTATCACGAATTTAATCTGTTATAACGAATTCTTGAATTCGTGATAACGATTTAAATTCGTGATTTGGAATTCAAATATATATTTTTGGGAGGTCCTAAATGGGCTTCCGTACTTAAGCATGCAATTAAGTCATGTTTTGTACTTTATTTATTGACTAAATAAAATGAATAGAAACTGCAATAAAATGAAAAGATAATTAAAGGCTTATATCCTTTCAATAAATTCATATATGCGTTGTTGCTAATGTTTTTCAATTATTATATAATAATCAGGATAATCCAATATGATGACAAATGATGAAAATTGATATTCGGTAGAGAGAACACACCTATCCCATGTGAGATAAAATAATAGATTAGCAATAAAATTGAAATAATTCTTATCATTGAGTATCGTGACAAGACCTTATAGAGTATGGTATGACTTTTGAATGTAATTTTGCGCATGATGTCGCGTCTCACTACGACGCTGATGTGAGACGAGATTTCCCATCGGGTGTTTCCCTCAGACATTCCGAACGTGTGACATGATTTATGAGACATGGACTATTTTATCAAATAATCACGTCTCCGAAGTGAGTTGTAATGTTTTAGTATACTCTGAAGGCCGGCTGTAAAATCTAAATGTAGATGGGGATGTCAACGTGACAATGATACAACCAGTTACACCATAAAACCCACACATTTATTAAAAGAAAAACAGTTTTCAGAAATATATTGAAAAAGTACAGTGGCTCTTTTCACAAAATATCTCAAGAGTAAAAATACTCGTAAGTCATACACATTGCAGTATAACTTACGATCAATTTTAATCGTAAGATTTTTTGTGAAAAAAGTCGATGATCTTCAAAAAAACTTCCTTTATTGGCATCTAGATTTTTTATGAAATACCCTATGATGGTACAAAACTTTTTTTCCAAGAAAACATTTCACAAACATCACATTAATTGATTTTTAAAATGGTTGAAAAAGTAAATGATAAAATAATCCATAGACCTCGAAGATATAAAAGATACAAAGGATAATTATATGTAATCATTA